TTAATGACTATTGCTATACGCATCTTGTACTATCATATTATGCATAGAAAGTGGCATGTTTGACAGTTGCCCCTACCTGGGGTTTGCCTTGTAACCCCCTAACCCCCTGACCACGCTCTCATCCAGGCAGAGGTGGTCCTCCATGCTTTGCTGACCAGCGTAGCTGCCCACATCACCGTCAAGGAAGAGATGCACAAGCAGCGCAAGCATGAATGCCCACGTGTCTGCACGCTTCTTGATGGTGGAGTCATTGAGGCTGTACGGCTGACTGACCTCGGCACTGTGGGCGTGGAACATTTGCTGGACCTGACGGCCTGCGCTGGTCAAGCTGGTCATCCAGGACAGCGTCACGCCTTTGGCCATGGCCAGCACCCAGCTGACCAAGTCACGGTGCGCGCCTGGCCAATGCTGCGGGTTGGGACCCAGCCTACCCACCGCAGCCACTTGCTTGCCTGCCCAGTAGGCGTGCCAGTTGAGCTGTTTGGCCCACAGACCCAGGTTGCCTGTGAACGTCAGGGGAAGGACGCCAGGCTTGTCCACCTTGGCGTCTTGCATGTTTTGCGCATTCTGACGCAGCATCTCCCACACCTTGACTTGGACAGCACGGTCCACGTCAGCAATAGCGGCAGCAGGAAGGATGGCCGTGGGAGGCGTGGGATCCAGCTCCTTGTTGATGACGTGCAAGTAGCGCCGGTTCTGGCCACCTTCATAGATGACCTGCATGGGGACCGGGTGGATGTACGTGGCCTTGACCTCCTCATCTCTGTGCGTGTGCATGTGGGTGTGCATGGCAGACTTGGACTTGATGGTGTACGGGCAGAGGCTGCAACGGTAGCCCTGATAGGTGACGTCCAGCTCCTTGATGATGGGCACGGGCAGAAGGCTGCTGTTGATGCGGACAGAGGCAGGATGGTCCAGGTCCAGCGTCTCCAGCACGTCCACAAGCACCTGCTTGCTGCTGGCCACCAGCGCATGGTGATGCTGCATCTTGAGGTGCGTGCTGACCTCCTTGAATGTGGGCATCAGCGGCAGCTTGAGCAGACACTGCTTGCGGGTGCAGACCAGCAGACGTGGGTGGTCCACAAGGCGCAGGCAGAAGCGCTCCAGCTGCGCAGCTGCGGTAGGATCAATGGCAGTGTCAGCGTCAAAATCACTGTCTGCATCTGCGTCTGCGTCTGCAGAAGCCTGCGCAGGGTCACCGCTGCAGAGAAAGAGGGAGGTCAGCGCTACTGGGTGCACAATGGGGCTGAGCGGAGCGGTGGTCTGGATCACGTACCTGGCAGCAGCAAAGAACTGGCTGAGTGAGACGGGGGAGCCAAGTGGCAGCTGGCTGCCTGGATGGTCACCGTCATTGCTGGACGGCTTGGAAAGGAGCGCCATGGTGGGGATGCTTTTGATTGTTGCGGCTGCAAAGTATAAGTCAGCGGATTGTAAGAGCTTGGCGGGTATGCCAATGGAGCTTGACGGTATCAGGTCAATATATAAAAAGCAGAACAGCGGTCACACAGACTGCACAAGGGCTTGATATCCAATGCAAGTGCGGTAGGAATTGCAACAGTTGCGTGCGCCAGAGAGTGGAAGTGCACGTGGTGCGTGCACGTTGGCAAGGGCAGACAATGGTGGGTGTGCGGCAACCGAGGGTGCGTGGTCTTCCGGTGGTCTGAGCATTGGGGATGCGTGGGAGCGCTGTGCAGGAACGGCTGCTGGCGTGTGTGAAAGTGCTGATAGGCATTGCTAGCCTCATTGCGCTGGGCACGGCAACTAGGACGCTACGCTGGGTAGGCCACAGATTGGTGTTGAATGGTGCAGGGCGGAAGAAATGATAGGCGTGCTGATTGTGATTGTGGGTGCTGAATGTGATGCTTGCGCGTGCCAAGTATGGACGGTGAAAAATTTTGCCTTGCTCGGCAGATGTTTCCCAGCAGCGGTCAGCGGTCAGCCGTGCCAGCAGACTGCAGCCAGACCATGGACAGTGGCCAGCGTGGCAACAGCAACACACAGCGGGGCAACGGACAGCAGGGGGGCGGGCAGCAGACAGCAGGGCAGGCGACGGACAGCAGGGCGGGCGACGGACAGCAGGGCAGCGGACACCAGGGCAGCGGACACCAGGGCAGCGGACACCAGGGCAGCCAGCAGGGCAACGGACAGCGGGCAGGCGGCGGCAACGGGCCAACCCCAGCTGGCCGGGCCGGGGCGCAAAAAGTTGGATCTGTCCGTTGGGCACTTTTCCAGTCCTCCACATCCCGTCCGCCGCCCAGCCAATTTCCTGCCAATTTTGACGCGTCCGTCGCCCCCCGTCCGCTGCCCCAGCCAAGGAAAATTTGGATCCGTCGCCGCACTGGACCGGTGTCTTTGGACCTGTCCGTTGGACCCGACGGACAGGGACGCCAACCTGATTTTGGCGGGACGGACGCGTCTGCCGCCGCCCGCGTACGCACCGCCGCCTAGGGGCTAGGCCTCAGAGCATTTGGAGGGGGGTCATATCGGCCCTTTCCAAGGGGGGACCCTTGGGCTCCTGGCCAAAATCTGAGAAAACGTAAAGTCCCCTGTACCGCCACAGCCACTTGTGCGATTGCCATGAGACTTTCAGGGTGTTGTTTGGGCATCATTACAACCATCTTTCATTATGGGACCGTGTCTGATAATTCACGTTTTTCACGTGCCGACCCGGTTGGGCCCAAACTTTGACGGCCCGCCACGACTCCGTCTATTAATCAACTTGCGTAGGGTTGATAATCAAATATACTCAGTTTGACCTTCTCTGCAACTTTGCTTATGTGACCCTAACCCGTTTTTCAAAGGGTCCACCTTGTAACCTAGACTAATCGTCTAAGTCTAAAGTTTCACCTTTCAAGGTTTCAATTTTGGGCGAATTTTGTGTTCGATTTTGGAGTCAGATTTTGATTCACATTATTTTGATTGTCGCGCTATGCGGCGTGGGGCAAGCGCTCGGGTTTAACAAAGCGAGCTTCAACAGACCCAGCCGACAGTCGACCAACACCTCCTCGAGGTCTTTAGTAACGGTCTTGATTGCAAAAGCGTCGACCGATGTCCACTATGCACAGACTCTATAGATGCAACGTGGGTCCGACGCTGTCTCCTGGACCTGGCCTCAGCAACTTGCGAGAAAGCCTTCACCTCCGCACCTGCTGAATGATTGTGGGCCCAGCGACGCTGACCGGAAACTCGTCGGCTGCAATGCTCTTGCCGTTGACGTGGAAAGCTGAGACATCCGGGCCGATTCTGAGCGGCTGTGGCAGGTAGACCTTCCCGCCCTTCGGGCCGTCCATCTCCATGCGAAGCAGCTCGTTATCGAATCTCCAGGACACATGGATTGTGCCCTTGGGCGTTGGCTGACGACCCGCTGCCGATGCGAGATCGAGTGTGATCGGCTTCACTTGCCATTCCTCGAACCCGAGAGCGGTGGGAGTGATACCGAGGAGATGCTTGTTGAGCTCGGATGTAGGTCCAGCACCCCAACCGTGGCATAAGGAGGTACCCTGACCGAGGCCGGGCGTGCCATCTGGGTTGAGCGTCTCCCATATGCAGTTTGTGTAATTGGCGTTCGAGGGGTCGACCATGGGAGCCCAAAGGCTTTTCAGCAGCTTCTTGGCAGTGCCTCCATCGCCGACTTCGAGAGCAGCACGAAGATGGTAAGAGGTTGCGTAGGGGCTGATTTTGCGGGCAAATCCATGAGCAACGGTCTCGTTGGAAAAAGCCAGGGGGCCAGCATCGAGAAGCAGCTTCTGCTCCATTGTCTGTAAGATGGCTTCGGGAGAGATGCCGTTCGATTGTGGGACGCCGGCCAAGATGGAAAATGCCTGCGCATCCTGGGCAAAGCCGTCGGCGATCTCTGATGACAAGGCGTAAGCACCGAGTGTCGAGTTCCAAAGACGGTCGTGGATGGCTTTTCGAAGTGAGTCCAAGCGAGCCTCGTACACTGTTGCGTCGACGCCAGCAGCCTTGAGAAGCGGGGTGCTCTGCTGCAAAGCGTATGCATAGAGACTGTTGAATTTGGCGCTGGCGCCGGTCTGGGGAGGATCGTAGTAGTTCCAGTCTCCAACGAGAGACGAGTCGTTGAGTGTGAAGAGTCCGTCTTGAAGCTTCGAATCCGCCCAGTCAAGCATTGACACGACAGCGGGCGCCCAGGTCGTTGCGATGGATTGGTTTCCGCTAAAGTAATGAGCCTGCGCCATGGCGCAGATCAAGTTGAAGGAATAACCGATCAGCCCAGTGGCATTGATCGGAAGGGGCGCAGGAAGGGGACGCTGCTGTATTTTGGCAGTTGGGACGAAAGGACCGCTCTCGAGCCGATAAGAGCCGAGGAGATCCAGGGAGCCGTCGACAAAGTCCGTGGCATACGTGCTAGCGAAGCTGACGCCGACAGAGACGTCCAGATCGCCATTGTAAGCGATGCGATCACGGCGGGATCCATCAACGATCGTGTTTAGGGGATTGGTGCCCATCAAGAAGTCGTCCAAAATGGTGCGGTTTGTGAGAGCCTTATCGTACACGACCTGTCCAGAGGTAAGGTCGGTGACCTTGAGGTTCTTGAATACGGCTGAATGGGCGAGAGGAGCCCCCAGACCAAAAGAGCCGAACGTGAATCTGCTCTGCGAGAACGAGGCAACGTCCTTGGTGTCGATCGTAACGGTGATGTTGGAGCCCTGGACATTGACCACAACCGGGACTGGTCCAGCCGAGAGCAAAGGCTCGAAAGACGCAGTTGCGATGGCTGAGCTTCCATCCGAAGCGACAGCTGCCAACGTGCCTTCAAACACGTTGGCATTGATGAACAGGCCAGCATTTAGCGTGTCCATGAGTACGCCAATCGTGAAAGCTCCCGTGCTTGGCTTGACTTCGACGGAAAGGTTGTAGCTGCTCAAAGCTGAGCCGTAGGCATAGTTTTGTGGTGCCACAGAGTCAACCAAGGATCCTTGTTCGGAAACGATCCAAAAGTCCGGAATGCTATCCTTGGGTATCTCGGTGAGTTGGGACGTGCGGGCGCCAGCGCTCCAGATGCGCGAGATATCGTCGTCTGAGCATTCGAAATAGCCAGGAAGGTCCTTGATGGGCGTGGTGTCTACCGTGGGCCGTGTTCCGATGCTGCTGAGGTGAAGCTCGCCCGCGGATGAGAGGTTCAACTTCTGGTAGCGGAATCCACCTTGGACAAGGCGGTTCTCGAACACTCCAGGCTTCGAGATGTTGTACCTCTTCACGCGGTACGAATCCATCGCTGCCGCCATGATGATGGGACCATCGCTCTATCGGTCCACAGAAGACAACGTCAGCGCTACGCAGCCAACGAGAAGCCGACGAAACGAGAAGAGATGTGGGGAAAATCAACGTACCATGTAAGAGTCGAGAGCGGTGTAGCCCTCTGCGTACGAAACCTCAAAGACGGATGTGTTGCCAGAGGCCGAGATGATCTCGAATGTAGGAAACCCCTCGTGATTCTCGCCAAAGTCGACTATCTGAACGTCAGGCTTGCTGCCGTCAGACTTGAGCACCACAGTGTCGGTGGAGGCATAGCGGACATTCGAGTCTGCGAGCGCCTGATGCGGCAGCAATGCAAGGGCAGCTACGGAAAGAGTGCGGGAAATCTTCATGGCGTTCTGTTCCGATTGGCGAGAGATGAGAGTTTTGGCACCACAGTGAAGCCGAGGCAATCTTTGCATCTTCTCTTATATAAGTACACCGAGTACGGTAAGGGAAGTCGATGATGCTACTTCTCTACTTCTCATGTCCCTGCACGACCGCGGCACAACGGCATAGTCGCCCTTGACGTGAGCCACTCGCAACAAGGTAGAGGAACCAACAAGTCCGTCGGAGTTGTTGACCGACTCCTGAACAAGGCGGAGAAGGCGCCGCATGCCATTCTTTCCCTGCACCTTTGCTCCCACCAGTTGCGGTGACGGATGCATGCGGTACGGCTCTGGATCCCTGACTCGGATCTCGGAAGGTCTGAAACGGCTCAAAGGTTTCTGTACAGCTATGCAAGAAGTTCGGAATTTCGAACGCCTTTTTTTAGAGCCGACCTCGGAGTGCATGAGTGCTCATGCTCATGCTCGCCGAGACACCCGACGACCGCACGTTGGACGGCATCTCCGCAGACAGCAGCACAGCACAGTTGCGGCCCAATCGAACTGATCCGATCAGAACCAGTCTGTCGGCATGCATTCATGCCCGATGGGCTGCCGAGAGCAGCTGTGCGTTCGTTTTAGCTGAACTCGATCTTCCAACCTTGCTCTGCACCTTTGTTCGAGGCGAAAGGGAGTGCCGGTCCATTCCTTTATCGAACGTGTCAAGCTCCCAGATTGGCCCCGGATTCTCACGACTGTCCAGGTTTGTAAGCCAAACAAATGGGGCAGGTGTGTCTCTCGGTGCACGACGCACAAGACACTTTGACTTCCAGTTGGATGGGTGCTGGGTCGGGCTCGAAGCTCGGTCAGTAGATTGATGGCTGCTCGTCGTGCGCCGACCTGGAGGAGCAAGGAGGGTGGAGTGGCAGACGCACATCTCCTGCGCGGGCCAGGCGCATGTCAAGAACGTTGCACGTGGCTGCGACGTTCCCGGATACAGGAAATTTGATTGTCTCCGGGTGAATCGGCTGTTCCACGCTTCTCCGACGGACTTAGATTGCACCCTATCCGTGGCGGCACTTCATCAGCTTGCGCGCTTCTCCGACGGACTTGCGATTACCCGGCGGCACATTCATGAGCTTCAGATTCGACTCGGTGGCTCAAACTCGCCAAGGTGGGTGGGAGTGACTTCGGAGGCTTTGTGTATATAACACAGAGACGGGGGAGTGCTGGCGATGGTCTCTGAAACTCGCTTCCAATCCCTTCTTCGGACCCACCCCCCTCACCCCCTGTTGCCCCCCCCCCCCTTTTCCAACCCGGATCTAGCAGCATCGTAGAGGTCGCCAAGATGAGTCAAATTGACTATGGCCAATACACCGTGTTGAAGTATCAACCCAGTGATACGGGCAACCTCATCGTGGGCATCCTCTACGTCGTGTTGTCGCTCTGGTTTTTCGTAGCAGCCTTTCTTTCTCGAGCAAAGTGGACGCTGGTCTTGCCAATCGGTGCCGCCGCTTCCGCCGTCGGATTCTTCTGCAGGATACCTTTGACAAGATACGACATGTCCTTGGGTCTCTACATCGTTCAACAGATGTTTGTTGTGATTTCGCCAGCAGCCTTCTTCGCTTTCAACTATGCCCTGTTTGGGAGATGGATCCAGACCATCGACCCTCGGTTCAGCGGCACTGGTCACTCGAGCTCGTATGCATCGACTTTGCCACGATCCGATGTCGAACTCGCCTCCAGTCTTGCAGGACACGACAGCGATAAGCACCAGTACGATCCCATGGGCGCTCAGCCATCTGGCGGTTTGATGCAGAAGTCGCGATTCTCCTTCATCCCACCTCGCCTGGTAACACGCGCCTTTGTTTGCTCGGATATCGTCACTTTTATCGTCCAGGTAGCTGCCGGCGGCATCCAGGCTACTGGCGTCCAGGATCTGGTCAACGTCGGCGACAAGCTCTTCCTGGCGGGCGTGGCGGCGCAAGGCGCCTCGTACGTCCTTTTCAGCGTGCTCATCACCTATGCGCTCGTTCAACTCGTTCGCGGCAGACAGGGCAGCTTTTCGAGCCTTCCGGCCGCCTCGAAAAAGTTTGTCATTGCGATTGCCCTGTCGAGTTTGATGATCATCATCCGCTCCGTGTATCGAATCATCGAATTTGCCCAGGGCAACGACGGCTATCTCGTCTCTCAGGAAAAGTATCTGTTTGGATTGGATGCGGCGCCATTGATCATCGCTATCAGTGTCTGGGTCGTCGTTTGGCCGCCTCGACTGTTCAAGGCGCTACTGTGATGCCGTGCCAGCTCCTGTAAATACAATGTGCCGCTCGTCAATTCAGTCACCACACGTACGCTCCCGCATTCAAAATCAGTTCATCCGCTTTCGTGCTAGGAGAGAATCGGGATGCGGTATCCTCGCATATTTCGTCGCTGAGCAGTGACCGTGGCCGTTCGCTGAGCCTGCCAGATCTTCATCTTTGGGCCTAGGTCGGCACATGCGTGTCCGTGGGGATGAGCCGTCCGCCGCGTTGGAGCCTGGTCGATGTGCAGACGCCGCCGCCAAGTTGGACATTTTGAGGTCGAGGGACGCGTCGATCTGAGCCGAACTTGCGCCAAAAGCCCAACCACAAGATTCGCGACTTTTCCGGGGCTGTCACGCTCCACTTTTGCCTTGACTGCTCTGGACGAGATTTCTGCACACCACCACCACAAGATCGCCAGCGTGGACGACAGCTTGATCGGAGACGCTGATCGAAGGTATGGCTCGGCTTGCTCTGGCACGGTGACTGGACCGCAAGCGTGGGACTGCAGCCGATGACAACGCATGCGCAAGATGGACGTGGACGATGATTGTGACTCTCTGTTCGGGTCTAGTGGCTCTGATCGCGGGGACGCTGATGCTGGTCAATGCGGTGGGGTGGACGAGCAGCCGCAAGTCGCAAGTCGACAAACTCCGCCGATCGCTGGTCTCTTCTTCTTTCCGGCGCTACTTTCGCGCGAGGTGCACGACCGGGTTCTAGCGCAGGTGTCGGATTGCGGGTACTTTAGCCTCGACGCTGACGAGGACGAACGCGGTTCTGACGATACGGAAACGACTGGGCTCGGCGATGGCAAGGACGCGTACGATCGATCGCCGCGGAATCAGGCGATGCTGTTCGCAAGGTTGCTGCCATGCAACGCTGTTGGTCAAGCGGATGCGGACAACAAGGCTGGTACTGGTTACGACAGTGCAGAAGCGGATGACCCAGCCGCGGACGCACAAGCCTGCTCTGGCCTGCCGAGGTGGGCTGTTGAGCTGATCCAGCATCTGCGGCAAACGCTCATGGCTGTGGCCGACGACCAGCTCCCACTCGATGTCAAGCAGCTCGTGTTTCCAACGAGTGGGATGTTGTCGCGGCAGCTCATTCTCAACCTGTATCGAGGCGGCGAAGGACTGGCGTCGCACGTGGATCTGGTGAATCGGTTCGCCGACGGCATTCTGCTGTGCTCGTTTGGGCCGAGCGGGTGTGGCACGGTGATGGAGTTGACGCACGCGTCTGGGAAAGTGCATCAGCTGTTCCTTCCTTCAGGGTCGGTGCTTCTGCTGTCGCGCGAGGCTCGGTACGAGTGGAAGCACGGCATCCCGGCGCGCAGCATCGACCTTGTGCGCTCGGCCGACGATCCTGGCCACGTCGAAGCGATCGCTCGGTCGATCCGGCTGAGCATCACGATTCGCTCGATGCTTCCGGGCGCCGACATCGTGGGAGAATGAAACAATATATCCTTGAAGCAGCAACGCTGTCGCATACCTCTGCATGCATCCGAGCCTATAAGCTGGAGTTGCCCGTGTTGGAGAGAGAGTTGGTTCAGCGGTCGGTTGTCCGGCTCGGCGTCTTGCGGTGGGCCCGGTCAACAACCTAACAATCATGACGCAATTCCAAGGCGGGCTCTCGGAAGAGGCCGAGGCAAGGCAAGGCGGCCATCTGCGAGGGGAGTTAATTCTCGTGGCTCGGAGAACTGCATCTGAGCTGTGCATATGTGTGCGACACGGCTGCAGCCGTCGAAAAATTTTCCTTACGCTCGGCAGGCTGGCTGGGCTGAGCGCAGTGGCACGGTTCGTTTTTTTTTCGTCTTCCGGACATCCGCTCAAGCGCCTGGTGGAGAAGGACTCTAAAAAAAAAAGTTGGTTTGCGCCAACGCCAACGCAAGCCGACGCCATCATCCTTTCTTCCGCCCTTACCGCTTACCGCTTCATCTCATCATTCCCATCCGTGTCATCTTGCAACACACACATCAAAATGTCGCACGAGCAGCTTCCGGATGACCACTTCCGTCCCACGTACGAGGAGATCCACGTGCAGATCGGCGAGGCGGCTCGCAGGATCAAGGGCGAGTTTGACCCGGATCTCATGGTGGCCATCGGCGGCGGTGGCTTCTACCCTGCACGTGTGCTGCGTACGTTCCTGAAGAAGCCTTCTGCGCTGGACCCGAGCAAGATGCGCAACATCCCCATCCAGGCGATCGGCCTGAGCCTGTACGAGGAGGTGTCGGGTACGTCCGAGGGGCAGATCGGCAACGAGGTGGTGCGCACGCAGTGGCTCGACGCCAAGACCGTCACGGGCCACAAGGGCCCCGGCAAGATCGAGGAGGGCAAGGATGCGGGCGGACTGCTGGGCAAGAACGTGCTGATCGTCGACGAGGTGGACGACTCGCGCACGACGCTGCAGTACGCCTACTCGGAGCTGCTCAAGGACGTCAAGAACGCCATCGCGAACCTGTCGGCCGAGGAGCGTGCGAACCTGGCGCCTACGCGCTTCGCCATCTTTGTGGTGCACAACAAGGAGAAGGCGGGCGGCAAGCGCGGCACGCTTCCGATCCTACCCAAGCAGCTGGCCAAGGGCGAGGACAAGATCGTGGAGGGCGTGAGCGAGGGCGTGCGCTACTACTCGACGCAGGACATTGGCGACGTGTGGATCTGCTACCCGTGGGAGGAGGAGGACATTGTGGAGCACAACCGTCTGGCCGCACTTGCCAAGAAGCTCGGTGTGAACCAGCCCAACTGAAAACGCCGAAACCCGTCCTGTTGCCCTTGTATATCATCCAGTCTCGTGTGATTTCACGGAACCACTGTATATTGTATAGTCCGCTTCGTGCGTGTGGTCAGTGGTGCAAAAGGTATATTGGCTGCTTTGATGCGCAGCCGGTGATGGCAGTGGAGAGCGGCTAGGGGGCGGCTGGCGATGAGAGCGCTTTGCGGCCGTCTTTGAGCAGCGCTCTGCATTCGGCGGCCACTTCGCGTACGCCGCTGACGCCGGCATCGGTCCATGCAGCAAGCACGGGTTCCATTGTACCCCACAGATGCTCTGCCTGCGCCAGGCCGGCTCTTCTCGCCTCCACATCTGGTTGCAGGGGAGCTGGTGCGGCGCCGGTGGTGTCTGCGCCGGCATGACGGCACTCGATGAGATCTGCAAGGTTGGTCGGGAGAGTGACAATGGGCTCGAGATCGAGATCGCGAAGCGCTTGCACCTCGTCTTTGGTCGGGTCTGTAGATGGCTGCGGTGGCTTTGGACGAAGCGAGTCGAGATGCGACGAGAGGTTGGACATGGATTCGAAGCACGACTTGAGCGAGTCGAGCGACGGATCGAGCGACTCTGATCTGAGCTTCATGTTGCGTATTGTGTCGCTTGCTGCGACGAGTTCGTGGTGGTGGTTGTAGACCAGGCTCTGGCGCTCGCCGTCGAGCTCGCGGATCTGGACGATGAGTTCGGATTCCTTGCCAAGCAGCACGCTGAGGCTGTTGGAACGCAGCAGCGAGATGAGATCGACGTCCGGACCGGCGCCCTTCCTCTTGAGATCGCCCGCGGTAGAGTCGAGCGATGGAGAGCTCGAGGCCGATGGAGCATCCGACGAAAGACCATAGTAGTCACGAAGCAAGTTGGCCGCGCGTCGCTTGTCGTTGCGCATGCGCGGTGTGGAGGCACTTGCCTCGGCACCAGAGCCGGAAGCTGCAGTCGTGGCCATGGCGGGTTCAATAGCAGCCGAGTGACCGAGGTGATGGTGTTGGGATGGAGAGGAGGAGAGGTGTTGGCGCGTGCCCGAGCGCGACGTTTCGAGTGTTGGGCTCAGTCGGATTTTGGGCGTAAGTAGTAACAGCCAGGGTCTAACATTGCTAAAATTCGATTTCGCTGACTTTCTTGGCACAGCCGGTGGAGGCGGGCGAGCCGACAACGCTTGCGGTGTGCTGCGCCGTGCTGAGCCCTCACTGATGAGTGCAGCGGATGTGCCGCTCGCACTGGCCGACTGCCGACCGCCGAGCCAAGGCGATGTGGGAGTGTGTCATGCCAAGCAATCCTCGCTCTTCCCCACCTTCATTCCGCTCCACCATCCCCTCCTCGCCACTTTCTCCACTTCATCTGCTCAGCCGCGCTCATCCCCGCACAGCGCTCGACGACGCACCTTCCCGGTCTACGTCCTCGTAATCGCTGAAACCACTCGGGACATCGCGACACCGCCCTCGGACGCTCGAAACAGTCCGTCGACATCATAGCCCAGCATGGTACGCACGCCGTCCATCGGCTCGGGCGACAAGGACAAGGAAAAGGCAAACGCGACCCTGTCCTCCGCATTCGCTTCCATGATGGCCGTCGGCGCTCCTCATCACAGCACGCGCAACCCTTTTGCCATCGGTCAGCTCAAGATCGCAGACTCCTCCGACTCGCATCGCAGTCGCAGCGACCGTTCCGCTGCATCTTCCCATCACGACGACGAGCGCTCTGGGAAAAAGTCCAGACGTCTCAGTGCATTTGGACGATCCGGTCGCAGCATCTCGCCCTTCCGCTTCAGCTCAAGAAGGCGTTCCTCCTCCGCCAACCGCCTCAAGATCAATCCGGACGACGACACCGGCTCAGAGAGCGGTCCGCGCAGCGAAAGGGACCACGACAGCGACAACGACTCGGTCATAAGCTCCTCCTCCGGCATCACTCCCAGAAACAGCGCATTCTACAATCCATACGACGACGACGACCCCGACGCCGCAGCCCCCCACTCCCACCGCAGACCTCATCCCGCGTCTCCCAACGCACCCACAGTCCCATTACCAAAATCCTCCTCTTCCACCAGCCTCGCCTCGTCCAACCACGACGATCCGCACGGCGCCGAGGCGGATGTCGAGTCCGACGACGACGCCGCCTCAGACACCTCCGACCTCGATAACAAGCTCACCTCGGCAGACGCGCAAGACGGCGACGATGAAGACGACGAGGACGACGACGAGATGGACTCGATCGTGCTCGACAACACGCTCTACAATGCAGGCTGCCTCACCAAGCACGAGCACTGGAACGGCGAGAGCAAATCCGAAGACGGTCACCACCACTTTGAAACCTACGAGGACGAAGACCTGGAGCGCGATGACGAGCACATCACCGCTCCCAACGTCGTGCTCAGCGAAGACCAAGTGTCCACTTTCCTCCTGCGACGCGGCTCCAAGATGCTCTCGCTCGCCACCTCCCGCCCGCGCTTCGAGCGCAACCGATGCACCATCACCATCAGCCACGGCGACGCCGATGCTGCCGCCAAGGCGAGCAAGCGTCCCAAGCGCTACGTCGTCGCCAGCGACGGTTCCGAGGAATCCTCCTACGCCGTCGAATGGACCATCGGCACCGTGCTGCGCGACGGCGACGAGATGCTCGTCGTCTCGGTCATGGAGACCGACACCAAGCTCGACGCGCTCGACCCCAAGCACGAAGAGGTCTCGGCGCGCATGGAGCACCAGCGCATCCGCCAGGCCATGGCATCGGTGCTCGCCAAGCAAGCCACCCACCTCCTGGAGCGCACCCGTCTCGAGGTCAGGATCTCGTGCCAGGCCATCCACGCCAAGAATCCGCGCCACATGCTCCTCGACCTAATCGACTTTTACGAGCCCACCATGGTCGTCGTCGGCTCGCGCGGTCTGGGCTCCTTGCGCGGCATCCTGCTTGGCTCCACCTCGCACTACCTCGTGCAAAAGTCTTCAGCGCCCGTCATGGTGGCGCGAAAGAGGCTCAAGCTTCCGGCGCTGCCGCGGGGCAAGGGCGATGTGGTCGAGTCGGTGCGCGCGCGACACATGCGTCTCGACCAGGCCTCCATCGAAAAGGTCTCCAACGCAGGCGAGGACGACAAGAACGACACCGCCGCCGACGCCGACGACGCAGCTGCCAGCGAAGACGTCTCTCCCGACAATGAATCGCCCGACGCGAAAGGCGCCGAGCAGGCCTCGACCGATGCACAGACGGGCGACTCGGCGCCGGCCAGGGCGAGCACGCCTCCTCGGCGCACGAGTGGATCCGACGACGGCAGCTCGTCGGTGCACAAGGCTGGAGTCGAAGGCAGCCCCAAGCTGCAGCGCAAGGCGTCCAAGGCGGAACCCACGATCATCTCCAACACCTCGCTCGAGAGGGAGGCCGAGACGCGCAAGCAGATCCAGCAGCGCAAGGAGGAAGCGGCCAAGCTGCACGAGGGCGACAAGAAGCGCCACGTCTTTGCGCACTCGTCCGACCACCTCAAGACTTCCAAGAGTGCCAGCCGTCCGGGCAGCGAAGACGACACTGATCCCACCGACGACGAGCCCAAGTCGGCGCAGCTGCACCCAGGCGCAGCTGCGCGTGCGGCGAATTAGAGTCGCTCATCATGCTGAGGATCATACACGCAGGCTGGACCTCGTTTTCGAAGGGAGAGGGCAATTTCAAGGGTACACATGCGTCTGAAAAGACGCGCAAGGTCAAGACGCGCTGCGGGCTGTGGATCCGACTGAAACGAAACGCTAACGAGAGGGGCAAGTGCCAAGAGGCAAAGCGGCGCCGGCACAGTTGCACGGCTTGCACGCTTCTTGGTGGTGGGAACAGAAGGCGAGGTCGTTGGTGAGGCTCTTCCAGGTGGATTTGAGGAAGCCGACGTAGTCGTCGACGCCGAGCGCCTCGAGGTTGATGTTGGTGGCGTGCCTGACGTGCTTGACCGTCTGGGCGGCCTCGAGCGAGAAGCGCTTGGCCGCCTTGTTGAGGCCGTGCGAGGTGGTCTTGGCTGCCTCGATCGACTGAGCGCCGAGCTGCACCAGGGCGGGGCCGACCACGGTGCGCTGGTAGTCGGCAGACTTGCGTGCCGTCTCCATGGTTTGCTGCTGCATAAAGGCGAGGGCCGGGCGAAGCTGGTCTCGGTTGTACTGTGCGGTCCATTCTGCAGTGTGGTGAGCGGTGCGGACGGTGTGCTTTTGCAAGTTGGCCAGCGCGGGGAGGAGGTGCTGTTTGTGATAGCGATGGGCGCGTCTGGCTGCTTTGGAAGCTTGATCGGCGGTGCGATGCGCAGGGCCGACGGCGTGCTTTTGCAAGGCCGGGACGACGATCTCTTGGTGGAATCGACGGGCTTGTCGAGCGGCGTGCGCAGCGTGTTGGCTGGCTTCGACGATGGAAGGCCTGAGTACGACGTGGTAGTAGCTGTCGAGTTGATCGAGCCAGTAGTCCCACGAAGTTGTGGTGGCGTCGCCGATGGAAGAGGCATCCGAGAGAAGCGGGAAGACGGGTCGATCCACGGGAACGCAAGGCACACGCGCCGCTAGCGGGTTCCTGTGACGTCGTGCCCTCTGCCTTGTGATGATGCAAGGTCCATTCGGCAACGCTTTGACGTTCGAGCCCGTGTGCACCTGTGGAGCGAGGGTCAAAGCTTTCGGGGTGATCGCGGATGGCTGGAGCGCAGTCGACTCGCGCTTCGACCTGGAGCGCTGTTCGCTGACAGGTGCGATGGATGCGGGCGCCGAGGTTGAGGGCAGGGCGACGAATGATTTGACAAGCGAGTGCGGAGGCTGAGAGGGAGCGAGCGAGCTGGAATGGGCCTGTGCGGCTGGGGTCACGAATTTGGCCATGGACTGGGGCTGTGTGGCGATGATTTGAACGTCGGATGTACGCCAGCCACGCAGAAGCGAGTTTGGATGGAAAGGGACGCCGAGGAGAACGGCAGCCAGCAGCATGAGGAGGCAGGTGGTTTTGGGAGAGGCCAGAGCGACTCGCCTGAGATCAAGGAGAGATGCGCGCGTGCTTTTGGACTCGCCAAAGAAGGGATCCTGAGAGCTCTGAGCGCGGTCAGGAGTCGCTTGGAGGCTCGTGGCTTCGAAGGCTTGGCGGATCTGCTGCTCTTTGGACGGCGGGGTGGGCTTGTAATGTTCAGGCTCGAGGGACTCGGGCTCGAAGGGTTCGGGCTTGAAGGCTTCGGGCTGTGCGGGAGGAGGCAGGCTGAAGGGCTCGGGCTGTGTGGGAGAGGCGATGGTGCAGATCGAGCTAGAGTCCATGTTGGCCTCGCTAAAGATGGCGGCGGGGTCAGGGAAGTGGAAGCGAGACTCGTGGAGCGCTGGACTGGGCGGGGCACTTTGGTCGTCCGAGACGACGCTGGGAGCGATGGAGTGGGTTGAGGAGGGTGGCTGCGGACGCGCATCGTCGTCAAAGTCGACGAGCTCGAAATCGGACGAGGCATCCTCGGACTCGATCATCGAGATCACTGAGATGCTGTCCGAGAGGTCGGTGTCGTTCACGGACGACATTGTTGTAGCGGCTGGCTGCGGGGCTGAGAAATGGGTGAGGATGGATGAGGGGGAGGAGGGGGAGGAGGGGGAGGAGGAGGAAGGGAGTGGGCGCTATCGGCGCCCAAAGGGCTCAGTTGCTGCTGCTGCTGCTGCTGCTGCTGCGCCGATACGGTAGCCACGCCCTCGCTGCGCAAAGACCACCCCCAAAGCGAGCACCAGCGCAGTGTTTTCCCCTCATGAAAGCGCTTGAGCCAGCCTCTCTCTCTTTTTTTTTGGCGCGGCTTTTTTGGCAGGAGAACCCTGCATGAATGCGCAGCGGAGTGCATCCGAAAGGGTCCGATTTATGCATCATGTTATGTCGACGTACTTCACAGCTGAAATCGAAAAATCGAGCCAACGCGATCTCGGAAGATGGACAAAATCGGCGACGCCTCGATGAGAGCACGAGCAACCGCCTCCGCTCGTTGCTCCCTTACACCACCCTCCCGCTCGCCCATCAAGCAGCGTCGCTTTCGACCCGCGCAGTCAAACCAGCCTGAATTCACGCTCAAGCTCCAGGCTCGGTCTTCTGCCTCCGTCTTCCCATCCGGCTGTATCCCGCAAAAGCACCGGGGCTGACATGCACGTCTAGACAGCACGACCGACTCTCCTGCTCGTGCAGCATCAACTCAACGGTCGGCATCCTCGTCAGGCCTCAACGCACACGACACATATCCAGACGCAATGACGCTTGCCGCCGCCCTCGAGCGTCCAGACGCCTTCGTTGCCGACTGCTTGTCGCAATCGAACCAGCACGATACGCAGCAACTGTAAGTCTCCTCCACTTTGGCATCGCAGGGCCACCAACACGACAGCTCCCCACGTCCACGCCAGGCACAGCCTCCTCCATCATCTCATCCACCGCAAGCCTACTGACTCAACCTGACCCGGTCAAATCGGCGCGTCGCATCGCTCGCTCGCTCGGTATCCATCGCCTCCTTTCTCCTCCTTGAATCTGCGCAGCCAACAAGCGCTCCACGACGCACTCGAGCGCTCACATGCCGATCACGACGATCTCTCTCTCCCGTCGTTGCTGCTAGCGCTTCTACGCCAACACTGCCTCTCGTCGCTCACACCCGACAATGTGGCCTCCCTGCTTCTCGGACAGCTTCACCAGCACGCAACCTCGACAGAGTCACAATCCATCCTCTCCGACTGCCTCCTCGACTCGATATGGAGCATCGATCTTGAGCTCGAGTCCCGCAACGATCTCGCAGCTGCTTCCGATCCAGTAGCCATGCAGCCCCCCTCGCTCACCTCAGACCCGCACCATCCCGTCCCGCTCGCCCTCGCACGCCAAAATCTAGCCGCTCTCGTCGCCGACCTCCTTTCCTCGGCTCTCCTCGTGGAGGATCACGTGAGCGAACGTCTCGAGCACTCCCTCCTCGCCCTCGTTGGCCTCATCCCAAACGAAGTCTACTTCAACAAGCGCTCCATCCAGCTCCGCACCGCACGCCTCTTCAAACAGCAAAAGTTCAACCTCCTCCGCGAGGAAAACCAAGGCTACACCGCCCTCATCACCGAAATCGTCACCAACCTCGGCCCGCCCACCATCGCTGTTCGCCACAACATCGACCCTGCCACACAAGCACAACCGCATGGCTCCATCTTTGCATCCGAATCAGCCTCCGTCATCGAGCAGGAATCCCCTTCACTCCGCAATCGCCGTGCAGCGCGCGTCATGAACAACATACAGGCGCTCATCGGCTACTTTGACCTCGACGCAAACCGCGTCCTCGACCTCATCCTCGACCTCTTCGCCACCGAAATCATCCGCCACTATCCCTTCTTCCTCGCCCTGCTCTCCCACTCGCCATGGGCCAACGCAGACGCCAACCCCGCCTCGGCCTCGTCCGCAAACGCCTCGGCCACCAACCCCTTTGCCGACATCAATCTCGACCTCTCGCTCGATTCCGGCGACCGCATCTGTGCACAGCTCCTCGGCTTCAAGTTCGCCCACTACGCCCACCCGGACACAAAGGATGCCACTCCGGACGAGCTCTACCTCCTCGCCGCACTCCTCATCAAGATCGGCATCGTCCGTCTCGTCGACCTCTACCCGCATCTATCCCCTTCCGAAGACGGCATGCGAAGTCTGCAAACAAAGCACCGCCAAGCACTCGCCGCCAAAGCCTCCACCGCACGTGCCAACGCCCTTTCCATGGCCGCGCCTCTCACCGACGATGCCGACCCCTCGTCCAAATCAAAAGACGGCACAAAGACAAAAGACGAGGCCCCCGCAAAGGATCCGCCAAATCAGGTCGTCGGTCTCGTTCGCGCCATGCTTTCGCTCGGCGATCTTCGTCACGCCCTCTTCCTCCTCACTCGCTATCCCTGGCTCTGCTCCGCCTTCAACGAGGTCGCAGACCCCTTCATCCGCCTGCTCAACGTCATCGTTCAGCCCGCCTACGATGAGATCTCCTTCTCCCGCATGAACCCGCCCTGCGCACAGCCCTCCATCCTTTCGCCACGTCCACGATGGGACCCCAAATTGCAGGCCGCTACTCGTCCGGCCGTCAAGAGCCTCGTCCTCACGCGCAAAGTGCCAGAGCCCGCTCCCTCCCTCAGCTGTCAGCACGTCTTCTTCTACCCGCACTGGACAGACTCCCTGCCCCTGTGCCGCAGTCTCGACGACGTACTTCGCATCTTGGTGCCCCTCCTCAAGGTCCTCGGCGCCAGCCTTTCCAGAGATGCGGCGCTCTTCCAGAAGGTTTGCCGTCTCACAAAGGTCGGCTACCGCCTCGCCACAACCGCCGCGGCGGCTGCCGTGTCCAATGCCCAAGACCCTTACGACGACTTTGACGAGCCTCAAGAGGACAGCCAGAGCCAGAGCTGGTTCGATCTTCTTCGCTTCCACCTCCTGCCCGCCCTCTCGCTTTCGCCCTCAAACTCGGGTCTCGTGGACGAAGTGTGGATGCTCGTGCGCATCATGCCGTACGACAAGCGCTTCTCCCTCTACGGCCAGTGGAAGTACGACCTCTACCAGCTCCCCGAGCTTCGGGCCGCACAGGCCGCCACCGAAAAGGAAGCAAAGGGCATCCTCAAGAGAATCAGCAAGGACAACATCAAGCAGTCCGGCCGCAACCTCGCCAAGGCTTCCCACTCCAACCCCACCATCTTCTTCACCGTCGCTCTGAACCAGATCCAGGCGTACGACAACCTCATCCAGCCAATCGTCGAGTCCGCCAAGTACCTCTCGCAGTTCGAGTACGACATCTTTGCCTTCAACCTCGTCGATGCGCTCTCCAACCCTGAGAAGGAGCGCACAAAACAGGACGGCACCAACATCAGCCTCTGGCTCAAGAGTCTCGCCGCCTTCTGCGGGACCCTGTACCGCCGCTACGCCATGATGGACTGCACTCCCGTCCTCCAGTATCTGGTCAACCAGCTCAAAGCCAACAACTCCAAGGACCTCGTCATCATGTCCGAGCTCATCACCAAAATGTCTGGCATCGAACCGCTCGCCAATCTCGCCGACGCACAAATCGCCGCGCTCACCGGCGGTCGTCACCTGCACATGGAGGCCATGATGGCCGCCAACGCCCTCACAGGCAGCAAAGAGCGCATCGCCTTCCGTCGCTCGGGCCAGCGCTTGCTCCACGCCCTCGTCGAAAGCAAGCTCTCTGTCCCTCTCCTCATCCTCGTTGCACAGCAGCGACAGGCCTGCATCCACCTGGTCCCCGAGAGCGAGGCGCATCTCAAGTACCTCGGCAACCTCTACGACTCGTGCCAGGAGGTCCTTCTCCAGTACGTAGAGTTCCTCTTCAACCACCTTGACACGGCCGAGTACGCCTCGCTGGTTCCGTCGCTTCAACACCTGTGTGTGCGATTCGGCATCGAGCCGGCCATCGCCTTCTACATCGCCCGACCCAAGCTGGTCCACAGCATGAAGCAGACCGAAGCCGCCGACGCTGCAGAGCGCCTTCGCGCCGAGCTCACAGCAAGTCGCGCAAAGACCAAAGCCGCAGGAGACGACAAGGCGCCTGCGCAGGCGGACGCCGCCGATACTCAGGAGGAAGAAGTAGAAGCCGCGGACAAGACTTATGCCGCGGATCAGGATGGCGACGTCGACATGGAAGATGCAGCAGTGTCGTCGCCGACAAAGGAGGCAGCAGGCGACAAGGCGGAAGTCGACGCCGCTAACAAGGAAGTGTCGGACAGCAAGCTACCGTCTCCTTCATCCATCGAGCCTTGGCATCGCGGACTCGCCGATGCCATCCACGCTGCCAAGGATATGCTGCCAGAGTCTGCGCTCCCTGGCTTGGGCGTCCACTTCTACGTCACATTCTGGCAGCTCAGCCTCGCCGACATCAGCGTGCCGATCGAGCGATACCAGCAAGAGGTGAAGCGTTTAAACGCTGTCATCCGCGAGACAGCAGCTGAAGACCAGCGTAAGCGACTTCAGGACAACGTCGGTCAGCTCAACGCAGAGATGAAAGACCAGATGAAGTCGCACGAGGTCACGCGCAAGAGGCTCCAGGCCGAGAAGAACCACTGGTTTGTCGACACAGCCGACCGAGGCGCGATCGTCGCGCAACTCATCCAGTACTGCCTGTTCCCACGAGCGCTCTTGTCTCCCACCGACGCCATCTTCGCCGGCAAGTTCGTCCGCACCGTCCACAATCTCGGCACTCGCAACTTCTCCAGCTTGACCGCCTACGACAAGATCTTCGTTGATCACGTCGCCGCCGTCATCTTTTCGTCGACGGAAAACGAGGCACGCAACTACTCCAGATTCCTCTACACCGTCCTGGCCGATCTGAGTCCTTGGCATCGCCAGGCCGACATCTACGCAAAAGAAGCCATCGGCCAGAAGCTGCCCGGTTTCCAGATGCGATGGCAGGATCGACATGGAGGCGAGGACATTCCAAAGGCGGATCTCTTGACTTGGGACCAGTTCCGGCTGATCTTCTGCAAGTGGCAGGACTGCCTGCAGCGCGCCTTCAAGACCTGCCTCTCGTCCAAGGAGTACATGCGCATCCGCAACAGCATCATTGTCATGACGCGCATTTCGCCGTTCTATCCGCTCATCGACTCGCACGGAACCGAGATCAGCGCCATCGTCGAGTCGCTTGCCGCCAACGAGCAGCGAGGAGATCTCAAGATTCTCGCTCAGGGTCTATTGGCCACGCTCAAGGCTCGCGCAAAATCGTGGCTGCCTTTGCACCAGGCTCGCAAGGTCGCCAATCCTCCGGCTCCCGCAGCTGCGACCAAGACGGCTGACGACAGCAAAGCTGCACCTTCTGGCACGGCTGCACAGGCTGATGGTGACGAGCGCAAGCAGCAGGATAAGGCAGCTCCCACTAGCGCCGGCAACGATGCAAAGTCTTCGGTGCGCGCACAGCGAGACCCAGCTCCACCGGCATCGACGAACACCAATGGCCGCAGCAGCGACCGGGCATCCGAAAAGACCCCCACGCCCTCTGCTGCGGGTTCCAGATCGACAGCACCACCGACGGCACCGAGCGGCCGCGGAAACACGGCGACCAAGGTGCCCCCGAGCGCCAACCTTCCGTCGCGCCCGGGAGGCGCGCCACAAAAAGCGGCCGCTGTCGAGTCCAAAGACCGCCGAGGTGGCGCAGCGAGCAGCCAGGCTGATGGTCGGCGTGGCGAGGACCGAGGCAACGCGAGGCAGGAAGATGCCTCGCGACGAGGAGGTGGGGAACGCACGCAGGGTGCGGTCCCGTCGGGTCCTCGAAGCGATGCTTCGCGCGACAACGGTCTTCCGTCGCGGCCTTCGCGGGAGCCGAGCTCGGCTGATAGCCGCAGCCGCGGTGGTGCGAGCAATGGTGATCGGGCCGCGCCGGCTCAGGCCTCGCGCGATACTGCCGACGCCAAGGGTGGTGTTGACGCGATGAATCCCCCGACCGGACCCGCGAGCACGACGAGTGCGCAGGCCGTGCGCAACCGAGCAGAGCGAGACCGCAACGAGCGATCGTCCTCGGCATCCTTGCCTGCAGCGAACAAGGACAAGGACGCACGTGATCGCAACGACCGACAAGGTGACCGGGACAAGACGCGCAACGCTGAGCGTGATCGTGATCGCGAGCGCGAGCGCGAGAGAGATCGCGAACGAGACCGGGATCGTCGCGACCGCGACCGATCGGCTCGGGACCGCGATCGAGAACGCGAAAAGGAACGCGAGCGCGAGCGCGAGCTTGCGCTCCGGGACCGCGAGCGAGCTCGCGATCGAGATCGCGGTGGCAACGCTCGGGATCGCGACGATCGAAAGCGCAGTGGCGGACGCAGTGGCCAGCCCAGTCGTAACGCCACGCCCGTGCGTGATCTGCCCGACGGCGGCGGTCGCGAGAGCGGCTCGACGACTCCTCTTGGCCCGCGCCGAGACCGGGAACGCGAGCAGGCCCAGCGTCCGCGCGACCGCGATCGCGAGTCGGCCGCAGCCACGCCCACCTCTGCGCGCTCCACACCGGGCGTAGGAGCGCCCGAAGAGATCAGCATCCGTGGCGGAGCCAAACGCAATCTGGTGGACCGTCTCGGTGGTGCCTCACCGCGAGGAGCCTCGCCCGCTGCTCGCACCGGCAAGCCTGATGCGCCCGACCCGGCTTCGGGTTGGGACACTCCGAACGACGCTTCGGGTTGGGACACTGACGAGCCGGCCAAGCGCATCAAGATCGACCGCAACCAGAAGTACGCCGCTGCCGGCCCGCCCTCAGCGCCCGCTGCCGAGTCGCAGCGCAACGACCGACGCGCTCAATCGTCCAACTCGAACCGCAACTCGTTCGGTGGCGGCCGTGACCGTCGCGATGGCGGCCGAGACCAGCGTCGAGACCGTTCCGCCCGCCGAGCTGGGAATGAATAGACCCTCACACACATGGAAATCTCACAATTCTCTCAGATCCCCACTTTGAAAGAAAGACAGCAGAGCAAAGCGTCCATTGCAGGCAAAAGAAATCAGAGAAGGCCGTGCTTGAGCAGGGCGAGGCGGTAGGTTTCGGATTGCGACTGCTGAATGGCAAGGTCGCGCTTGAGGCGTTTGTTGCTCAGCATAAGTTCGTGCTGGTCGTGCTTGGTGCGCTTGAGCTCGTTGCGCAGCGTGGCCAGCTCGTCGTTCTCGGGCGCCTGGGTGTGCGAGTAGAGCATGTCGAGCTCCTCGTTGAACGCCTTGTGAATCTCGGTGTTCTCCAGCCGTCCATCGGCTTCCAGCGTAGTGAGCAGCTCGCACTTGCGCTTAAGAGCCGCAAGCTGGATCTCGAGCTGCTGCTTCTCCTTGAGTATAGCCTCATCGGGCGCACTGGAAGTTGCGCTTCGAGTCGATTCGGAAGCGTGTGCGGCTGCGAGGGCCGACGTGGCCGTGGTGAGATCGTGCATGATGCGGTTGTGCATGCGGATGGCCGAGATCCACTTTGCATCCACATCCGACAGCAAAAAGGCGAGCTTCTTGAGCCGCGCGTGGATGTGATCCGCCTCGGCGCTGATCGAAGCGGCCGCATTCACGTCGAGCTCGCCGAGCACCGCGTCGTCGCCTCGTCGCTTTCGCGGCGTGCGCGCATCGCCGTCCGTGGCAGACAAGCTGCTCTGCAGGATCTCGACATCGCACCGAAGCAGGTTCATCTCCTCCTTGACAAGACGAAGCCCGTGCTCCACCGCCTCGTTCCTGCGTCGCGCCTCTTGCGACTTGGACGCAGTCGAGGATGTGCGCGCGGGAGTCACGGGTGCCTTGCCAGAGACTGATGCTTCCGCGATTGGCTTTGCGCCGTCAGCGCCGTGTCCTCGCTCCGTGGATGTCTCGCTTTCGGAGATGGACGGCCTCTGCGCCGAAGGCTCCTCCGCCGAGAGTCGGGCCAGCGGGGCGGAGCGTGGGAGGAGCGCGGGCCCTTGCTTCGCTTCGAGATCGTCATGATCACGACCCAGAGACGGTCGCTTGGTCAACGACTCATCCGCATGCGCGGCTGGGCTGTCGTACCCGCTCGACGACAGCGGCCGCTTGGTGCCCGACACGCGCCTCTTGGCCACGCTCGTATCACCGGCGGCGGTCGAAATCGCACGATCGGCGGCATAGACGCCGATGCTGGAAGCGGGACGCGCCCGGACGGGAGTCGCCAGCTCGGCATCGTTTTCGTCGTCGGTGGCGCTTCCCATCCTCGGCGGAGGCTTGCGACGGATGTTGAGCGGTGTTGTGGGGCCGCTGGAGAGCCACGAGGGCGACGCCGGCTCGATGCGCGAATGCGGTCTCGGCGCAGGACTCGGGCTGGTCTGCTCTCTGGGACCCGTAGGCTTCCGACTTGCGGAGCTCGGTGTCCTAGAGAGTTCGACCGACTCTGCCCTCTGGCGTTGCTGGTACGGCGGCTGTGCTTTGGAAGGCGACCAGTTGGGTGTGGCCGCGGCGCTTTCAGTCCGAGCCCTCGTATGAGCTCCAATGGCGCGACCTCCTGCAGCATTCGCTCCGCCCAATTTGCGTGGAGATGCCAAGCTTGACCCAGCCAGGAGCGACACTGGGTCGGGCGTAGCAGCCCTAGCCCGGCGTTGGAGATGCGCATCGTCCTCTTCTGCGCTGTCGGCGTCGTAGCGACTCGCAACACTCGAGGGCGGACCGACGGAAGATGATCTGCGTCGTCCGAATCTCCGGAATGAGCGAGGCGAGTCGGCGTTTCCGCGGGAGAGGGCTTCGAATGCTCCGCTGCGGCTGCTGATGCTGGTACCGGCGGTGGAGTGGGTCATGCCGCGACTGCTGACGGAGGCTGCGTTGCTGCTAAAGGTGCTCTTGGAGGCATTGCTGTTGCTGCGACGGGTCGGAGAGCCGAATACGTCGAGGTTCGAGATGCCAGCACTCGAGATACTCGAATTGGCGCCGCTGGAACCGAAGAGGAGCGAGCGACCAAAGTTTTCCAGTCCGGCGGCTGCCTTGGCACGGTGGCGGAAGCCCGATCCGGAGGGTGTGCCCGGCTGGCTCTGTGCGAGGGCTTGGACGAGGCTTCCATAGCGCTTCTCGACTTCGTCTGCGAGTTGCACCGCATGATCGCCAAGGTCGGCTGAAGCGAGACGGTAGGGCTCGCCAGCGACCTGGGCCAAATCGGCTCCCTTGGTGCGAACCTGCCCCACAAAATCTTCCTCCATCTCATCCACCTCGATGATATCGAGAATGGCATGAGGAAGCGCGGCCTCGGACGTTCCGAGTGCGGTGGCAGCATGGGGTCCTTCTGTGAGAGACAAGGCCAATGGAGTGCGGCTGTGATCGTGCTCGTAGGTTGATGTGGAGTGCAGATGGAAGTAGATGACCTTTCTCACGTCCGAAGGGTCGGCGACGGGGCGTGAAGGTCCAAGCATGGCGTCGTCGCTCATAGTGCGCCTCGAAGCTGGAACGATCCTGCAGCGCGTCTCGCAGCGGCTTTGACGTGCTTTGTAGAGGGCTTTTGCCCTCCAGACGTTGTCGAGGAAGCGCATCTTTTCGAGCTTTGCCGCGACGTCGGCGTCGAGCGTAGAGGAGCCCATCTGAGCGCGAGAGGCAAGTGTGGATGGGGTTGAAGAGGAAGCGTCGACGGCGACGTATTGGCGCAGGGAGCGACTGACCCACTTGTCGCCCGTGACGTGACTGGGCGTGCGGAGGAAAGCAAGTTGGAGATCGGAACCTCCCAGATCCTGTGCGTCAAGGTCTGCGAGGCTGATGGAGCCTCGGAAGGCGAGCTCGGGCCGCTTGGACTGTGCGAGCAGAGGAGCATGCGAGCTTCTTTCGGTGAACGTCTTCATCTGGGAGGTGAGTTTGCCGATGTCGTCGAGGCCGATGCGCTTGCGACCGCAGGTGGAGGCGCTGGAGCGCTTTACGATGGCGATGCGATCGTCAAAGAGAAAGAGGGAGCAGTGTATGGGTTTGAGACCGGAAAAGGGTGCGATGATGCCGGAGGAAGCTGCTGAAGGATCGAGAGGAAAGTCGTCTACGTCGATGCAGTCGATGAAGCGGCGATGGGCACTGATGAGTTCGGCAGGGAAGGATTCTACGTTGCGGCTGAAGCTCCAGAGGATGGCGGCTCTCTGCGTCTTTTCGTCCGCCTCGCAGCTGGCGATACGGCTGACGAGGGTGATGGCCTGGTGGAGGCGACTGCGGAGCGGATCGCGGGCGTCTACGTGGGTGAGGATGGCGTCAATGAGCAGCTTGTAGCGAGGGATGCGCTGTATGGGCTCCATGAGCAGGTCGCGAATGCCAGTGTTGCCGATACCGGTGACCGAATACTTTGTTCGATCGGCGAACTCGCAAAAGGCGCGGTGCTTTGCGAGCGTCTGCTCGATGTGCTTTGCCTTTTCAAAGTTGGCAAAGTACTCTGTGTAGCAGGAGAAGCAGGACATGTGGTTGTAGAGGACATCGCCGAGACCTGCGCGGAGCGCCTCTTGGCCTTGGGATGCCAGACGCTCGAGATCGTTGAGGAAGGCGCGATTTGCGCCTGCGATCTCGCCGATGTTGCCAAAGAGGCGCTGAGCCTCGTAAAGAGGGATGATGGCGGTGTCGCGATCCTTTGCGAGGGTGCGGAGGGGGATGGCGTACTTTTGGTGGAGGACGTCGATGCGGTTGACGTAGCTTCTTTCTGTGTCGATGAGCTCTTGGACGCGCGCAAAGAGGCGAGCCGAGTCGACCTTGGAGGGTTTGGCGCTGGATGCCGGTGTGGAGGTGGCCGGTGGTGCGGGAGAGGAGGAAGAGACTGCGTTGATGCTGGAACCGCTGGCGGACTTGGGCATCGAGCTGTGCTCATCAGGTGAGCTGAATCCTGCCGATGGATCAGCGTCGTGGTCGTGGACCAACTCGCCTAGCCAAGCGGTGAATGCGGCAGCGTCGCTGGGCTTTGCAAGGTCTGCGGATGAGAAGGAGAGTGGGACGCCAGAGTGTGAGCTCGAAGAAGCCTGACCGAGGACGACGTCGACATAGTAGGCGCGCGTGATGCTGTCGCTCACGCTCGAGCTGGAGAAGTGGGAGCCGGTGTAGGGCACGAGCGAAGGGTCGAGTGCATAGGTGGAAGTGGATTGCTCGGGAATGGCAGAGTCAGCTTTGGCGGATGATGCGCTCGAGTTGTATCTTGAGCGTGTTGGCGACGATGGTTCGCGGGGCATGTTTGCGACGATGGCGTGACCAGCGCCGATGCCTGCAAACGGCGACCTGGGAGGGTTTCGAGGTGGCATGCTGGCCGAGTTTCAGGTGAGAAGAAGCGAGATGTCGCCCGGCGTAAAGAGTATGCGTTCTTCACGTGCTCTTTACCATGCTGTCGAGCGATAGCAGAGTGGTGCGATTGAGAGAAAGGAAGGTGATGGTGGTGGTTGCAGTGATGGTGATGGCAGCGCTGAGTCGATGTGAATCAACACAACCAACACACCGACGCGTGAGCCGCTGTTTTTGGGCGCCTCCACAACGCGCCTTTTTTTGGCAGCAGCGCGTGCACTTCCCGGGCAATTGTGTCACAGTGTTAGCTCGCCTTAGTTTGCACAGTTGAATCGATTTCGCCGGCCAGCGGGACAACAGGCCGAGGCGACGTGGAAGAGGCGTCTGGAATGCGCAGCAGCAGCAGCAGGGCGGCGCGCGCCTGGTTGGTTGGTTGGTCGACTTTCTTCCAAAAGCTGGCCCAAACGCTGCCGGATTGGAAAGTGTTGGGTCTGGCTCAGCACCAAAGCACGAAAATCCAACACACAGACGACGCTCTGCTCCACCGCGCTTCGGCTCGGGGTGGCGGGGCAAGGCAGAGGAGGGAGAGAGAGAGATCGTCTGAGCTGAGCCTAATTTCGCACCGCGGGGCTGCTCGAGACCAGAGTCTGTGGGTCCTCTCGGCCTGCGTCGCTTGGCCCAGACGAGCGCGCAGCAGTGTCGAATCGATTCAGAGCCGCCACTCCCATTGAACCCTGGAAAGCCAGCAAGGAGCCATCTCGGGCCGTCGCCATCTCCACCATCTGACACCACACCCGCACACAACCATCGCATCCCCGACACTCACAATGACCGACCCCAACCAGAGCATCGTCGACCCCGTCGCCAACAACGTCCAGCCCGCCAAGGCCGACGACGACGCCAAGAAGGTGTTTGCAGGCAACCTGGCCTTTGCCACAACCGAGGACGACCTCAAGTCGCTCTTCTCCGAGGCCGGAAAGGTGTAAGTGCTCAGCATCCAGATCGTGCTCTCCGATCGAACTTGCATTCGCTGATCCCATTATGATACTGTCATCGCATCCAGCACACACGCTCAGATCATCACACGCGGCACCCGTTCGCTCGGCTACGGTTTCGTCACCTTGGCCACCGAGACAGAAGCGCAGACTGCCATCCAGCTGCTCAACAAGCGCGAGGTCGCCGGTCGCGAGATCAGCGTCGAGTCGGCAAAGCCGCAGTCGGCTGCCGACGCCGACAAGGCAAAGGCGCGCAAGACGCGCTCCAAGGCCAAGGCCAAGGACTCGACGCGCGCTCCGCGCCGTGCACGTGCCGACGAGGGCGAGGAGGGCGCCGCCGAGGAGGACGCTGCCAAGCAGGCCGGTGTGAACGGCGAGGCGGACAACGCCGACGTCAAGCCGTCCAAGTCGGCCAAGCGCAGGCAGAAGAAGAAGGCGGCGGCGGCGGCGGGTGCAGGTGCCAACGGCGAGTCGGCCGAGGTCGATGCCAACGCCGAGTCGAGCGACGCCAAGACGCGCGCTCCCAAGCCCAAGCGTGGTCCCAAGGGCGCGCCCACGGGTGAGCTGTCGCCGACGCTGGTGTTTGTGGCCAACGTGGCCTTCTCCACCACCGACGAGTCGCTCAAGGCTGCGTTTGGCGAGTACAAGGTGAAGTCGGCGCACGTGGTCAAGCGCCGCGGCGGCAACCGCTCCAAGGGCTTTGGCTTTGTCGACTTTGAGGACGCCGCCGAGCAGCAGCGCGCCATGGCCAACGCGCAGAACATCCAGATCGACGGCCGCCAGGTGTCGCTCCAGGTGGCCGTGCAGTCGGACAGGCACAACGCAGACGCGGCTGCCGATGCTGCCGACGCTGCTCCCGCCGCCACCGCCTAGATAGCGCCGCAACAGCGTCTCGGTAGTCCACGGGGGACGAGGCTCACTTGACATCCGCGTTTCACACCCACACCCACGCATGCAAAACACCCCATAAAATGCAGCATAATTTACCCGTAGCAAAAGGAACCTAGCGCAGGATACGATCAGTGCGGAGGGCGCTCGTGCATCTCAAAGTGTTGGTGGTGGTCTTGGTCTTGGCTTGTTGCGTCTGAGCTCGAAGGGGAGCGGCTGCGAGACTTGACGCGCGGACGGTCGAGTCGTTGGCGTAAAGCGTCGATGATTTGCTGAGCGATGAGTTCGGCGAGCAGCACGGCGGCACAGATGGCGAGTGCGCCGTCGAGCGCCGCCACCGAGGGTGCGCCCTCGTACACGGTAAAGACCACCTGGAGCAGCACGAGCAGCACGGCAAACGCAAAGCGCGTTGCCATGGCGCAACGAAACGAGCGCAGCGTGCGATCGCGCCGATTCTGCATGAGCTTGATCACAATATCCACCGTGAGGTAGACCGCACTGGCGACGTAGATGTACTTGAACTGAAAGAGCGACTTGACAATATACTGGTCGATCGAGTCCGGGTTGACCACGTTGTCGGCGAATTCAAAGTAGCTCTTGAAGGGCAGCACGAGGCTGGGAGCAAACTGCGACGAGAGTGCATTGCTCGAGTCGGTCTCGTTGGCCTGTTCCACCAGACTCTGCGCCTGCGCCTCTCCGCCCGCAAGCCCCACCACGGATGCAACAAGTCGCTGCGCAGCGCTGAGCGTCGGGATATTGGCACCGTCGTTGCTCTGGATCACCGAGATGATGGCCGAGATTCCGGCGAGCGTTCCGTTGGAGGAGAGCGAAGAGCTACCCCCGCCCTCGTTGTACGGCTCGCTCGCCTGGTCCGAGGTGAGATTCTGCCACTGCGGCGTATTGGGCAGATAGATGGTGGGTTGCGCAAAAAAGTTGGTCATGGCATTGAGCGTGTTTTGGAAGCTGAGGATTTTCTTCAGCCCAATGACGAGGAGCGCTGACGACATGTGGAGCACCATGTGGATGTACGCCCACACCACCACCCACACCGAGGCGGCATCGATGCTGTTGGCGGCGCGGTGGAAGTAGCCCCCGAACTGGAGCACGACGATCAGCACGCACGACACCGCCTGCAGGATCGTATCGGCGCCCCAGCCACCACTCTCGATGGCCGCACCACCTAAGGCCTCGTTGCGCACCTTGGCGCCCGGGCTGATGCGGTTGAGCGTCTCGGCGATCCCCGTGAATCCTTCGCCGAGGATGATGAGGCCGAAGAGCACAAGACGCTCGGGCAGGACGCTGTCGCCGAGCGGCGATAACGCGCCGCTGAGCTCGTTGCCGAGCTGGGCCGCCGCCTCGAGAGCGACGCCGGCGATCCACATGACGAGGAGGGGAGCATTGACGCCGTTGCGCGGCACGAGACGGCTAAGAATCCAGAGCAGACCAGATGCGACGAGTGCGGCGATCGAGATGAGATGCGTGCGAACGACAGCCGCCTTGGTACTGCGTCGCGGTGCGGTGTGCAACGCTGCGTGCGCCGGCTCGAACTCGGGCTGGGCCAACTCTGCATGATCGCGGGCTGGATGCTTGCGCCAGCGGAAGAGGTCGTAGACGAGCACGACAGCATGGTCAAGCGCGAGAGCCATGCGGGAGCAGCCGTAGATGAGGGTGAAGTTGGTGAATCCGCCGCGGGAGAATTCGGAGGGGGTGGTGGAGAAGGCGACCCAGAGCCCCAGGACGGCGGCGCGGATGATACGCTGGCTCGTTCTGAAGAGGAAGGGATGGGCGTGGGAAGGACGTCGATAGCACACGTCAAAGTACGACTGGCTCCACCACGCCCACCAGAGCGCGGCAAAGTAGCCGAGGAAGGCGGCGACGTTGCCGAACTTTTCGAGCGAGACGGCGTTGGAGTAAGTGTTGAGGCAGGCGGCGAAGAGGAGGTCGAAGAAGAGGTCGCTGTAGCTGGGCGCGTGCGAGGCGGCGTGTGCGCTGAGCAGCACCATGTCGTGACTCGAGGGTGGTGCATCGTCGTGCTGGTCGTGCGGACGCTCCGAATGGGCTCGATGGGTGTGGGAGGATGGACGTGGTGTGTGGCCTTTCGCCTGCGGAAGCAGCGATGCATGCTCGCTGTCGTGATGTGGGTGAGATTGAGGCCGGCTCAGTTCGACGAGATGAGCCTTGGAAGTGTGCCCGGCGGGCTGAGTTGTCGCAGTTGGGTGAGCATCCGAGGCAGCATCCGAGGCAGCAGCCGAGCCGTGTCGCTCGTGCTCGACGTACGCGGGAGCTTGCGCAGTGTGAGAATCCACCATGGTCTCCATCGTGGCCGAACGCGGGGCATGCGAAGGTCTAGCTGCCTCGTTCGCGTCTGCTTGGAATTGTTGCGGCGGTGACGGAGATGTGGCAGGAGGACCGGCGGTAGGGTCTTGTGTGGAGGGCACCATGGCGGCGTCAGCCGTGGGCGGGCGTGTGGCAGCTCCCAGATTCGATGGGGCTCGTCGATGATGATCGTGGTGGCGAGGATGGTGGTGGTGGGGGGAGCGGCAGGCATGTTGAAAGCTTGTGTGGGTCAGCGGAGGAGGCGAGCGGGCCATCAGAGACAATGTGCACACTCGGCGGTTTCATATGGTTGCCGTTTAGGCCTCGACCCTATCTTTTTGTTTTGTTGGTTGACGGGACGGGCGCTTCCTCAGCACAATCTCATGCACCTCTGCTCGGAATCACGGAGCAATCAGTCCCACTGCTTTCCGGGCACCTCGGGCCCACGTCGGCATCAAAATTGACATTGCGGGCGGAGTTGCGAAGACGAGGAGCCATGTTCGGTGCACGTTTTGGTGGGGAGGCAACCGCCCACAGCCCCGTTGTTTGCCCTGCTTGGCCCTCTCGGTTCTAAGCTCTGCCGTCCAATCCTACGCGTCGTCCTGCAGTCAAACACGCCAGAGTTCATGCTCGCCCCCCTCGTCCGTTCATCATCGAGATCAGGTCTTCACTACCACCCCAGCCTTTTCTTGCCAGTGACCCAAGAGAAACAAAAAAAAGAAAAAAGCAAAAAAAGAACCATAAAAGAAAGAAAAAACAAAAAAAAGAATGCACTTTGAAGCGCTGCTCCCTACCAGGATTGAACTAGTGACCTCACCATTTCGAATGTCTTACGAGTGGCGCGCTCTCCCACTGAGCTAAAGGAGCTTGCGAGCTCTTGCCGCTTTCATGTCTGTCCCGTGGGCATACTGCATTATAACCTGTTACTCGTTAGCCGGTGGACAGACCGCGTCGATGGTGCACGGACGCGTTGTCTTGGAGGCGGATTTGCTGCTTCCAAGGCTCGTTGGCTCCTTCCGTTTGGACACCCCATTCGACCTTCTGACATTGACCTTGGCCATCGTCCGCAGCCCACATCGGCAGCACCACCACCGCTGCCAGTCGAACGCACATCGTCTCGCCGTGTCCGCGCCATCCCAACACGGAGATTGACACGGACTCGGTCGTGCATTCGCCCAGTAGTGCTGCTGGCATCCCATCCAACCCCACTTCCCCAATGCACAGCTCCGCGCGGTCCGCCGCCGCCGCCACAAGGAGGTCCAACGGCGACTTTGACGACCAGGCCTGGGGCATCGAATCCGACGACGAAGACTTTGTCACCCAGATCGCACCGCGCACAAACGTCCCTCGCAGCCTCAAATCTTCCTCGCGCTCCTCCTCTTACTCGTCCGCCAACCAGCCGCCTCCGCCCTCCACTCACAACCACCACAGAGCTTCGCAACCACCACATGTGTCCAGCGAATCGCACAGAGCTGGAGCGGCGGCTTCGAGCTCAACAGCACCGATCGCATTGACCAATCGTCGCACCAGCTGGACCGTCGTCGATCGACAAAAGTCCAGTCACTCTACCACCAACGACCCCATCGTAGGCAGTCCTCCCACAGATCTCTCCGACGCCGTCGCCGCCGGTCTCGACCTCGACCGCGCCAACGACAACAGCGGAGAGAGCGCCAGCGGCAGCGGTCGCGGCAGCCCCAGCGGCTTCCACCTCGTCGGTCACGACGATCCCAGAGCCAGTGGAAGCGAAGCAGAGGATGTCGACCTCAACACTGGCAAGACCGTCAGACGCCCTTCCGGTGCAGCGCGCAAACCCAGCTCCGGCTCCACCGAGGCCGAGACCCTGCGTCGCTCGCTGCGCAGTGACATGGACAAGCTCGTCCGAGACCCCGCACACGCCCTCACCCGCCTCTCGGCCCAATGGGCATCGTCGCATCAACAATCAAGCTCAAGCTCTGATCAGCCGTCCGATGCCGCACAGACTCTCACAACCACCAGTAGACTCGGCGTCGCTCCTACTCCCACTGCTCACGAGTTCTCCTTCGACCCGATCGCCGCTGCCGGCGATGGCCTCATCATGACCGGGCCCAGCTTTGTCGATGCGGGCGCTGCTAACCGAGGGCTCTCCAACTCTTCCTCGCACGCATCAAATATTACGAACGCAGACTTGAGCGTCGACTCCGACTCGACGGCAGCCGCCAACACCGCCAGCACCAGCAGCGCAGCCAAGCACGACACCGACCGCTCCTCGAGCCTCTCCCGCAAGCGCAGCGTCCGAAGCTCGCGGCGCAGACAGCAGCTTCTCAACTGCCTCTCCAAGCAGAGCGTAGACATGTCGCAGCTCCGCACCCTCGCCTGGGCCGGTGTGCCGGAAGAGCTGCGTCCCATGGTGTGGCAGCTGCTGCTCGGCTACCTTCCCGCCGTCGCCTCGGTGCGCACCTCCACCTTGTCGCGCAAACGAGCCGAGTACGTTGCAGGCGTGGAACTCGCATTTGCCAAAGGCATCGCTGCGCTCGATCAGGCCATCTGGCACCAGATCCACATCGACGTGCCACGCACCAATCCGGGCATCCGTCTCTGGCAGCGCCAAGCCACCCAGCGGGCGCTCGAACGCATCCTCTACGTATGGGCCATCCGCCATCCCGCAAGCGGATACGTACAGGGCATCAACGATCTTGCCACGCCCTTCTTCGAGGTCTTCCTCAGCGCCTACATCGACTCGGATCCAGAGATGTTCGACGTAGCACTGCTGCCACAAAAGGTGCTCGAGGCTATCGAGGCCGACACCTTCTGGTGCCTCTCCAAGCTGCTCGATGGCATCCAAGACAACTACATTTTTGCGCAGCCTGGCATTCAGCGTCAAGTACGCCGCTTGGGCGAGCTGGTCGCACGCATCGATGCGCCTCTGCATGCCCACCTGCAGGACCAAGGCGTCGAGTACATGCAGTTCGCCTTCCGATGGATGAACTGCTTGCTCATGCGCGAGATGAGCGTGCGCAACATCATCCGCATGTGGGACACCTACCTTGCCGAAGGACCCGACGCCTTCTCCGACTTTCACCTGTACGTCTGCTCCGTCTTCCTGCACAAGTGGACGGACAAGCTGCGCACCATGGACTTTCAGGGCATCATCATGTTCCTCCAGTCGCTCCCCACCCAGAGCTGGTCCGACAAGGACGCAGAGATGCTGCTCAGCGAGGCGTTCATGTACAAGACCCTCTTTGGCAACACCGCCCACCTCAACAAGTAGCATCATCCGCATTGGCGCAATCCATATTCGCATCCACCAGAGAAGCCGTGTGAGGGTTGTATGAGGTCGGTCCGAGGTGGAGCATTTTCTCGCAACTCGGAATTCGGACAAAAGCTTCGCCGCGAAGAACGGTGAATTTGAGGCTCGGAACCCTGCCGTGTCACTTTTGCTTTGTTCTTCTCTTCCTCACCTCATCTCAACCATTGCTTCGCCAGCATCTTCTCAATGCTTTCCCATACAAGTCGATATCGTCTGATGCACTGAGGCTGCTGCGTCACCAGGCTCACTTTGCAGCAATGGCAGCGCTGGCAGCGGCGTCGGCGGCAGAGGCCTTCGCTGCATCACGTGGCCTGGCTCGTTGCATTGGCAGCTCCAGAGCATCGCAGCACCGGGAATATGCTTCATCAGCAGCCACTATAAAGCGACAACCGCAACAGACAACTAACGACGCCGGACCCAGCCGTCTTGGAGCTCAGCATTCGAGCCAGGTCAACTCTGCTGCTCGACGTCAGTCCTCGACCGGCAAGCAGCCACGACGGTCCTCGCTGCTGCGCATGGACCCAGCGCGTCCCGTCGTCCCCTCACTCACTCCATCGTCATCTATAAAAGGGAAGGAACGCGAGGCGCAGCTGTCAGCAGTTCGAGCCAAGGGCCTCAGCCAGCTGCATGTCGCTTTGCAAGCCGGTTCCGTCGACCAAGTTTGGTCGGCGTATACAGAACTGCGCAACAGACAGATAGAGCGCGATCCCTACACGTTCACCGCCGAGACCGCAGTGCTGGACGGCATCATCACACCGTGGGAGTGCCATCGAATGATCGGAATACTGGCCAACGAAGCCACCAAAACCAAGGCAGGCATCAACCGGCTGCTGCGCGTCTTGGCGGACCTGCGCGGACAGCAACGGCGCTTGCTCGCGCGAATAGAGCGTGCCTCGGGAGCCAAGCAAACCTCTCGCAGAAACGTGCTCAGAAAAGAGCTCCAGGCATGGGACGAGGTGTTGACGCCGCCTCTGCTCCACACCACCCTCGTGCACATCGGCAAGAGCCTACGCAGCGTTGGCTTGGACGAGATCGATGAGGTGTTGGACCAGCTGCTCACCTACGAGGCCAACGAGCAGTCTCGCTCTCAAACAACTTTGCAGCACGACAAGAGGCTGCCGTCGCCAGCATCATCGAAAGCGAAAGCTGCCTCTCAAGACGGTTTGGCGGCGCTGCGAGACCGCGTGCTGTCTCCGCTGGCACGATCTGCGGTGACGAAAAAGCTCGAGTCGCGACGCCCGCCAACCGACTCTCCCGACCTGGCGACGTACAATACGCTGCTCGACATCATCACGCGGACGGTACGTCGGAGCTCACCTATCGGCCAGTCCCCCTCAGCTCACGAGAACGATCAAGACGACGAGGTGGACAGCGTAGCCAGGCTGACGCAGGAGGAGCTCGGATCGCATTCGGCGCAACTCGATGCATCGCTCGCATCCAAGCTGCAGCGTTTCGGACTCGATCCCGAGGCGGCGCCGGTGCAGCTCGACTCGCGCGAACGAGCGGATCGTCTCTTCCACTCGATGCTCGAGCGCATGCAGCGAACGAGCGGCTTGGAACCGGACGTGATCACGTACAACATCATGATCTCGATGTACAGCCTTTTGGATCGCTGGGAGGCCGTCAGGCGCGTACTACGCGGGCTGGCCGACGAGGGCATGCTCAACATCGACTGCGTCAACAACGCGTTGCACCACTGGCAGGTGCGCGGTCCGCTCTCGGCGAGTCGGGCTAGCGACAGACAAGCCGGTGACAATGGAGCGATCGACAGCGCGCTCCAAGTGTACGGTCAGCTGCGCCAGAATCTGGTGCAAGCCGAGCTGGGCTCACACCATTCGACCATCGCATACGGCGATCCCGACATTCAGCCACGGAGCAGATCTACCGAACGCAGCGAAGCACTCGATGCGACTGGCGAAGCAGGACCCTTGAGCTGGCCAGAAGAGAACGAAAGCTTGGGGGATGCCCATCGCAGCCATTCGGTGCATGCGCCTGCGAATGAAGCAGTGGAGGCAGTGCTGGGGATGGCGAGCGTCCCGCACAACGTGCTGCCGGACGAGGTGACTTATGCGATGATGATCAACAGCCTCGCCCGCAGTGGCCGCTTTGCGGACGCGTTCAGCGTGTTCAAGGACCTGGTCAGCACGCCCACTCGATCGCAACCTCGCAGCAACGACGGCAGGGACGAGGACCGATCGTACGCAAGCAAGGCGGCGTCAGTCGAGGAGACAAAGATGAAACCAACGATGGCCATCTTTGTAAGCTTTTTCCGTGGCTTTGCCAAGTACGGACGACCGAGCCAGGCCATCCACTATGACGCGGAGCATCCGGAGCGGACCACGTGGGAGCCCGTTCCGTCTTTACAGGACGGCGAGGAGATTGCAACGACTCCGACGACGCCAGCGCAGCAGCAGCTCGAGCTGTGGAGGATCGAGACGTTCCAGCAGATCTTTGATGCCTTTCTGGGCTTTGAGCCCGAGGTAGATCCCATCTTGGCGAATCGAGGCGGGGGGCGGATTCGACGGGACGACGAGTCAGCGAGACGGCCTATTTCGACGCCCTTCGGCTGGGTGTCGCTGGCGGAGAAGCGCAGGCTGGACGCGGCACGCCAGGCGCTCTCGCCCAACGAGCTCTTCTGGATCCTCACCGCCATTCGCAGGGTGAGCGGCGACCACGCGCGCTGGAGCCTGGCCATGTGGAGCCAGGTGGTGACCAAATTCGAGGGTGCAGGCCCAACCGAGGCGGCATGGAAGGGCTTCCGGCTGGACAACCGACTTCGGCGCGTAGTCGAGCACCTCCAGACTCGCGTGCAGCAGGAACACGCCGAGCACGCCGAACACGACGGAGCACATCATCCTGCCTACGATCGATAAAAGTGCTTCACTCAGCCCGCGTCGAACAGACGCAAATGACAGCTGTTCCCAAGCTTAGAATCCAGAGCCAGACCAGTGGCTGACAGGCAGCAAGATTGGCTGACGATGAGGCAGCCACGAGCGGCAGTCCACAGCAACTCGGAAACAGCTTAAACACTTTAAAGCTCGGAGAGTTTGAGAGGCACGGCGAACGCGAACCGCGAGCGAGCGCGGGAGGGGCCCACGGAAGCGCAGCACCGAACAAGCAACAGGCGCGCCGTGGAAGGTCGCCAGCTTGCTCCCGGGCATAAGATGACGCACCGCTGCGGGCGGAGTTGCTTGTGGGGGATCAGGAATGCCAGGGCCAAGAGCAGCGAGGTAGGGGGCCGGGCTGAGGCAAGCAGGCGAGCTACAGGGTTCATCCGCTGCTCGGAAATCCACTTCCGGACAGCGCTGCCTCTGCATCGAACCGTCTTTTTCCGTGGGCTTTTCTGAAATTTCTCCGAACGACTCGTCTGGTGCCTGCCCGCGGAGTCCATTCCGTGCAGTCATGCAGCCGGCAAGAATTGGCCGAGCAAACGTTGGCGGCCGCTTCTTTTGGCCGCTTGTGCGACCCCATCGCTCGACTGCTTGCCTGCCAAGCAGGCATACCGAAACAATGACGCCGCTGTGCACTGGGTTAAGTTGCCAACTTGTGCCGCATCCCCTTGGAGACAGCGTCATTGTTGTGATTGACAGCCTCGCCTCGCCTCGCCGCCCCCACCCAACGCGCTTCCCGGCCCCCACATGGCAAGCTGTGCCGCCAAGCCCAAATGCCTTCGTCACCACTGCCATGCCGGCGACCCAACTGAACCCCTGGAAATCCACTTCCGTCTGCCAACCTTGCTCCGCGGGGAACTTCCAGACGAGGACTGCCCTTGTTCGGAAGCCTCTCCCGTCGTTTGGTCCGACCGAGGCCCCGGCCCCTTCATTCCAGTTTGGCACGTCAGCTTCTTCGCCACGACTCGGCCCGCGCCTACTTTGTAACAAGCGCGAGATGATGCAAAACGTCAGCGCAAGATATAAAGAAGAGCAGCGCTTCCTTCTTCCGTGCTCCTCTTCTTCGCATCCAGCTCCTCCTACGACTCCTCACTCTGCTACAAGTAGCTTGCTGCTCTACCCTCGCCTAGCCGGCTATCGGTGTCTGCACCTCGCTCCGCGCGAGCCATCACCCCATCATGAGCAGCCGATCCGTATCCACCGGCGCTTCCACGCCCCTCGAGGCGCAGGGCGCCACCTCGCCTACCCCCCACAGCGCCGTCGACATGCCTGCCGATGACGAGCGCGGCGTCAACGTCGAGCGTGCCAAGTCCGAGTTTGCCATGCTCGAGACCTCGCTTAGCAGACAGTCGCACGCCTTTGGCCGCCAGCAGTCCAACAAGCCCAAGGACGTCGAGAGCGACGCTGCCCACGCCGATGACGACGACGACTTTGACCTGGTGCAGTACCTCCGCTCCACCCAGTCCGAGAACTCCAAAGCCGGCATCAAGAGCAAGCACGTCGGCGTCTCGTGGACCAACGTCGAGGTGCTCGGCAACGACTCGATGGCTCTCAATATCCGCACCTTCCCGGACGCCGTCACCGGCACCTTCCTCGGCCCCATCTTCAAGATCATGGCCGCCCTCAACAAGAACCGCGGCCGTAAGCTCCTCCAGAACTTCAACGGCTTCGCCAAGCCTGGTGAGATGGTGCTCGTCGTCGGACGCCCCGGCTCGGGCTGCTCCACCTTCCTCAAGACCATCGCCAACCAGCGCGGCGGCTACATCGCCGTCAACGGCGACGTGAGCTACGGCGGCATCAGCGCCCAAGAATTCGGCAAAAAGTACAAGAGCGAAGCCGTCTACAACGAGGAGGACGACTTCCACTTTGCCACGCTCACCGTCAAGCAGACGCTCGAGTTTGCTCTCAACCTCAAGAGCCCCGGCAAGCGTCTCCCCCACCAGACTGTCAAGTCGCTCAACAAGGAGGTGCTCGACACCTTCCTCAAGATGCTCGGCATCCCGCACACTGCAAACACCCTCGTCGGCTCCGCCACCGTTCGTGGTGTCTCGGGTGGTGAGCGCAAGCGTGTCAGTATCGCCGAGTGCATGGCCTCGCGTGCGGCCGTGCTCAGCTGGGACAACGCCACGCGTGGTCTCGACGCCTCGACGGCGCTCGACTACGCCAAGTGCATGCGCGTCTTCACCGACGTCGTCGGCCTCACCACTTTTGTCACGCTCTACCAGCCCGGTGAGGGTATCTGGGAGCAGTTCGACAAGGTCATGGTCATCGACCAGGGTCGCTGCGTCTACTTTGGCCCTCGCGACAAGGCGCGCGCCTACTTCCTCGACCTCGGCTTCAAGGACTACCCGCGTCAGACCTCGGCCGACTTCCTCTCGGGATGCACCGACCCCAACCTCGACCGCTTCCCCGAGGGCAAGACCGCCGACGACGTTCCTTCGACGCCCGAGCGTCTCGAGCAGGCCTTCCAGAACTCGCAGATCTACCGCGACTTGATGCAGCAGAAGCAGGAGTACGACGCACAGCTTCAGGCTGACAACAACGCAGAAAAGGAGTTCCGAGAGGCCGTGCTGGAAGACAAGCACCGCGGCGTCCGCCCCAAGAGCGTCTACACCGTCAGCTTCGCCCGCCAGGTCCAGGTGCTCACCAAGCGTCAGATGCAGATGATCCTCGGTAACCGCCTCGACATCTTTGTCTCGTTTGCCACCACCATCGCCATCGCCCTCATCGTGGGTGGTGTCTTCCTCAACCTCCCCGAGACGGCCGCAGGCGCCTTCACTCGCGGCGGTGTCCTCTTCATCGGTCTCCTCTTCAACGCGCTCACCGCCTTCAACGAGCTTCCCACCCAGATGGGCGGCCGCCCGGTGCTGTACAAGCAGATGAACTACGCCTTCTACCGCCCCTCGGCGCTCAGCCTGGCGCAGCTCTTCGCCGACATCCCGCTGTCGATCTCCAAGATCATTCTCTTCTCCATCATCCTCTACTTTATGGCTGGACTCGAGCGCACGGCGGGCGCCTTCTTCACGTTCTTCATCTTTGTCTACGTCGGCTACCTCGCCATGTCGGCGCTCTTCCGACTGTTCGGTACCGTCTGCAGGTCGTACGACACGGCAGCGCGTCTGGCCGCCGTCATCATCTCGGCGCTCGTCGTGTTCGCCGGCTACGTGATCCCGCGCAACGCCATGTACCGCTGGCTCTTCTGGATCTCGTACATCAACCCGCTCTACTTTGCCTTTTCGGGTGTCATGATGAACGAGTTCAAGGACCTCAGCCTCGCATGCGTCGGCACGTACATTGTGCCGCGCAACCCGCCCGGATCCAACGCGTATCCCAACGACGTCGGCGCCAACCAGGTCTGCACTCTCCCCGGTGCACAGCCTGGCAACCAGTTTGTTGCCGGCAACGACTACCTGCGCGCCAGCTTCGGCTACGACTCGAGCGATCTCTGGCTCTACTTTGGTGTGGTCGTCATCTTCTTCGTCGGCCTGGTGGCCGTCACGATGATCGCCATCGAGGTGTTCTCGCACGGTTCCTTCTCGAGCGCTCTGACCATTGTCAAGAAGCCCAACAAGGAGGAGCAGAAGCTCAACCAGCGTCTCAAGGAGCGCGCCTCGATGAAGGAGAAGGATGCCAGCAAGCAGCTCGACGTCGAGTCGCAGCCGTTCACCTGGGAGAAGATCCGCTACACGGTGCCCGTCAAGGGCGGCAAGCTGCAGCTTCTGGACGACGTTTACGGCTACTGCCGCCCTGGTACCCTGACGGCGCTCATGGGTGCTTCGGGTGCTGGTAAGACGACTCTGCTCGATGTGCTTGCGGACCGCAAGTCGATCGGTGTCATCAGCGGCGAGCGTCTGATCGGCGGCAAGAAGATCGGCATCGACTTCCAGCGTGGATGCGGTTACGCCGAGCAGCAGGACATCCACGAGGGCACGTCGACGGTGCGCGAGGCTCTGCGCTTCAGTGCGTACCTGCGCCAGCCGCAGCACGTGCCCAAGGAGGACAAGGATGCGTACGTCGAGGACATTATCGAGCTGCTCGAGATGCAGGAGATTGCGGATGCCATGATCGGTGTTCCCGAGTTTGGCCTCGGCGTCGGCGACCGCAAGCGTGTGACGATCGGTGTCGAACTTGCTGCGCGCCCGGACCTGCTGCTCTTCCTCGACGAGCCCACTTCGGGTCTGGACGGTCAGACGGCGTACAACGTGGTGCGCTTCCTCAAGAAGCTCTCTGCGTCCGGTCAGGCGATCCTGTGCACGATCCACCAGCCCAACGCGCTGCTCTTCGAGCAGTTCGACCGCCTGCTCCTGCTCGAGCGCGGAGGCAAGACGGTCTACTTTGGCCCCATCGGACCCAACGCGACGCACATTGTCGACTACTTTGCCGAGCGCGGAGCCAAGTGCCCCGAAAAGGTCAACATGGCCGAGTACATGCTCGACGCCATGGGAGCCGGATCGATGAAGCGCGTGGGCAACAAGCCGTGGTCGCAGCTGTACCTCGAGTCGGAGCTCTTCCAGGAGAACCTGGCTGAGATCGAGAAGATCAAGCAGGAGACCAACGCTTCCACCAAGGCCAACGAGGACGAAGGCAACAAGAAGAAGCAGACCGAGTTCGCCACCTCGTTCGGCACGCAGGTCAAGGTGGTTCTCAAGCGCTCGCTGCTCAGCACGTGGCGCCAGCCCGACTACCAGTTTACGCGCCTCTTCCAGCACGCCGCCATCTCGCTCATCACGGGTCTTTGCTTCCTCAACCTCAGCAACTCGGTCGCCTCGCTGCAGTACCGTGTGTTTGGTATCTTCATGGGTACGGTGCTGCCGGCGATCATCCTGGCGCAGATCGAGCCGTTCTTCATCATGGCACGCTCGGTGTTCATCCGCGAAGACTCGAGCAAGATGTACAGCGGCTCGGTGTTTGCGATCACGCAGCTGATCCAGGAGGTGCCGTTCAGCATTGCGTCTTCGGTGGTGTACTTCCTGCTCTTCTACTACCCGACGGGCTTCCAGACGGGCTCGGACCGCGCCGGCTACTTCTTCGCCATGCTGCTCGTCACCGAGCTGTTCGCCGTGACGCTCGGCCAGGCGGTGGCTGCGATCTCGCCGTCGGTCTACATCGCGTCGCTCTTCAACCCGTTCCTGATCATCATCATGTCGCTGCTGTGCGGTGTCACGATCCCCTACCCGAACCTGCCGCACTTCTTCAAGAGCTGGCTGTACTGGGTCAACCCGCTGACGTACCTCGTGTCGGGACTGATAACCAACGAGATGCACGAGCTGCCCATCCGCTGTGGCGAGTCCGAGCTGGCTCGCTTCCAGCCGCCGTCGGGCCAGACGTGCACGCAGTGGGCCGGCACCTTCCTCAACGCCTTTGGCGGCTACCTCGAGAACCCGGATGCGACGGCCGACTGCGGCTACTGCCAGTACTCGAGGGGCGACGACTTCTACGCTGGCCTCAACATCAAGTTCTCCGAGCGCGGCCGCAACATCGGCATCGTCATCGCCTTTGTCGCCTTCAACGCCATCGCCACGATCGTCGCTTCGCGCTACATCAAGTACGCCAACCGCTAGGAGGCGTGCGAACGAACATTCCAAATTTTCCCACATAGATACCAGTCTTGTTACGCCTTAGCATCTTAACGCCTTCCGTCGTTGTTAACTTTGACGTTTATAATAGATGTTGTTGATTCCAAGCATGTCTGCAGAGTCGGTTTGTGGTCAGCGTCTTGAGGGTCGAATCTGGAGTCTTGAGTCTTGAGCCCGGGTTTCGCCTGGTGAGGTGGTGCGAGCGTTGAAGCAGGGCCAAATCTGGCATCGGCGTGTGGTTCGAATTTTGGAATTCTGATCGGCGATTTGAAATCACGTGCGGTTGGGTGGACTGCGAGTGAATCGTCGGCGCTCTGATCCGGGGGCTCTTGTCGTATCTGCCACTGCACCTTCCTGCTCTCCACCAACGCCATCTTGCACCTCTTTCTTGAACCTCATTCCACGATGTTTGCGTCACTGATTCTGAGGAATTCGAGCTCGTCTACGGGCGCATCGGCGTTCTCGCACGCGCACAAGGCGTACGTCAAGTCGCTCTACCGTCGCTACCTCAAGAACGAGCTGGACTGGTGCATTCGCAGGGATGTGTGGCGCGACAGGGCGATCGAGATCCGCGTGGCGTTCGAGAGGAACCGCAACATTCGCAACCCCAGAGAACTCGCCACCCTCTTCGAAAGGGCAGAGCGCGAACTCAAGACCAGGCAACACCCCGACCCCCACCGACGTAAGTCTGGCTTTATCCCACCGCAAAAGTGGATCCTCCAACTATCATCGCAAATCATACTACATTGGACTCAAAAGAGAGACCGTTGCGATGGCAACAATGGCGAATTGTGTCCGAATCTACGGCAGTTGATACTGACTTGTTTGACTTCCTCTTTGCGTTTGCGTGACAGCTGCCATGTTCGAGGACGGCACCAAGTGGGAGCGCAACCTGCCACCGCCCATGTTCACCGAAGCCGAGAAGAAGGCCGCACTCGACGCCCAGCACCACTAAATTGTTCCGCAATGTAGGCTCCCGCACACGCAATCAACACCAACTCTGAACCCACGCTTTTCTTGCAGCCTGTCGACGGCGCTCACATCCGCCCTTCTCAACGAGATCGAGTTTCAGACAACGCTCACTTGCACATGCGCATGCGCGATGGTTCAGCCTAGATGGGAAGAACGAAAAGGCTTGATGAATTGCTCAGACGTTGCGCCAGGCGATGGTGCGCACGCCGCGTGGGGTGGCGGCATACAGCACGTCGGCATCCTGTTGGTCCGAATTGGCCCAAAAGGCCTGGACGATGGGCTCGTCCGAGACGCGCACGTCGACGAGCGGGTCTCTGGCGTTGCGCAGATCCCACACGCGCACATGACCGTCCTCTGCGCCGTGAGCAAAGATCGCCCTGCGGCTCGGATGGAACGCGCCGCGTCCGAGCGGCAGCTTGCCCTCGGCATCGTTGAGCCAGCCAAACGAGATGACGGGGCGTGAGATGGGCCCGTTGGCGCCGGTGATGTCGAACATGCGGAACTGGTCGTAGTCGCGCCGCGCCAGCACGCCGAGCATGAGCTTGGCATCCGGTGTGCGCTGCAGATGCACAATGCAGTCGCTTGTATTCCACGAGAAACCGAGCGTGAGCGCGCCCAGGTCGAAGCCGATCACGGTGCCGATTGAGGCGGATGCGAGCGTGTGTGCGCGCGACGACAGATGCTCCAGTGCGACGACGGGCTTGGCATCGTGCAGCGTGTGCAGCCGCTGCGTGTCGGCCGACGTCGATCGCGCGCGCCAGTGCCAGTGGTTTACGATGCCGTCGATGCCGCCCGTTGCAAAGTCGATGGACGAGGCGTCGTTCGGGTTGGTGCGCGGGAAATGCGATATGGCGGCGGCACCGTGCGCATGCGGCCGCTCGTCGAGATGGTAAGTGCGATGCGCACGCCCGGTCTCGTCCATGGTGACCAGACTCACCTGGCACGGGTACTCGTCGTACCTGCCCATGCCGAGCAGCTTGCGCGTCGACGACGCAATCCCGCACACCTTGGACGTCAGCCGCCACACGTCCTCCACGCGGTCGATCGGCCACGCCTTGTCGGCCTTGAGCTTGGCGTCGGCGTCGCGCGTCTGCAGCTCCATCACGCGGCTCGGTGCGTCGTCGCCGCAGCTCGGTGCTTCCGAGAACGTCGCGATGCGCCCGTGGTCGGTGACACCTAGGCCCGAGTCGAACGCAGAGGCACGGTTGCGCACGCCCGTCGGGGCGCCGAGCGCCGTGCTCGCGAGCGGCACAAAGTGCTTGATCGACAGCCCGCGCGTGCTCGAGAACGCGCGCGCCTGGTCAAGCCCCCACACGGCCGACTGGAACGCGTTGGACGCAGAACCTTTCGCCGCACCAGCGGAGGAGGGAGCAGCCAGCGCCGTTGTAGCAGAGGGCGACTGGCGCCGCAGCAGATCCTGCAGCGGGACATCTTCGTCCGGGTCCGAGTCGGTGCCGCCGGCTTGAGTGGCAGCGGGAGCATGGCCGGGCGCGCGTGAGGTCATTGCGAGTGGCTGGTCATCGTCGCTGTCGCCGTCGCTGTCGCTGTCGTCGTTGTCATCGGGATTTCGATATCTCGCTTCCAACAAGATCGCCAGCTCCTGAGCCTGCCGCGCCTCCTCGAGCATGTCATCGCGTGTCTGCTCGGTCTTTATTATGGGTGGCTTTAGTGAGCTGGGACGTGGACTGAGGTCGATAGCGCTGAGGACGCCTTTGAGCTGGCCGAACTTGCGAGGGCTCGCAGAGCGAGAACGAGAGCGCGGGTCTGGTTGCACTTCGGGCGTGCGCTTGTTGCCGCAAGGGCCGTGTTGAGGAAGCATGGACGGTGGCGGTGTGGGTGTGCGGATGTCGTCGCGAGAAATGCTCGGGGCTTGCACATCGTCGTCCGCTTCGGTGGATGTGGGCTGAGCGGGCTCTGACGATTGATTTTTGAGCGGCTCGGGGTCTGCAACCGCGACCGCATCCGATGCCGCTTCCGAACCTTTTTGCGTTGGCTGAACTGGTTGTGTCGGGGGCACTGGTGGCGTTTGCACCTCGTCCCCAGCAACTGTGTGACGCTGCGAGCCCGCAACCTGTACTGCCGGTTGCGCTGACTGAACGGGCTTGGAGGGAGGAGCTGAGGGAGTACGGACCTCGTTGCTAGCAGCTGGGTCTCGCTGCACGCTCGCATCGTGTACCGCCGCTGGCACTGCTTTGTGCTCGACGCTGGTAGTGACGTCTGGACGTGGTGCGCCTTGACTTTTGATCTTGTGCTGCTGCTTCCAGCGATCGACGTCGTCCCAGTCGATGTGGACGATGCGGCCGCCAAAGATGTTGAAGAGATTGGTGAGCACCGCGATGGCATATAGCCCAACGTCGTCGGTATCGCGGATGCGGTCGAGCGTGTCGACAATGATGGGATCTTCGGGACGAAGGATCTGCTCCTTGCTGCAGAAAATGCTCGAGACGATGTCGTTTGCAGAGAGCCCGAGCATTTGAGTGAAGGCGTTTCGGACGTGCTTGACGAGTGCGGAGGCGTGTCTGTGTGGCGCGGTGTTGGAGGGTACGAGCAAGGCTGCGCAGCGGTACAGCTCGACGCGGATGTGCAGCAGACGAAGCGCAAGCTGTGGGTAGTTGCAAAGTGCGAGGCAAGTGGCAGCGGTTTGCGAAAGGGGCTTGGCAAAGCGGTCTACGACACCACGATGGGCTCGATCGCGCTGTTCCTCTGCTAACGGAGCCAGCTCTTCGCGGATGCGCCGGACTTCGTCTGCTGGATTGCGGCGCAGGTTGGCGATGGCAACGCTTTTCTCGGCTTGGTACTTTGCGTCTTCTGTCCAGAGCGGGATCTCTGGGTTGACGTCGTGCACGGTGATGCTTTTGGGAGTGGTATTTTGAGACTGTGATGGCGCTTTGCCGACAGACTTCGGATGCGAAGAGATGCTTGCCTTGTTTTTCGACTTGCTGGACGAAGACTGGCTCGAGGTTGGTGGTCGTGGAGCAGGAGCCTGTTGATGCTGCTGCTGCATGGCAGACTGCTGATACATTGCCCTTCGCTGACTTCTTGAGGGGCGGTTTTGTTGCTGACTCGGCGCTGGTCTTTTCTTTGATTGGGTCTGGCCTGACCCTGACGCTGCTGGCCGCGCGATTGGTGGCCGTCCTAATGGCTGGCTGGGCTTCGACCTGGAGGCACCTATGGAAGGCGGTGCGGCCAGCTCCCACGGCTTTGAGCGAATCTGGTATTCGTTAGGTTGCGCATCTTCGGACCTTAGCGCAGCTGAGGGTGGTGCAGCTGGTGTTCTTGTCGAGAATCTCTGCGGGGGTCTTGCTCCATATGATGGCCGAGGTGGCTGTGAAGCGTGACCGGGTTGTGGACGAGCATAGTGAGCTGGTACTGGCTGTTGGGAGGATGATGTTGCGGGGGCTGCGCTCTGAGCTGCTCGAGAGGGGCCCGGACGCTGCTGAGCCAATGCATTGCGCGCTCTGCTCGAGGCCGAGGCTGGATCGAAGGCGTCCAGCCAGTCCATGGTTTGCGACTCGAGCGTCGTTTGGATGCGAGATCGAAGGATACAGGATGATCACACTTGCGGTATCGGCATCTCCGCAGCCCGAGCCTCGTTGCGTGTGGAAGACGGCTGATCCGACGAGGTGATGGAGGCCAAAGGTGTTGATGAATGATCACGAGCACGGCCTTTCCAGTCGCTCCTTCTGCGTAGCCCTTTCAGGGTCCAAACTCAAAAAGAAAGGAAGAAAAAAAAAAACCTCCACCGACCAGCGAGCGGCCCACGCTCCGACCGCGACTTGCGCAGATTCGGACGTTCCGAACTCCGCCTCGAGCCTTCACACACAATTCACACTGAGCAGCGTGAGGGACTACGGTCGGGTAGGGAGACTGATGCGATTACGCTGCATGGCTGGCTCTGAGATGAAGTTAGGTTCGAGGATCAGATGAAGCCACCGCGCGATTCGAGCTGCCTTTTGCGCTCCTCGGCGGCCGCAAGGCGCTTTTCGAGCTGCTGCAGCTCGTTGGTCTGTTCGAGCAGCATCGACTGACGCTGGCGGACGCGCTCCTCGATCTTGCTCAGCTCGGCACTCTTGGTCGTTGCCCCAGCCGTGGCGGGCACTGCAGCTGCTGCTGGCGATACAAAGTCGTGCAGCGAACCCGAATTCGAGACCGGAATCGCTGGCCTGGCGCATCGAAAATCCAAAGCAAAGGCTTCCCACGGGTCAGCTTCTTCTCAACCTTGAGGCAGGGGCGACGACAATGGCAGCGACGAGGACTATAAATATGGCATTCTTTGCTCAGCAAGGGTCGGAGACAGTCTCCGTGAGCAAAATCTATTGGTGTGGCCACAGCCAGAATCGTGCCGAGGAGGAGGGTCGGGGGGAGACGCTCACAGAGCAGAATTGGTGTTCTTCTCGGCAGCAGCCATGTCGCCCGACGTGGGCTCGGCGACCGCACCACCGGTGGCAACGTCCTGAACATGCACCAGCGGGCAGGCGTCCGAGTCGACCGAGGCCGGGTCAAACTGGAACAGTCGCACCTCGGCGTTCTTCCAGGGCTGTTTGCAGTCAAAATGCGATTCCATGTCAGCTGGCCTGAAGGGTTTATATCGGCGCGCCTGTACGGTTAACTTACGTAGGGCTCGCCGGTGATTCTACGCAGGATGTCGCCGTGTGCCATGACGACGATATCCTGTTCGGGTCTGCTGCGGAGGTACTGACGCACCCACTGCGCACGGTTGTTGAGCGACGCCTGGTCGGCGGCGTAGAAGCCCTGCTTGCTCGTCCAGTCGGGCGTGAGCGGCGAAAAGTCAAAGCCCTGCAGCTCCGGATCGCGCTCGAGCACCTCCTTGGCCGAACCCGTGTCGCAGGGGAAGTCGTTGCACTCCTGCAGCTGCGGCAGCAGCACCACCTTACTCAGACCACCCAGACGCTCGATGGCAGGCGCGTAGCCGATCTTGGTGCTCTGCAGCGTGCGCTTGAGCGCCGACGAGAGGATCACCTGCGCACGCGCCTGCAGCTCCTGCGTCAGCGAAGGAAGTCGCCCCGACTGCTGCTTGCCCAAGGCCGTCAACGGCGCATCCGGGATCGAGTAGTCGTCCGCCACGTTGTGCTCGGCCTGCGAGTGGCGTGTCAGAAAGATGCGAGACTGCGGCGCCATCTTGTCCTAGGTTCTATTGCGGGTCTATCGTCTAGAGTCGTTGGAGGAGGAGAGGGTGGCGGACTGTATGCAGGACAGGAAGGAACAAGTGTGCTCCCCAGTCGAGCCTTCGAACAGTGACTCGCGGTGGGACAGCCTCTCCTGGCGGCAACGGCGAATTCCTCGCTGCATCGCTGGCTGTTGCTGTGCTCTGACGTGACCCCGAAATCCGCCATGCATTCCAGCCAGCCGCCCGCCAACACACGGGCCATCCCACGCCAGAAAAAAAAAAGAATACACCGAGATCTCAACTCGATTTTTTCGCGCGCGAGTGTTACGTTTTTGGTGCACACCAACACGCTGCAACTCTCGCCACCGATGCTCCCAAGGACATAGCTTCAGGCATTCCACGTAGGGGCTCTTCTGATTACTCTGGAGGTAGTGCTGAGATGACGCCGCGGTGTGGATCCCAAACGTGTCCCTCCTTGGCCCACCGCCACACAAGGTAGGCACGAAGCTCCTTGTCGAGCGGCATGACCGACATCCATTCGGGCTTTTCGTCTGCCTCGCTCCTGACTGGCTTGTACTCTGGTCGCACCGAATTGTCAAACGGGCTTGTGGGCATGTCGCCGTGCAGACCGACGGCTGCGCCACCCCGACACACAAAGATGCGCCAGCTATCGATCGCGTACCGCCCCACGCCGGGGTAGACGCCAATCGGCGTATCGGGTGCGCTTCGATCCCTGCTCTTGAACGAATTGGATTCGTCGTAGGGAATTTGCACCATGGTCTGGGCCATAGCGATGAGCCTTCGCGCGCGGATGTTGTGCAGTCCAAGCGGCTGCAACAGCGTCGTCAGTTCTGCCACGTCGGCGTTGGCGAGCGCAGCTTCGTCAGGCCACCGTTCAAGCAGCTGCCAAAACACAGGCATCGCCGCCCGTCCTTTGGTCTGGTTAAGCAGGCAGGTGGCCGTCAAGAGCCGAAAGACGTTGGGACACACCAGCTCCTGGATGAGGCCGTAAAAGTTGGGCTGCCGCGCAACACCGTGCACCCGAACCACCTCGCCTGGGTCCTCGCTTTCGACCTTGACCGCCGCTTTCCCCTTGTCGACTTTGACGACTGGTTTGACGGCACCCTGCGTGTTCGACGATCGTCGTGCTACTTTGGCCGCAAAGTAAGGCGAAGTCTTGTGCCGGATCCGACCACTCCGTCTCGGCGGTGCGGCCGTCGGCGTGCTGGACCGTTGCTTGCGTGCTGTCATCATGCACCCTCTATCAGCCCTTGTGCAGCCAATCTTGGCATCCTGCGTGTCTTGCTCGTCTTTCAACTCTCGCCCCTCCTTCAGTAGCAGACATGATCGGTGGCGGAAATGAACCAGGCGCTCTCCTCGGGTGGCGCATTTGGCACGCAGGGTCCATGCCATCCAAGCGCGCGCGCGCCTAAAAAGACGCCGCCAAATTTCCCGCTCCGAGTCCAAAGCGCAAGCTTGCGCTATTGCAAGACTCAAGCCAGCGGAAGCACACACGAGGGACGACCGGGTATACTGCGCATTCAGAACGGAGAAGCGCTACAAAGGGTCTAGCAGGATTTCTTTCAGGCAAGATGGATGGGGCCGCGACCGGACTGCGCGTCGTCGTCGACACGCTTGCGTCCCACAAAGCGGACGGCGTGCACGATGAGCGCCAACGACACGCGAATCACGCTGAACAGGGCGAGGAAGAGCACGGTCTGCGTGAGGACCAGTCCCGCCGTATCCTCGACGTGCAGACCGGTGGTGTTGTATAGCGTCCAGCGCCAGGCATGGTCGATCCACGTGGCCACCGCATTGTCCAGACCCGTGGAGGGCGTGCCGACGTACTTGCCAAACACCTTAAGCTGGCACGCCGGATCAATCTGCATGTGGATGCCGTGGCAGAGCTCCATCTTGAGCGCGCCGCGACGATCGAGCTTGCGCAGCCCGATGCGGTCGTCCAGGTAGATGCTGCTCTGGCGCAGCGGCGTGGGCTCGTTGGGGTTCGGATCGCGCGCCGCCTCGCCCTCGCTCTCGTTGCGCACCGAGTAGGAGGCAAACCACGACGACTGCTTGGGCTCCACCGTGGTGTCCTTGTCAAACATGAGCATCACAAAGTTTTCGAGCGAGGCGAGGTTCTTGGCGTACGTGGCGTTGGTGATGGTGCCCTCGTTGTTGATGTCCTTGATGAAGTCGTTTTTGTCCAGGTACGCTGCAAACGCCTTGGGGTCCTTCGGGTTGCGGTAGTACTGTGCGCTCACCAGGTGCGACTGCGCATAGTCGGTGTAGATGCCGCCACGCAGCGCAGCCTCGGCGACGCGGCAGAGCAGGTCGGTGGGGCCGCATGCTGGCAGATCGGCGATGCCCATGTGCTGGCTGCCAAACGTGATGAGATTGCGAACCTTGGGCGTGTTGCAGCGCTGTACGTACGCGCGGAGGAACTGTCCGCCCTGGGAGAATCCGATGGCATCGAAGCCACCCTGCAGCTCGTCGATCTGAGCGAGCTGGTCACACGCCTGCTGGACCTGGTCGTTGACGTGGCCGAAGAAGCCCTGCCTCCTGTCTTCCGAGTCGCTGGTGGCGTCCTGCGCGACGGAATGGACGTAGAGGCCTGGGAAGGCTTCCTTTAGCTGGGACATGAACGATTCCATGCCCTCTGAATGCGCGCTGTCGCCGAGACCATGCCAGATGACGAGTGGATGCGGTCTGGGCAGCATGGAGAAGGGTACCGCCTCGGCATGGCTCACCAAGGTGGCCACCGAGGCGGCGAGCACGAGCAGCCAGCCGGCAATGAACGCGCGCATCTCAAAAGTGGAAGAAGCGGAAGAGGTGGTAGAGGAGCGGGTCTCTACGGAGGGATCCGATGGGATGATGATCCGGTGCGTGTGGTGGGGACAAAGGGGAGAGGATCGGATTGAAGGCTCTGCCAACGTTGCGTTGAGCTGAGCTGAGCTGAGCGGAGCGGAGCTTCAGGGTCTCGAGTCCTCGGCACTCTGCGCTGAGAAGCGAAATTCACAGCATTGGAGAGGGAGCGGCTGGAAAAGCAACGCGCGGCCGATCCTCAGCTCGGGATAGCCGGATTCAGGGCTGCAGGGTCTGGGCTAGCGTCAACCACTCGTGCGAGACAGGGCGATGCGCTGGAGGCGGGCGCTCAAGCCAGGAAGCGAGTGCTGACCAGCGGTGGGCGAGAGCAACACCTGGCCGAGCCCACTTGCACCTTGGATCGCCTCGACCACATCACTTCACACCAACGGAGCGCGCTGGAGGACCGCGATGACGTTCAACAACCTGACGCTGTACACCACGTCGGCGGTGCTGATCCTGGACACGGATGGCAACCGCGTGATCGCCAAGTACTACCAGCCACCGCACGCGGCCAACTTTTTGTCGACGGCAACACCGGCGCAGCAAAATGCAGTGACGGCGACGACGCCGCAGCTGTGCGCCAAGAATACGCTTGCGACGCTCAAAGAGCAGCGAGCGTTCGAGAAGGCCATCTTTGACAAGACGAAGCGTGCGACGGGCGACATTATCCTGTACGACTCGCATCTGGTGCTGTTCAAGTCGTCGCTCGACGTCATCTTTTACGTTGTGGGCCCGGCTGCAGAGAACGAGCTGATGCTGTCGGGGCTGCTTAGCGCGTTTTACGATGCGACGAGCATGCTAGTGCGACACCAGGTGGAGAAGCGCGCCATCTTGGAGAACCTGGATCTGGTGACGCTCGCGCTCGACGAGACGGTCGACGACGGCATCATCCTCGAGACGGACAGCACGACGATCGCCTCGCGCGTCTCGCGACCTCGACCGGACGTCAACGAGATCCAGATCAACGAGCAGAGTGAGTGCGAGGTTGGCCATCGCTTTTACGACATGACTGCTGACACAGTGCTCTTTCTTGCTTCTCACAGCGATCATGAGCGCCTACTCGAGTCTCAAGGAACGAGTCGCGCAGAGGATTCTCCAAGGCGGTCTGTGAAGTGGAGCCGCGATCTGTACATTAGAAAGCGCAAGCCGATGTCGTCTTTCGCTTGCAATCTCGTCCCATCTTGTCTCGTTGCATAGATGGATGCATGCGGGTATGAGCCTTGTTGGTGGGCCCGATCCATTTGCAGCCCTCGAGATGCAACGGGTAGAAATCGGGTCGGGCCGAGTTGGAGCGCCCAACGCCAAAAATAGGCGGCGATCTGGTTCGGCACTCCGCGATCCCGACACGAGCCTTGTCAGCCATTCAATTGGCTTGCCGACGTCGTCTCATCGTGGCAGTCTAGATTGGCGTGCGTGTGGCTCTTATGAGGCGGATCCGCACGCAGCAGGCACGAACCCACCGTATATATATGGCCAGCAGAGATACAGCCAAGGCAAAGGCAGAGGTGCCAACGGCGCCATTTTCCGCGACGCGCTCGCCAGCGTGTTGCTGCGTGTTGCTGCCCTGAGAGAGGGAGAGGGAGAGGGAGAGGGAGAGAGAAACGAGCCGATGGCATGCAGCTCCAAAATTATGGCAGAGTGGCCATGCGCCCGCGCGCCGCCAGTCAAGCGCCCGGTTGCATCAGACAGAAAAGTGCAGATTGCAGATTGCAGCCAAGGCGCTTCAGCCGTGTTGGACCCCGTCAGCGGTCGGAGGCCAAAGCTGCCTTTCCTAGTCGCCCCCGATCCGAGACATCCGCCATTTCGTTGGTCGGATTCCACTCTGCATCCCTCGTCTCGTCGTCCATATCCTCATCTCTATACCCACACTCGACTTCGCATTCCGAATCGGCCGAATCGGATCCCACCCATACGCAACTCATCCTCATCGCCATTCGTCTCGCTACGGGATCATGCCGCTCGACTGGCGCTCATCCGCATCACCCACCTCCATGGCAACCATCACCACTTCCTGATACACCACCAATGAGCCACTTTGCTAGCCAGAGGGGCTACCCCTATGGCAGCCAGGGCGGCGCCGCCTCCACCAGCAGCGCCGCCGGCGCTTCCACTATCAATCAGAAGGCGGCGCTTGCTTCCGCCTATCAAGAGCTCGGCAAGGAGCTCTCTTCCTCCAAACTAAAGATCGTCGGCAACTATACCCTCCAGCGTCCCATCGGCGAAGGCACCTTTGGCAAGGTCCGTCTCGCCCACCATCGCCTCACCAATACCCGCGTCGCCATCAAGCAGATCCCCAAGGCCCACTCCGCCAGCCTCACCCGCGAGATCCACCACCATCGCCGTCTCCACCATCCCAACGTCATGCAGCTATACGAGGTCATCGCAACAGAGCAGTACATATGGATGGTCAGCGAACTGTGCGCGGGCGGCGAACTCTACGACTACCTCGTTGAGAACGAGTGCCTCCCAGAGCCAGAGGCTCGCAGGATCTTCGGCCAGCTCTGCCTCGCCGTAGCCTACGTGCACTCCAAGGGCATCGTCCATCGCGACCTCAAGCTCGAAAATATCCTGCTCGACGAGCGATGCAACGTCAAACTTGGCGACTTTGGCTTCACCCGCGAGTTCGAACGCAACCGCCTCATGCACACCTTTTGCGGCACCACCGGTTACGCATCGCCCGAAATGCTCGCCGGCAAAAAGTACACGGGCGAACAGGTCGACATTTGGTCCCTAGGCGTCATCCTCTATGCCCTCTTATGCGGCGCCTTGCCCTTTGACGACGACGACGAGTCCGTCATGAAGCAAAAGATCCTCCAAGGAGACCTGGAAATCCCAGATTGCCTCTCCGAAGAGGCTCGCAGCCTTATCACCAACATCCTTCAGCAGGATCCCACACTGCGCCCGAGCATACACCAGATTCTCCAGCACCCTTGGTTCACGAAACTCATGGTCCAGTCTCCCATGTCGACCGTCGAGGAGGATGACACTTCTGCAGACTACTTCACCAGCCGCACCTCCGAATTCGTCTCGGCTTCCAACAACCCTCCAGCCGCGGCACCAGCGATATCAGCATTGGAAGCAGCAGCCATACCCGCACCCCTCTCGTCCCCCAACCCTCACAGCTCTCACGACTCCATGCCCATGCACCAGCACCATCCATCCGCATCGGGCACCTCGGACCTCAGCTATCATTCCGCACGCAGCGACAGCGAGTCCAGCGGCAGACGCTCCTCCAACACCGACCTCACCGACCCCACCACCGCAGACAGCCTCAGCCGCACCGACGACGCTTTGGACTCCAACGACATTGCATCCGCGTCCGGCCTCGCTGCTGCTCCCGCCGCGGCCGCTGCCGTGCCATCGTCACGTCCGGACAAGGAGTCCATGGGCATCCATCGCAACGAATCACAAACGACCATCCGCCGCTTGGGCTCCAACGGCAGCGACGCCTCCTTCAGCACCGTCGCACGACCCGCCGCCATTCGCTCCACCACCTCGTCTCTCCCCACCCATCACGAGTTGCCCTCCACCTCGCCGGCCGAGCTCGACGCCGACACAGGCGACGCATACGTGCCCCTGTATCAGTCGGTCCCTCTTGCCAAGAGGGGGTCTCAAAGCTCATCCCGCGGCCATCACCGCACCCCATCAAGGACCAAACGCCGCTCACTCTCGTCAGGCGGCCTCTCCGACCATCATCCGCCTTTGCTCGGACGCAAACCCGTCGACTATGTCTCGCAGCTCTCCAACTTGCAGCCGGCCACCTTCTCGTCCGCAGTAGAACAGAACCTCCTCCACCAGCTCAGCTCGCTCGGCATGGATGTAGGCCAAATGGTGCATAGCGTCGTCAACGACGCCTGCGACGCCAGCGGTGCCATGTGGTGGATGCTTCTACGCAAGGCCAAGGACCGCACAATCGACATGCTCCCCTCCAGCCCCTCGATCTCCAATCCCGCTTATACCCCGGTCGAACACCCTCTTTCTTCTCCTGCTGCCGATACCTCGAGCGCAAAGGGTCTCGGTTTAGAGCCCGCCGCCGTAGATATGCGCCGCCCACCCGTGCCAGTCAAGGATCCGGCTCGAAGCTCCGAAGATCGGTCTCGCGCCATGGACAAGGGCCGAGTATCTTTGACCGCGTCAAGATCGGAGAATTCGGGCCTTGCCGAACCCAGCAATCGACGCCTCCAGACCGTGGTCTCGCACGAGGAGCTCGACTGTGCTGCTGCACCGCCTCTGCAGTCTTCCGCCTCCGAGGTCTTGATCGGCGCGGCGCCTCTCTCGATGCACCCTTCGCCTTTGGATACACTGCGATCGTTGCCCACTTCGCCGGCGGTCAACACGCTTCAGGATCGCAGCTTGGCGAGCACTCCAGAGTCCAGCTCCTCATCGCGCCCCAAGTCGCAGCATCGCCACACCACCGCCACTGCAAGTCCCTCGAAGCTGCAGCAGGTTGCCACCAGCCTCGTCGGCGCCGGAAGCCCATCTTCCGAGGGCACAAAAGCGCGGCGCAGCGGACAGACAGACCGCCCTCGCAGCAACTCTCTATCGGTCAAGCAGTTTGCACAGAGTGTCTTGGGCACCAAGGACAAGGGATCCGCCACCCCGCCGCCCACGCCCGACCAGGTCATCGTAGCCGGTGAAGCGCTGCCCATGGAGCGCGCCAAGAGCCCAACGCTCTTTGGCCGTCGCAACACCGTGTCCAACGTCAAGGATTCCATGGTCGGCAGACTCTCCAATCCCTCGACGCCCAAAAAGGCACATGCAGACACGCCCGACAAGCCGCGCAGAAGTTCGGGCAAGAGGAGCATCGAGACCGACCTCGAGCGTGTCAAGGCGCTCGAACGCAGCGAAGACTCGGCGTCCGGCTCGCCATCGTCGCGCTCGCTCTCAACCGCCCACCCAGCCACAGCGCCGAGTTCTGACAAGAAGGGCGCTGCGGTGCCCTCGGCGTCTCAGGACTCGTTCAGCACCATGTCGGCCACGCCGCAGGGCAGCGAGAAGAGCGGCACGCGCGGAAAGCCCGGGTCGTCATTCATGGCTACCGTGCGCACGTGGCTCGGAGGCGCCAATGAGAAACCCGTCAGGAAGGCGAAACAGGGCAAGAAGGCAGCTGCGTATCGCGGACTTGGCATCGATGATGGCGTGGGTGCGGCGAGGTCGCCCACAGGAACCATGACCACGTCGGGCAGCACATCGACGTTCGGAGGAGGAGGCACGCCGAGCAGGACGCCGAGCATGCGGCGCCGATCCGCGCACTATGCTCAAGGTTCGGCGTCGCGGCGTGGCGGACCGAGAAGCCCGCATTTGGGCTCGATGAGCCGCCGATCTTCCACCGGAAGTTCGGTGCACGGGCACCTCGATCTCCCGCCCAACAGCTTTGCCACCAGCATGAACCGGCCAGGCAACATGCGCCGGTTGAGTGCGGGCAGCATCACGCCCACGGCGACGCTGTATGGCGACTACATGAACGAGGCAGGTGTGCCAACGTCTTCGCGCCACAGCCGGCCGTCGAGCTCGCACTCGCTCGCGCACTCGAGTGCCGCGCCGCGCTCGGGGCTGCATGGCAAGGCCGGCTCAACGGGCAGCACCAGCTCGGCGTATCGAAGCGGCCAGGCGGGCAGCGGCTTTTCGTCCGGCAGCGGGAGGCGGCACGCGCGACCACCGCACGATGGCGGCACGACGGTGCGGCGCCACCGCACGTACGGGTCGTCGACGGGCAGCCCCAGTCGGCGCAACTCGTTCCGGCACGACTCGAGGCCGTCGTCGATCAAGTCGCGCGCATCGTCGCCCGGGCGCGCCATGGGGCTGAGCGAGTTTGGCGTCGAGGATGCGGAGGGCGACACGGGCGCAGCGGGCGCGAGGAGGTCGACGCGCAGCACGCCCCGACACTCGCTCGACCAGCGCAGCGTGTCGGATGTCCCCGGTCATGCGCAGCATCACCAGGTGGTGGCGCAGAGCATCTTTGTGGCGCACAAGTCCAGGTCGCCCTACCGCCCGCCGTCGGCGACAGCGAGTCTGAGCGCGAGTCTGGCTCGTGCGGGACCTGGCGCGCAGGGAACGAGTAAGCTTGCGGGTACCGGCGCGTCCGATGGGGCTGCTGCGGCGGGGAGCAGCTCGGCGCGTTTGCCGGCGACAGGGACGGGCACGTGGCGCCATTCATGGGGTCGTCCGCCTCCGTGCTGGGCCGGGCCTGTTGATCCTCCACCCGCCGAGGGCGCAAGTGGCACTAAAGGACGACGCGAAGAGGGGGCGCCCAAGCTGCGCGACGTGTTTGCGCACCGCGACGACGACGACTGGACGGACGAGGACGAGGAGCCGTCGTACTCTGGCGGGCTGGGTCAGATGGGATCTACGGGCTCTATGGCGGCCAATCGCACGGCGAGTGCGGCGTCGAGTTCGCCGTACGCTACGCGGAATATGGCTGCGCTTGGCAGTGGCGGCGTGTACCCCGCGCAGGGGGCTGCGGCGGGCATGGCGCCGTTCGGATCGCGCTATGCGGGCATTCGCAACATGTTCCAACCACCCACGGCGACGGGCTCGGGATTCCGCAGCAACCACCCTGTGTCGCTGAGCTTGGGCAACGAGTTTGCACCCAAACTCCTGTCGGCTACGATTCACGAGTCGAAGCCTGCGGCAGGGGGAGGAGCGGATGATGGCAACGACGCGGCCAAGGAGACGCCTCCAGCAGGACCTCCAGCGCCGGGGGCAGCAGGCACGAGCAGGATCAATGCCTTCCACAAGCCCGTACAGATCATCGAGGAGGAGGAGGAAGACGAGTGATGCGCGCGCTGTCGACTGTCAATGGCATGCGTTGATACCCCCCTCCGTGTCTGAAGCCCGAACTCACGTGGTGGAAAGTGTGAGGGCGTCGTGTTTGCTCGCCGTTGTCTGAATCACAATCACGGGCGCTCAAGGTGTGAAGGCGTTGGTGTGGAGGGGCGTTGTCGAGCGGGAATGGAGGGCACGCGAGTCCAACAAGATCTGGCAGACAGGATTGGGTGATGAGTGGGCGTCAAAAGGGGAACCGAGTCGGGGTGAGATTACAGCGGAGCGTGTGCGGGGTCTTAAAGGTACATTTGGGGGCGCGCGCGGGGATGCTACTCTCCATAGACGAACTTTCGGATGGCATCTACGTGTGTCTGCGACCACCTTTCGTCATGGGCGTTGTTGACGGCGTGTACGGCCTCGTGCATGTGCTGTTCATCCTTGGTCCCCGAGAGTACGGTGATGGTGAGGCGGGGAATATCCATCCCTCTTGCCAGGAAGGCATACACCACCTGTTGCGGTGTCCAACCCAACAACTCTGCCGACTCCTGCACCGGTGGCGATGCGAGCAGGTTAGGGTTACCCGTAATCGACCAGAACGGCTGATACACCACAGGTTCGCCACACTCGTTGGGCGCAAGAGCGGGGGAGAGGATCGAAAGTAGTGCTACGTCGTGGCCGGTAGTGTAGTGCCATCGATTCTGGACGATGCTCGGTGGAATGCGTGTGGTGCGTGCGAGTGCCTGGAAGATCTCGGCATCGTACACGTTCGACACGCCGATCTGGCGGACCAGTCCGAGCTGGACGAAGCTCTCCATGGCTGCCCATACGTTCAGCGTGCGGTCCAGCGTGGTCAGCGGGGAGTGCAGTACGTAGCTATCCACATACGCCTCGCCGTGCTTATCGCCATACTCCACCCCGGCATCCAGCTCCACCCCGCGCTCCGAGTTGGCCGTAATCTTGCGTGCAACCTCCTCGAACGGCTCAAACTCCAGCCACGGATGCAGATTCCTCAAGGATGCAGCGAAGCTCTTGCGAACCTGCACGGCTACCGGCTCATCGTGACCAAATGGAATCGTCGAGGGTTGCGTCCAGTCCTGCCCCGAACGCGGGGTGAATTTGGTCTGCACCCATACATCGCGTCTGTCGAGCTGCAGATCCGTCTGCGCCGTATCGAGTGCAGCACCCACGTGGTCTTCGCGGTAGTGCTTGCGCTGCGCCGCCGTGTCGATCCCGCGAAAACCGTGGCTGAGTGCGAGGATCACCAGGTCCGACGTAAAGTCGCCCTTCCACGCGGTGCCGTACAGAAGACGAGGCATGCTCGGCACGCGCGACCGACCAGCAGGCGTGGATGACGAGGTCGCCGACGCAGCTGCGCCAGAGAGCGACGTAGATGCTTGGCTAGACGCCATCCTTGTAGCGATAATGGCGCGTGCGTGTAGAGGCGCGCGGGATGTCGAGCTGAATAATTGCCGCAACGAGTGGGTGCCGACCAGCCGAGGCGCTAGGATCGAAAACGTCGTTGAAAGTAAATGCACAGCTTGCTTCTTCTGCAGCAAGCCGACAAGGTGGTGGACAGATGATGGATGCAGGTGGGTGGGGATGCTGCGGATGCTGCGGATGGTGGTGCCGAGAGGCTGCTGGACAGTGCGCCGAGACTGCGCTTTTATTAAAATAGGCTCGCCCGCCTCGGCCGCATTCCGAAGCCTCAAATTCCACGCTCGACTCGGCTCGAATTGCGGCTTTGACGTGCTCGAGCTGCAGCCTTGCGTCTTCGCCCTCCAAGACTCCACCTGAGCGCAGCCACCGCCACTCAATCTACTCTGCCTACTCAACACGGCGCAGCGCATCTAGCTGAAAACACGATAGAATTGTCCATACGATTCTGCGCTGCGGTTCTCTACGTCTTGCGGAAGCAGCGCGTGGTGTTGCGCTTGACCCAGTAGATCAGACAGCCCACAAAGCGGAAGAGCGACAGCCCAAACGTCGCCCACAGGATAATCTTAAAGTACGTCGACTGCTTGGAGCTCTGCTGCTGCTCGATCTGGCTGTTGGTGAGGCCAGTGTTGACGCCGTTGACGTTCTCGATCGCCACGGTCAGCGCGCCGTTGGTGAGCAGCCAGAACGCCACGAGGCGCGTGCGGAATGTCTTGTTGCTGTCGTCCATCGTCGGCTTCTCCACCGTCTCGACGGGCTTGAACGGCGCCACGGCGCGCGAGACCACCGCCTTGAACGTCTCGTCAATGTCGTCCTGGTGGCGCTCGATCTCCTCCACCGTGCCCGGCTCGGTGCCCTTGTCCTTCTTGGTGTCGACGGTGGGCAGCGCGTCCGCCTTGTCCGATCCCTTGGTGCCCCAACTGACGTCGTGCAGGTTGCAAAAGGCGTATACGTTGAGCACGTTGATGAACGAGGGCGCGATGAGCATGTACTGTGGGAACGACGTGATCATGTGCCACGGGTCCGCGTACAGGATGGAGGCGATGAGGTAGATGCCAAACGTCGCCGCGAGCGCCGCGATGAGCACGCCCGTGGTCTGGTTGAACAGCGCATGCCAAAGGTCGCCCGAGAAGCTCGTGTGCACGAGCGCCCTCACCGTGAGCCAGAGCGACGTAAAGATGAGGTAGAGACCCAGGATGCCAAACACGATAAACGACACAATGTACGTCGTCTTTTCGCCCTTGGGCCTGTTGCCGAGCGCGAGTACGAATTGGAGGCCGAGGAAGAAGACGTACACCCACTTGGCAGCCTGGTTGATCCAGTGGAAGACGACGAGCGTGGTTTGCGACTGGTCCTTGAGCAGCTCGTCGGGCAGGAACTCGATGATGATCGAAAACGTGAGCCAGAGGTTGGCGAGCGCGAACCACGAAAAGAGGAGCACAAAGGCATTGTAGAGCGCCTGGAGGTGGAAGAAGAAGAGCCGGATGATGCCGTGGTTGGACTTGTAGATCCGGAAAAAGTGGACGAGCGAGTAGATGGACGCAGCGAAGGATCCGTTGAGCCAGCGTCGACGCTGCGAGATCAGCTCGGCCGCGCCCTCGGGCACATCCGTCTCGCCCTTGGACGGCTTGACGTAGGTGAGCGTCCATCGGTCGCCTGCCTTGGCCACGAGCTCGAAGCACAGGATGCGGTCCTCGGCGAGGAACATGTTTTTGGTAAAGATGTCCATGCCGTGCAGCCCCTTCTTGCCGAGCCGATCGGCGAGCGTGTGGTCGCCGTGGAAGTACTGCTGGAGCGGTCTGCCCTGGATGGCGCGGAAGCGGTAGGCACTGAAGGCACCGGGCAGCACGCTGACGTAACCAAACGTCGACTCGAGCGGCTTGTCGAGGATGTTGGACATCTTGTACTCGAAGTTCTGCGCGGCGACGAGCGGGTTGATGAGCTTGCGTCCGTTCTTGATCATGGCGTGGATCTCGCCGCACGCGCCGCCGAGGTTGGCGTTGTTGTAGAACGCTTCCCACAAATAGTAGAGTGACTTGTGGCCGGGCTTGGTGCCTGCGTCGATGAGCACGCAGAGCTCCGGCTGTAGGTGACGGCCGAGGGCGTTGAAGAGCCAGCGGTGGCTGTTGATCTTCTTGCTGTTCTTCTGCTTGAGACAGAAGATCATCTGGACGGGCACAAGGTTGGAGGCGTCGTCGCCGTGGGGCTGAATGAGCGCGGGTGTGGGGTCGACCGAGAGCTGGGTGGTGTATTCGAAGAGATGGGCGACGGTGTCCTTGCCGTCGACCTTGCGCTTCATGACGCCGTCCTGGTATACGCCGACGGTTGCGAGCAGATCGAGCACCTCCTTGTCGCATGGGTCGATGCCGTCAAAGATGAGGCTGACGACGATGCGCTGCCATCCGGGGCGCCCTTCCTCGGCGGAGCGTCGCCAGAACTTGGAGGCCTTGCTCTTGCAAATGTCGCGGATGTTGAGCATGACGCCATGGAGCGTGCGTGCGAGCAGGATGCGGTCCTCGTTGTAGTAGGTGATGGCAATGAGCAGCTCCGTATCGCGGCCGTACTGCGACGAGGTGCGCAGGCTCCAGCCGTTTTCGAGCGTAAACTCGTCCGGATCGCACGTGGCGGCGGTGTAGCGCATGTGCGAGAACTCCTGGGTACGGCTGCCTTGGGCCCATTTTGGCTCGACCGAGTTCTTGATGGCGGTAGGGACGGGGTGGTCGACAATCCAATGACCGCGAGTGAGCTTGACCTTTTTGGTGAGGCCGCGCTTGGGCGCCTGCTGGCGCTTTGCCCATGCGACCTGGCTTGCGCTGTCCTCGGGCCCGAGGTCGGACGAGTAGGATGATGGACCGCCGTAGGGTGCTGGCGTGGGGAACGAGCTCGGGTTGGCGAGATTGTAGGCGCTGTGGCTGGCGTTGGAGAAGCCGTACTTTTCGTCTGCAGACTCGGTGAGCGGCACTTTGTACTCTTCGTCGTAGCCGTAGCCTGCATGGCCCTCGGAGGTGCCGGGAGCTAGGGTCTGGAAGCTTGGGTTTTCGCCCGAGTAGAAGGGGTTCTCGTGGTGCATGGTGGTGGAGCTGCCGTAAGCACTCGTCGACTGTGCATAAGGGACGCTGGGTTGGCGCAGCGGATCATCCTGAATGGGGCGAAAGCCGTCAAACCATCGACGTAGCGAAGACATGCCGGTTATTGCGATGGAGATGGTCATGGAGACACGAGGAGAGAGCGGAAAGTGGTCAGTTTTAAGGCGGCTCGAAGTCGACGGAAAGCGGCTGGACCGGCGGTGTATGGGGCCGAAAGTGGGCTCGAGGCGGCGTGCGAGTGAGGCTATTGATGAAGGTGGGGCGAGCGAGATCGAAACTTACGGTGAGCTGGTAGGAGCGCTGTTGTCGCTGCTGGCGCTGCTGACGGTTCTGGCCAGGCCGGGAGGCATATGCGTCATAGCTCATGATGGCTTGCGACTCGAGGAGGACTGTTCGGTCTTGGTGGTAATGAAGCGGTTTAGGATCGAATCATGCGGCGTGTGGATCGGATGTCTTGAACGCCGGCAGGTAATGAAGGCGAGATGAGAAGCCCGAAGGACAGGGGTGGTGGGTTGGGAAGATGAAGAGGAATGGTCCGAAGGGGGAAAGCGTAGGAGATGCCGGCAGCCTTTGGAAGAGACGGGAACGACGGGAGCCGACGCGGATCGTTGGGGATGAGATGGTGGTTGCTAGATGAGGGGGGGATTGCTGAGCGCGACTGTCGGGCTCGGACCGACCGATGAGGAGGAGAGGATGTGACCGTTGCAGTGTGGCGGCGGGCGTGTGAATGTGACGGTGTGATTGAGTTGTTGCGAGCGGGAGGGATTGCTGGCTGTTGATGCTTTGGCTCTGGATCGGAAGGAGGGGCATCAGAGCTGCATGAGCGCTGCTGCAAGGGCGGTGTGCATTTATTGAAAAAATGGGGTTGCGTCAGTGCATCGCGGGGCCAACTGCCTGCCTGGCTGCCTGCCCATCAGTCCACGCGCTCATCCGACGCGCGATTGACAGCGGGTAAGCCGAAACGCCGATCCTCTGTTCCACTTTACCTTTTTCTGTCTCTTGGCAACCGCAGTCCTTCTTCGTCAGACATCACATCTACAAGAACCTGATCCCGATACTCATCAGCGATGCTCCGATGAGTGATGTCGGAATGGACGCTGGTCGAGTCAATCTCGACGTTGCGTTGCGGTGACTCTCGGGTGAGATGAGAGAGCGGAGTTCAAGGGCGTCCGCGTGTCTATTTTCTCCTCTCGCTTCGCGCAGCCGGCGAATTTCTTTTTAAAAAAATAAAACTTAAAATCTTAAAAAGAACGACGGGGGCACATCCACCAACATCACCTTGCTTGATGAGCCAAATAGCGATGGGGATCCGTATGCGACCCAGGCCTGGTGTGCGTCGTCGAGCAGTGTGTGTGCGCGCTGGAGCCGGCTAGGTCTGCGATGGAGGTTACTTGGTAGAAGGCAAACGCGGTCGAAGTTGGCTCTTGGCTCGGGCCCTTCCGATGTGCCAAGTCATCTTGCCGCTCGCCCAACACGCGCTTTGCTGCTGCACTTGCTGCCATCGAAGCTGGCATCGCACGCCTACAGCCAACATCCATCTGGTACGCAGCCTGCATCCCTCCTCCTCCTCATCAACGTTGCGATGCTATGCTACGATGCGATGCGATGCTTGCCCGATCGATCCCGATACGTCTCCGATGATTGTGTGCGGGGCGGTGCAGGAAATGCACTCCAGCGCCAACGCGGCAATTCACATTGTGCAGCTCCAGCATGCATACAGCCGCCCGCCCGGCCGGACTTCATGCCGCGTCGGCCGTCTTGCCTTGTACGACTTTCTGGCGCGTGGTTGGCATGCGTAGCATCTGCGACGACACTCACGTTGCCACCGATTCGCCTGTCAACCTCGCGTCAGATAGTACTGTATGCGTGCTTGGTGAACACGGCACGGCTATCCACCGGTGCGCGCCCCACACCAGCCGGGCAAAAGAATCACCACCCGAGACGCCTAAGGCTGTGCAACTTTGCTTGGCTGTGGCGCCAGCCAAATTGGCTCGGTTGCTTTCCCCACGCCCTCGCGTTGCCTCGGCGCCTCGCAACGCCGCCATCGTCACTCCACGCTGCTCATCACATGCTCTCGACTGGGCCGCGCCGTCAGCTGGTCGCAATGTGGATGCTTTGCATTGCATTGCATTCACCCCACACGCGCACGTCAGAGCTCGTCGGTGCGCTGTGAGCGCTGGTGGCTCAATCGTATGTTGATCGCCTCGTTGATAATCCGATCCACATCGAGCGGCGGCAGGCTGTCGAGCATGCTCCTCGTCTCCGACCGGTCGAGTTCCTCGAGCGAGTCCTTGCAGTTGGTGAGGATCGCAATGCACACGTACAGATGCAGATCCATGAAATCCGGTAGCGCAAAGTACGTGTCCCACAGCCGCATGAGGTCTTCGATGCGCAGCTCGCCCGCCAGCAGATGCTGCAGCCAGTTGGTCGCGAACCCGATAATGTCCACCTCCTCCTCCTCAAAGTACGAGTGCAGCTCCGGTAGCGTCGTCCGGAACAGCGTCAGAAACGTCGCCACCTGTCGTGGCAATGGATGCCGCGCACTGTGCCGCGCCATCAGCGTCATCAGCTTCTCGAACGCAAAGTACATGCCCGCCTCGACGCGCACGCACTGCACGAACGGCGCACACAGGTACACCAGCGCAGGGTGGAACTCGGAGGCGGTGCCTGCGCGCCCGCCCGCAGCCGTGGCGATCTGCGGCTCCCACTCGTACTCGCGTGGCATGCGCGAGCGAACACTTTCCTCCACACTGGCCTTGTCACGGCCACTCCCACCGGCTGCGTTGCTGCCGCCGCTCATCGAGCCCGCGCGCGACCGCGATCGTGAGCTGCTCCCGCCCGAGTGTGTGTGCCGTGTCCGACTGCCATTCGAGCGAGTCGTTGCTGCGCCGTTGGCACCCTCGCCCGCGTCGGTGGACCGCGACGCATCGTCGCCCCATTGCGAGTACTCGACCTGCCGGCGCTCGTCGTTGGACGCCTCGCTGGCGTGTGTTGCTGTCTGACTCGTGCTCGTCTCCGCTTCGTAAATCGCTGGCGCTGCAGCGTTGATGGCATCCCCTGCACGTCGGCGCGCTGCCTCGGCGGCCGCACATCGGTTCATAAACGCGCACACGATGCTCTCCACGCTTCGTCCGAACCGTTTGAGCTCGAGCGCAGCTGCTGCATCCGGATCGTCCGCGTCCATCGCCGCTGATACGCCGCTCTCGCCAATGATCCCACCCAGCGCGTGGATCCGCCCATCGTTCACCCGATTCGGCCCGCGATCCGCACCGAGCAACGTCGCTGTGGCCACGCCCGCCGTTCCAACCGCTGGCATCACCGAGTGCGGGCTTCCCATCGCCGCGACTGCTCCGCCCAGTGTCGATCCTGCTCCTGGTCCGTCGCTTGTGCCTGTGCCAGCACTTCCTATGCCGCCCGAGTATCCGCCGGGCCTTCTCGCCGCCACGCTGCGCGAGCTGCGCATGAGCGTTCTGCCGGGCGGCGGTCTTGTGCCCAGCCGCTTCTGGTAGTATCGTTGGCATTCGCTGCGCACGCGCTTCTCGAGCGCCGGATTATGCTTGTCCAACGCCTCGTACTCGAGATACTTGCTGCGCACCGATGTCATCTCCTGCCCCTTGTCGTCGCTCAGCACGCCCAGCAGGTACAGCCACACCTCGCCGCGCACCGCAGGCTGCACCCCGTGCCGCGCAAGGTCGCGCAGCTTTTGCAGATCCACATGCTGCTCCGCGTTGAGCAGCTCCACGAACTCTTCCACCGTGGCAGAGCCCATCTCGCCCCGCAGCGCTCGCAAGCTGGAATGTCGACGGAAGCTGCGATGTCGGCACTGCCTGCCGTATTGGCTACGACTCGAGGATAGGATCGAGAGTCGAAGTCGTATATGGCGCAGGCGGGCCTCAGCTGCTGCTGAACGTGCAGCCCATGTTGGCGAGGAACGTGGAGGACCAGATGCAAGTCTCGAGCTGCAAAGTCCTTCCGAGATGCACCTTTTCTGCCGTGCACGGCCGTGCAGCCGCAGGCGAATTTGCCGCAAATGTTTATGTTAGGTCTCTCGCCTCAGTGTCACATCGGTGCGATCAGAACCGCTCACACGTACAAACCACGCCATCAAAGCAAGTGTTGAACAATGATGTCCAGTGTATAGGCTAGTAATACAAAAGGCGCCAACCCGGTATCTGCTCGAGGAGCTGGTTGTGGCGAAAGACGAGAGCGACCTTCACGACGAATCGTAAAGGTCAGGAATAAGATAAGGGCGGTCCAGCAGCGACCACAAAGCTTACAGCTCCGTGGTTCGACCTGAACACCTCTGTGGGGTGGACGTCTCGCTACCCGTGCTGGCCGAAGCTGCGCTCCAAGCTGTCCACGAGCGCCAGCCTCCTCCTAGCAACGAGGACGACGACGTGTTGGCGGCCTCAGCGTCTTCTTCCTCCGACGTTGCCGATGGTGGCAGTTGGCTCTCGGCGCCAGATTCGGTCTTGGCCGTTGGGGGCCGTGCCGGAGCAGGAGAAGGCGAAGAGTGTGCTTCCGATGGTCCGGCGGTCGAGGTGGATCGAGACGCGCTGGGTCGCAACGCCGAGAAGCTGGGCAGTCCCAGCCCGAGCGAGACGCGCTTTCCTCCGCTGTACCACGCACTGCCTTCCTCCTCGCCAGCAGCTCCGCTCTGACCCGCGATCTTGGCTGCTGACATCTCATTGAGCTTCTGCAGGGCACGAAGCGCACCGCCCCCACTCGCGCCCGATCCTGTGGTCGGCGCACCTGTCGTGCCGGCCTCTGACGCAGCAATCGAATTCCACGTGACCCGCTCGGCGCGAAGCTCGGCCAGTTGCGATGAGAGCTGGCCCGCGCGCTCGCGATCCGATATCGACAGCGAGGCCCGTGGGCTTACAAACGTCGAGTACTGCCCCGATACACGGCGAAGCTTGGCAGCCGCCTGATCCGTCGATGGGTTCTCGTGCGACGAAGACGCTTCGAAATCTTGGCCAGCTCCATCTCGTGCGGCGGGCTTCCAGGGCGTGGCAAGCACGCCTCGAATGGCATGCATGCTGCCCGGGGTCGGAGGGGAAGCGGAGAGCATCGAGCCCTCGGTAGCACTGTCAAAGTACGACGAGTCGGATGGCGTCTCGTTGCGCGAGGATACAGAGGCCGAGGCTGGCGCCGTCGACATGCCGAGCAGGGCTGCGAGCGTCGACTCGGCCGACTTGGAAGCTGATGCTGTAGAAGCTTCAGCTTTGAGGCTGGTTGCCCGACTGTAAGTTGGAAGGCCGGAGATTGCTTGCGGGTCGGTCGCAGCTACCACGTCCTTGGACTTGGTCGTCCGCGTGTTTGATGCTGAGGATTTGGATGGCTGGGCTGAGTCCTGGCGGAGTGCTGCCATGAGTGAAGGCCTCTGAATGGGCTGAGCCGAGGCAAGGACCCGCGAACTTGCTGTCTCGTTGAAGTCTATCACACCGGGGCCTGATTTGCCGGCCGCAGGCACTGATGCTGCTGGAGGTGCAGCCGAGGGTCCCATGGCGATTGATGGGGCGGTGACTGCTGTGGATGTGAAGGCGGCTCCAGCTGCCGACGCCGTTCTCGATGGCCCGCCCAGTTTGGACATCAAGTTGATGCTTGAGGAGGCTCGGCTGTCGTAGCTGACCGAACGCTTCTTCTGTGGTGTGCCATCGCGGCTGTCAGAGGTCGAGTGCGCTGCCAGCTTGGGCGTAGTCGACGCTGAGGGAGGCTGCTGACCGGTGGGCTCTTGATGTTCGACCGGCGATTCTTCGGCAATGCTCGACTGCACAGAAGCAAAGTTGGATATCGAGAACGCCCGTCTCGAAGGATTGGGATCGCGACGCTGGGGAGAGGCGGCGGACGATGGCGAGGCACTGGGAGTGGTGGGTGCGTGAAGCATGCGTTCGAGGCGTTTCGCGGCGGTCTTGCCAATGGTAGCGTCTCGATCTTGCGCCTGTACGATACCCGCTGCAGCGGCACCACGAACTTGGAGACCAGCTGCGTCAGCCAGGGCGGTGATGGGGTTTGCAGACGAGGGGTCGACAGAAGACCGGCGGGAAGCTTGACCAAGACGTGTGAGCTTGTCTAGCTCCGCCGTCGTTCTAGCCATAAAGTCGGACATGTCTGAAACGGCAGTGATCTGGCGGCGCAGGTGGGCCTCTCTGGTGTCGAGATGAGAATCGAGGGCTGCCTCCATGGCGTTGAGCTGCGCAAGCTTGGCTCTAGATGCGAGTGTGTCCAGGACGAGCGCGTTGGACGCTTCCAAAGCTTCCATCGTGGCAGCCATGAGCCTGTCAATCCTCTCTGCGAGGTCATCGTCGTCTTCATTGTCATCGTCGGTGTCGTCATGGATGGGATAGCTAGCAGCGGCAGAGGAATTCCGGTCGGCGTCGGAGATTACAATGTCATCGCTGCGATTGTAATGAGCGAGCTTGTCGTCATGTGGCATTGTTGTACTGGGTAGTTCATCATCGTCATTGAGGGTGAGTGAGAGATCGTTGATACTGGAGGCAAGGCTTTGCGAAGGGGTGAGATGGGCGATGTCGGTGGGATCGGCGTGGTCGATGCAAGTTAGATCGCTGATGCGGCTCTTGCGACGGTGGGCGAATGTGTCGACGTAGGTGGAGGTGGTGGATTCGGCGCGACTGCGAACGGTATCGTTGGAGTCGCCAGCAAGCGTATGAGTGGACCAGCGGACGGGACTGTCTCGGGTCACGGCAGACGCGCTGCGTTCGATTGGTTTGGAGTCGGCGACGACGGTCTTGGGAGTGGCGCGGTGCGGCTGCATCCATTTCGGAGGCAGCCGCGACCGGGTCTGACCTGTGCTGGCGATGACTGGTGCCATGGCTGCTACGGATCGCGCCCGTTGTGATTGATGGCAGGGACTGCCACAGAAGTTTGGCGTTGCTACAACGGCGATGTGCCCGTCATGATGTTGAAAGGATCGATTGGATTATGCTGATGCGAGGTCGACGAGCCTAGGTGGAAGACAGAAGTGAGGATGTCGGAGGAGCCGCGAAAGCATCGAATGGTCCTTCTCGGGACGGGCCGATGGAAGTGTGGGTCGACGGCGAGCTGCATCCCATCCAACAGCATCAGCAGCAGCAGCCTTAGCAGCATTCCGGTGTTTGGCACATGGGCTGCAGCCAAAAAGCCAACACAGGGCAGCGGGCACACGGATTCGAGCGCGACTGGCAGACCCTGCTGAGCAAAAAGCGAAAGGGCAGCTGCATGTCTGGAGTGCACTTCGGCTGTGTTTCTTTTTTCTGTTGTTCTCCGACTCAGCCGCCCGAGGCAGCCAAAAAGCCCAGCTGGGTCGGCTGCACCGAGAGAGGCTGATGAAGCCCTCGGCGCTTCCGCGTCACACGCCCCTGACTGCGATGTGCTGCCCTAGTCCATCAGATCCCCCCGCCCTTTGATCCAACCAAGTGGAGGATTCGGCCCTGGCCGAGCTCTGCTGTCCCCTTCTCAGGCTCGACATCCTGCTTCCGCGCTTCCGCAGATCCTCATATGCCTCACAAGTGGGTAGGCTGAGTACTTCATCTGTATCGTCACGTCACTCCTCCGTTGTCAGACGGAGGGTGTGGCCGAGATGAAGCTGAACCTCATGTCCGGTGTTTTCTCAGGGACGGGAAGCAGGCTGTTCATCGGCGGGAAGGCTCGAAATTACTCAGAAAAACACGCAGCCACGACGTGAAATTGCCGATTTTCACACCAAGCCCCTGAGTGGTGGGAAGGAGATCTGCACCGCCATAACCTTCCCAATCCGCCGAGCTCACGATGAAGGCAAGAAGACAGATGAACAAATCGTCATACGTAGCAGCCAGCAGACGACAAGGAGAATGAGAGCTTGCAAGTTCGATTTGCAGCATAGTGAAAACGGTGACGACATCGTGGTATACAACATAGTTAACAGATGAGACGGGAGCAGAGACGACGACGACGGGGCCATGCGGCCCCCCAACAGGCTGCGCTTAGATGGTGTAGGTGAAGCCGGGGCGGTCGTCGACCACCTTGCGGCCAGCACGGATCTTCTTGTTGGCGCTGTAGAAGTAGAGCGTGAAGCCGATACCGCAGAGCACGTTGAAGGCCTGGCAGGCGAGCGTGGCGTAGAGACCCTTGCGGTACAGCGGAGCGTCCTTCTCGTTGTAGGCGAGCGAGGCAAAGATACCGCCGATACCACCGAACATGATGACAATCACCGACACAAACGACTTCTTGCTCTGGCCCGCAACGTTGTTCTGCGAGAAGTTGAGCACGAAGGGGATGTTGGAGTTGGCACCCCAAACACCGAGGAAGCAGCCGGCGAGCTGCACGTTGCGCTGCTTGGTGGCGAAGAGCATGCCCAGGCCAGCAATGGTCAGGAGGCACTGGCAGATGAGGATGGGCATGCGGATGAAGAAGCGGTCGGCAATGACGGCGGTGCCGAAGGCACCCACCATCGCAACCACGTAGGGCGCCGCACCCAGCAGGAAGGCATCCTTGACGCTGTACCCGAGACCGCGGAGAATGACGGGCAGGAAGTAGGCAAACGCATAGGTAGGCATGGTGGTGCACATGAACATGAGGCCGTAGAGCCAGCACTTGATGTCGAGAGCGTACTTGCCAGCCTTGGCCCAGGTGAGAGCGTCGGGCTTCGAGTCACCGCGGTCGCGCTCAATGCGCGTGAGGATCATGTCGCGCTCCTGGATGGTGAGGAAGCCCTTCTCGGCAGCCTTGTCGGGGAAGTCGAGGATGAGGAAGTAGGCGACGAAGGCGAGCACGACAGTGAGCAGACCCTCGATGATGAAGATCCAGCGCCATCCACGGAAGGTGCGGTCGGAAACCTTGATGAGCGACATGCCGTAGGCGATGATGTTTGAGAAGCCCGAGATACCGACCGAGATGAGGTAGAAGGCCGACATGCGCACCTGCGACTCGCGGCGAACGTACCAAGTCGAGATGAGCCAAACACAAGCGGGGAAGAAGCCGGCCTCAAAGGCACCGATGAGCGCACGCGTGAGCGTGAGCATCTGCCACGAGTGGACAAAGCCCTGGCCGATCATGACCACACCCCAGCAGAAGGCAATGAACGAGAGCTGCTTGGCGGCACCAATCTTGCGGAGGAGCAGGTTGGAGGGCATCTCGAGCAGGATGTAGGGCACGAAGAACATGAGCAGCGGCACACTGTAGTTGGTACCAGCCGTCAGCTTGAGCTCCACACCGGCACCGGCGATACGAGCTGCCGAAAGGTTGGTTCGGTCGATAAGCGCGATCGAGTAGAGCGCACCGAGGATGGGCAAGAGACGGCGGTCGACCTTGCGGCGCACACGCTTCACCTCGGCCTCGTCAAAGCCCGAGTTGATGTCCTCGAAGGCCGAGTTGGCCTCGGCATCGTGGGCCGAGATGCCAGTGTCCTTAGTGAGCGTGTTGCCCTGCATGGGGTAGCCGATAGCCTCCTTCTCATCCGAGTGGAGGGAGCCGGAGCGATCACGCTCCTGGGCAGGTACCGACATGGTGGAGTAGGTCGGCGACAGCACGTAGGGGATGGGGAACGACGGTAGCTAGAGGTGAAGAGTCGGAGAAGTGGACAGAGAGGTTCGAGACCGAAGCAGATGTAGCGAGTTGGTGAACCACGACCGACCTTGAGGATAGAGGGCACAAAGTGGATGGGGGGTGAGACGGAGGAAAGGGGAGGTCCTTGCTTCGAACTTGGACGTCTTATATGTGTAGCCACGGACGAGGTTCACCGCATACAGTCTGCATCGCTCGAGGGGAGGCGCAGATGTGCCCAGGGCGGCGTGGCGGCGCGACGGCGTCAGCGCTGGATCAGCTGGCGACGATGCATCTGCGCGGTGCGGGGTACATGAGCGCTGCCACCTGGCATGCAGTGCGCGCGGGCTCTTCCAAGCCCGGATCCACGGAACAACCAAAGAGCTCCACGACGACGGTGCCTGGCAAGCCTGATCTGGTCTGGCCGTATGTGGAGCCGGCGCAACGCCGGGGTTGGCGGACCAAACTGGCCTTTTCTGCTGACGCTCGCCAGCTGGTCTGAGGAACGCGCGGATTGGATCGACCATGTGCTGCTCGGGACCGGAGGACTGCGGTCGCAAGCAGCGCTAAGCGAGTCACCCAAAAGTGGCAAGGTTTGGAGCTCGAGGATTTCGCCTCCATCTGCCAAGCCCAGCCTCGTCAGGCTGCGCGACGTGGTTGGGTCCAGGTCATGTGGGGAGGTGGTGAGAGCGCCATCTGCGACTGTGCGCCCCTGGCGCGGTGCGAGACAATAGGGCTGCAGCTGCACAGACGTGCAGAGCCGGGATGCCAAGATGGGCTGCAGCAACGAGGCGTTGCGAGGGGGAGGAGCGCGACGGCGGCGGCGGGCCTGGAACCTAGCCCGTCCTCTATTGTGGCCTGCGAACACTGCGCAACAAGACGAGAGTTCGAGGAGCGTTGGAGCGTTGGGTCGGGGCATGAATGTGGGGGAGGTAGAGGTTTGGGCTTGTTGTCCAACGGGAAGCCATTTTTGGGGGAGGCGAGCAGGAAGAGGGCAGAGGCGAGGCGCTAAGCGGCAGGCACTGCACATTTCGACTCTTTGACAGCCGCAGACGAGCACTGCTTCTGTGCCCGGCTGCGCGTGGCGGGAAGGCGCCAAGACTTTTGGCTGTCGACACTGCGTGGGGAAACTGTCTCTGCCCTGCAGACCGTGGCCATGGTCCGACTCTGTGTCCCCCTCGCACAAGGGCACATCGACAGTGTCGACGCGCTTGTCCCTCAGTCTCGCCCATCTGGCCTCGTGGCATTTTTCCGAGCCCGAACGCAAATCGTGGCGACTCCGCCCTAGCTCTCGGCCTGCCTTTGGGCACAGCAAAGCCATGCCAAGAGCCAAGCTCACTCCGTTGGCCTGCAACGCAAACTCGCGCGCTCTCCCAGCGCCGTCGCCAGAGACGGGGCAACGTAGCATGGCTTTGTTTTCGTCCGGCCTCGACGCCAGTTCTGCTCCGCGCCCAGGATCGCCGCTGCTCGCCGAGCGCTTCGGAGCAACGCGTTCCTTGTGCTCCCAACTGGCCCGGGTGAGATCCCTTGGGCCGTCGTTGCGTAGCAGAGCATGGCTCGGGGCGACGTACTGTAAACATTCGATCTGGCGCTTTGCCTGCCAAACTGCGTTCTCGACCGTTGGCATCCACCCTGTGCGTTGGGACATTGTCTGTTGTGGCGCAGGCGAGCCCAATCAAGGCGTCCGTGCAGCAATTCGGGACGGTGACACATTGGTGTGACGGTGCACGTCCGTCCTCCCTGGTCAGGGTCATGATGCAACGCAGCAGCGCAAGGCCCGCGCATCGAGCGTACCAACGCTGCCACTGCGTTCCGGACCGATTGCGATGCGGGGTAGCGCTTGGCGAGTCACCGAGGCTGCTGTTTTTGATCCATGAATATTGCTTTACCCGAATCACCCCCACACCCTGCACCCTGCACCATGCACCCCCTGCCCAAACCTCAAGCTGCAGGCGAGGTCGATGTCCTACTGCGTACAAGTCCCGAGTGTGCTTAGAAAGGTGGTTGCCACACTTGACAGCTTAGCTGGTGAATCTGGGGCTCGATCAGGATCAGCTCATCTTGGATCTGGCGAATCTTGCAAGGGGTGTTACCGAAGACGACGCCAAGACGCGCGTCAGGTACCTGACGCGAACCGGATGCATAGTTTGTCCGTCGCCGTCGTTGCTCTCAGGCGAAGCTCCAGTGTGTTTGGTGTGGGGTGGACGTTGTGTGACGAGGCACGCGTTCCTGTTCAAGGTCTACGATGCTCATTCGATCTCCGCCTGGACCTGCAGTCTACTAGCTTGGGTCGGAGCCTGTGGTAGCTGAGTTTCTTTGCTTCTTCCAATGTCGCTGCTTTGGGGAACTCTCTCTCAGAGAACCCTCTAGCTTACGGTCGGTCGGAGTGCGCGTCTTGGCATCTTTCATGCGGGGGCCCTCTCCGCCTCGAACAGCTCTTTGTCTTCTCGTCCCGCGCACTCGATCGGCGCTGGGTTTGGACCTTGAGATTGCAACTGCGGCCCGCTCGAGCCTCCGGCTTCTTTCGTGAGCCGGCCGCACAAGCCGGTAGCCGAAGCCAGCTACGGCCACTCTATCCCACGTGAGGCAAGATCGTCCTGCGCTAGCGCTGTATGCGTCGGTCAAGTGCGAGTCCCCTCCAAACAGTCCTACACCTGGGCCCCAACCGATCGTGCAGCCGGCTGTGTCGTCCAACTTACCCCCATACACCGGCTCCGCATCCCAGACGGTATCCGACATGGAGCCCCACATTCCTGCTGCACGTCGTGTTGTTACCCCACGATAGACGAGTTTCATGCATAATGATGGCTTGCCATCCCTGCTTCGCCCGACATCGAGGCGGAGATCAAAGCTCAATCAGCTACCCCGCAATTGATCGTATCCCGACTGATCCGCATCAGCTCCATGCCCGGTCCAAGATAGCCGGCCTCGGCGCCGTCTACAAGCGGTGGTGATGAGCTGCGGTGGAGCGTCTTCCACACATTCCACACGATGGGCACGGTTGCGATAGGTGCGATCCTTCGACTGTAGTGCGCCGCCCCAACAAGCCCAGCTCAAATGATGGATCGGAGTGACCCATGAGGGTTACGCGGGTGTTTGACAAGCTCAAAGTACGGCAGGAAGCTAACCGTCGTTAAGTACATCTAGACGAATACAATTGGCTCGGCGCAGGAGCTTCGAGGGTAGAGGTTTGCTTTCTTTTGAGGTAGACCTTGCGCTAAATCCCGGGTGTCTCGAGAGATATGCTTTGATCAAATTTTGACATACTCAAAAGCCTGATCGGAACGTGGATCTCAATCCAATCGCATCGGTTGACATCCTGGCCACCTCGATCCGCACTACCTCGATGCGCTCCAAGCCGACCGAGGAGCAGACCACACGCTCGAAGCAAGTAGGCCGTTTCGAAGCAAGATGAGGACAAAGTGTGATATCTAAGCTTCAGCGATCGCTTAATCTTGACCTCAAACATTACGAAGTCAGCCTGCCACCTCTCTCGGTCCCCGACTGACATGTGCTAGTATTGATAAGGTACAACCGAAGCCTGCTAATAAATCTGTTCTCGCTCCCGCTCGCGCTCACCTCGAACCATGTCGTTGACTCGATCCTGCTCGATCCTGTTTCAAAAGGCTAGAACAGACTCTGGACGGCGGTCACAAGCTTGGAGAGGTTGACGGAAGGATCGAGCCAACTCAAACGCTGTCGATCTGACTCAAATGCTGTCGAGACAACTCAAATGCTCTCGTCGATCAACCACGTCTGACTCGGTGGCGTAGCCGACTCAGCTCCTGTGCTGGCCAATCTGCATGCATCTCACGTGTAGCCACAGAGCGTCCTGTGCTGGTGTGTATGCATCGGTCAAGTGGGGCTAGACACGGACCTGCTCCCCAATTGACGACCGATTCCGAATCGCGAGCTCGGCTTCCGGTGGTTGCGCACGTTCCTGTTGACGCGATCGACGAGATCCATCGCTCTTGCATTGCACGACCAGCGGGACAAAAGCATCGCCATGGGCCCTGCACGGAATGACAGCGATGCCTTTGTCGTTCCTGCAGATCGTGAGAGTCTTGGCCTTGTCCCTCCATTGCTGCTCCTTCCGAGCTTTCTCTGCCTTCAACTCGTTCACCAGAGATCGAGCCCCTGTCCTAGCATGTTCCAGTGCCGCACAAGGGTCCTCCTCCTTGCCATCCTAGATGACAACAAACACCTTGTAGACTTGAACGCCGTCCGGCTGTGTGTTGGCCGGAGGAGCATGAGCCTCCTGGTCGTGGTTGTTGGCAAGCTGATTGTCATACGCCAGAGCACAGAGAGGATCGTAGACACGGACGGCAGCCTTTTTGTCGCTGTACATCGCCAACTCTTGGGATCCATTCGTTGCACGATCGCTGTCTGACATGTGTCGTACGTGCGAGTCGCACTGAGCTCGTTGGAATCGGGTTTAGAGCGAGAGTAGGCGCCCAAAGCTCAGCGAGGCGAGGAGGGCGCGAGGCGAGGAGGGCTACTGTATCTGGCGTTGGCATGCGTTTCGATTGATATGGTTGATGATGTCAACCCCGCTTGCATTCAGAACTGTACTTGCTTTCGATCGAAACGACAGTCCGATTTCACCACGCCACGAATCACATTCATGAAGGACTGTGAACAATGCGATGCGTCGTTGCTATGAAGAATAGAAGTACAGGGAGAGGCAGAGCCTGTGCGGGCAATTAAAGCAGCGAGACTGCGATCGAGACGAATGCGGCCAGGACCATGCATGCTGCCACGGCCCTGTAGCTACCAATCGTCGCTGCGGGTGAAGAGTTTGCGCCGGCGGATCCTGCTGCTGGCGACTTTGTTTGTGTTGCCGTTGTGACGTTTCTCCAGCCCTGTGGTCTCCACCCAAGCTGCACGTTGCTCGAGTCGTCAAACAGAGCCGACGTACCCTCTATGCTCGTGTACACCTCCTGGGCGTTGTGATCGGCATCGTACACCACCGTCAATCTATGCGCCAGCGTACTGTTGGTGACGTTGGCCCAACTCGTCATGCCAGGCAAGGCTCCAGGGAAGCCAGTGAGGTCCTGGTTGGTTCCGGCCAGCGTGTTGAGGTATCTCCACCAGGCCAGATTTCGATCGCGTCGTGCTTCGCCGCCCTGGAGCTTGGCCATGCACGTGTCGTCGCCGTCGTTGGTGGTATCCTGGTAGCCGACCACCCAGCGAACATCGCGCGTGACAAAGCGAGCAAAGTACTGCTGCGGCGTCATCAACGGCGCCGCCCGCGTGCCGTTGAAGCGGTCAAAGCCGTAGCGCCATCGGTTGTAGAGCGGACATGTGGCCTTATCTGCGACCGAAGTGTCTTGCAGAGGTCTATCGAGAGTGAAGTAGGGATTGGACGAGGGATCGCCCACAACATACCGCAGTTGGATCTTGCTCCCGCTCGGCAGACCCGCGCCCACCACAGCGTAGCGCGAGATGAGCTGTGCGCCGCCGCCGTGGCCGACAAAGGTGATCTGCTTCATGTTAGGGTACTTTGCCGTGTCGCTGAACTCGGCGAGGAGTGCGTCAAGAGCATCGAAGCTGGTCACGTTGGTTCCGATCGGGCGATTGGCTGCCTCTCCTGCCTGCCACACGTTGGTGTCGGCAAAGGCGATCTGGCTGTTGGTGTATTGGCCCGAGTTGAGCCTGGTCGAGTAGAACTGCGGGGCGGTGACGATGGAGGTGCTGACGGCGCCGGCATGCTTCGCCTTGACGGCTTGCTCCAGCACGGTGTCGAGTACGCTCCAGTAATTGGCCCCGTCGCGCAGCTTACCGTGCATCATGATATAGGCGTTGGTGGCGGTGGCGTTGTTCGGGTTGGCGGTCCAGTAGGTTGCGACCGAGGCGTCCGAGGTGATGGGGAGCGAGACGAGCGAAGCACCACTAGGCACGGTGGGCTTGCCGTGGTCCTCGCCTTCTTTGTTGAGGGGGTCCTGGTCGGAGAAGGCATCGCGCGCTCGGACGGGTCGAGAGCGCACGGGGGCCATCTGCGCACATGCCGAGGCAGCGAGCGTCAGAAGCACAAAGAGCACCATGCTCATCGCGCTCATCGTTGAGCTCGATCTCGACGAGATCATTTTGTTGGCTGGAGCTTCTACGTCGTCGACTCTTTTGCAAAGTGGTTGCGTAGAGGAGGGTGGTGGGAAGCGCCCCGGCTCTATTTAGACACCCCTGTACCTGTGCTGGTTGAAGACAGTCGCAAGCGGACGAGCGTCCGTGTGTCCGTGTTGTGTTGATCCAGGGCGACAGCAGTCGATGCAAGCGAGGCCGGAACGGAGACGATCAGGGCTTGGAGGTGGACACCTCGGAGCGAAGGAGGCGGCAGCACATCTGGCGCGTTGATGTTGTGTGGTTGCAAGCGAGATGGGTGGAAGAAGGCAAGCCGGAGCGAGGGAGGCGATGAACCCTGTGTCTCAGGTTTGAGATCCTGGAAGGGTGAGATGGGCGGATCGAGCATGCGGCGACTTCTTGCAAGGTCGTTGGGCATGGAGGGCCGAGGTGCCCGCGCGAGCTGTTGGAAGAAAAGCTGCAGCAGAATTTGAGTGGCGCTGACGTGCGGCTGGAGGCTCGAGGCTCGTCGGCAGGATCGAGGGCAACATGACCATGTGGAGCTTGCGGCTGGCCGGTGAGGTGGGAGCAGAGCCGTGAGCTGAGCCAAGCAGCATCACGGCAGCATCGCGATATCGGAATCGCATTCTTGCCAAGGCTTGCATCGGCGTTGAGGGAAGGGGCGCCGTCAAGGCAGACGGGCAGGAAGAAGAGCAGCCGAGGATCGGAGCGCGAAAAAGGTCGCAGGTGCGCTGCCGAGCGGCCATGCCGTCGATTACCGCTGTAAGTGGGATGCAGTCAGTCACAAGGTTGAGTGTGAGTGCGAGCTGCATAGCCAAAAAAAGAGCCTCCTGCAGATCGCGAACTTGAAATTGCACGCCGACGCCAATCGCGGCCGAAGCCTGCAGCGTTTAACTTACAACCTTTGCCTCGCGGTGGACATGTTCAGGCTCGCTCTCTCGACAGGGTTTGGGATTGTCTCTCCGCTGCTGCTGCCGCTGCCGGATGCCGATCAGGGTTGGTTCGGCTTGGGTCCGAACACTTTGAGCACGCGCCTGCTCGGAGTAGTGCCGGCTCGGGGAGGAAATGCAGGCAGTGCAGGCAGTGCAGGCGATGCAGCCGATGCAGGCTCCAGTGTGGCTCAAGGGAGGAGCATGGGAACGCAGTGACTTAGGGCGCGTCACGCTTCATTTTCTCTGCCCTGTCAAAGTGGCTGCCGCTCGGGCTCGGCGCAGCGACAACAATGCGCGCGGCCAAACGCGCTTTGACATCTGCATGCCATTCATGCCCACTTCGGCCCGAACTGCACCAGCCCGTTGTCACGCTGTAGCTCAAGCCGCCGGCACGTTTGAGGTTGGCCTCCAACGACCCACTGCGCAGAGAGTGATTGGCCTGCTCGCCACTCTGTCTAGCGCAATGCAATTTGAAATTGACACCTGATCCATGGTTTCATCGTCGGGTCTCGCTCAGCAGGCCGTCAAAAATGAAAAGACAATGATGCGGCTCGGCGATGTCGCTTCCGTCCCGACACGGACCTGGGCGCGAAATTCATGCTTCGCCCGATTGATTATGATCGGGCTAGTCGGCAGATTTGATGCCGATTTGAAAATACCTTTTTCGTGCGAGTCTCTTGGGGTGGAGAAGTTGTCGCTAATCCCGGAAAAAGGCGCTCGGTGGCTCTGCGCGGCTGGGTTAGTCATTTTTCGCTCTGTGTGGGCGGCCGCGGCCGACCGGTCGTGCGCTCAGCATTTTCCACTCGGTCCGCTGAGGGAGAGGATGAGTTGCCTGCCTAATCAGATCGCATCATATGGCCTTCTGTCGGCAGCCTGTGGGAGTCGCGTGCAGCCCAAAGAAAAGTGTGGCAACAATCGCCGGATGCTCAGCACAGTTCAGCCACTCGCCCCGCCGCCTTGCCCAGTCACACTGCTGCTGCGACTGCTGCGTCGGCATTCGCTAGGTTAATCGGCTTTCCATCCCGATTTCATTCGCTGCCCGTATCTGCGCGTGCCCCTCACTCGCCATCCTTCCGTCACCACATCCATCTATCATTCACGACATTCAACGACTTTCAACTTTGCTTATTCGCATCCACAGTTGATCGCCCACATCATCATGTTCCGCAACGCTCTCGCTCCCCTCGCCAGGCAGGCCGCCGTCTCCACCTCGCGCAGCGCCGCCTTCTCTTCGGTCGCACGCCCCGCCGTCGCCAACGTCGCACGCTCGCAATCCGCATTCGGTGCGCCCGTTCAGCGACGTGGTTACCACGAAAAGGTCATCGACCACTATGAGAACCCCCGCAACGTCGGCTCTTTCCTCAAGACCGAGAAGAACGTCGGTATCGGCCTCGTCGGTGCACCGGCATGTGGAGATGTGATGAAGCTGTCCATCAAGGTCAACGAGGACGGCATCATCGAGGATGTCCGCTTCAAGACCTTCGGCTGCGGTTCTGCCATCGCCTCGTCCTCCTACATGACCGAGCGCGTCAAGGGTCTCTCGCTCGAGGAGGCCGGCAAGATCAAGAACACCGAGATCGCACAGGAGCTCTGCCTGCCGCCCGTCAAGCTGCACTGCTCCATGCTGGCGGAGGACGCCATCAAGTCGGCCATCAAGAACTACAGGTCGAAGCGCGAGGCTACGGGCAACAAGAAGCAGGGCCACATCGAGGTCACCCAGGACGTCGCCACCGGTAGCACCACCGCCACCGCCCACGTCGGCTCGGGCACCGTCTAAGCCTCTCATTCCGGAAGCGTGCTTTTCTCGCACACCAAAACTGTCCCGTTGCGTTCGATGCTTCGTACCGCACCTTTTTTCTCTCTGCCTCCATGATCCGCCTCATTGGCTCTAGCATTCGTGTACTATATCCACAGCCTCGTATTCAATCTGGTTTCTCGTGCTTTCTTGCTTTGTTTGTGATTCTTCAGTGCGATGTTGTCGTCAAGCGGCACACAGTGTGCGAAGGTGCAGAGATGCGTGAATGAGGAGTCGAAATTGAATGCTACAAGTACACGGAGCGGCAGAGGGATGCATCTCGAGAAAGATCAAGGTGAAGACGTGGCTTATCGAACGATGCGCAGGCCCATACTCCTTGCGCTGCCGGCGATGACCTTGCACATCTGTAGCGAAACCAGAAGACAATTGTGGAGTCAAGTCAGTGGAAGTTGACAGATGAACTTTGGGGACGAGCGCGGCTGAGCTTACCTGCTCTTCCTGAACGCCCTTGACGTCCTGCATCTTGATCTTTGCGATCTCATAGATGTGCTTCATGGTGATGGTGCCTGCCACCTGCGACCCTGCCTTGCCCGCACCCGTCTCGATGCCAGCAGCGCGCTTGAGCAGTAGCGACGTTGGTGGCGCTGTTGTATCAGTGCAACGTCAGATCGTTTGTCAGTTCTCCTGTGCAAGTCGACAATCGTACATGTCGGAGACCGCAACTTACTCTTGATCTCAAATGAGAATGTGCGGTCCGGGTTGATCTTGACGATGGCGGGCGTGGGGAGGCCCACCTCGAGATGCGCGGTCTTGGCGTTGAACTCCTTGGCAAAGTCCATCGCCTTGACACCCTTGGCACCGAGCGCTGGACCCACGGGCGGCTGTGCAGATGCCTTTCCGGCGGGCACGAGCAGCTTGACAAACGTCGAGACCGCAGCGGCCGCAGCCTGACCTCCCTTCTTGGACATGCTTGCGATGTGTGGTTATGCCGATGAGATGCGGTGGTGAATGTGACTCCAAACAGTTCTGGCAGCGGATGCTTCCGACGCAAGATGACACGGCTGCAGGTACGATTGGGGCTGATGAGGTGAGCTGCGTCGTGCGTGATGAGCAGGATGATGGACTCGGCGGTTCGGCCCTTCCGGCTGCGAAGAAAGTGAGCTCAACTCGAGCCAAATGGCGGGAGTCGGAAGTGCCGGCTCGAGGCGCTGGAATTTTTGCTGCGCTCTGCTTCCAAACTTTTTTTTCCTCTTGCTTTGGCAGAGCTGCAGCGCGCGAAGGATCACCAAAATCGCCTTCTGGAAACGCACAGCCTAGCCAAGAGCCAGACCCTCCTTCTCTTTCTCTATCACATTGTCCTCCCACCTTGACCTCCAGCACCATCCTCAAAGGTCCACTGCACCTCCCCGGCACACTACAGACAGGCGCACGGTGCGAGCTCCATGTGCTTGCTGCGCTCTACGAGGCTCTAGAGCCGCCACGCTAGCTTCGCGCCAGCTCATCTCAAAACTCTCTCGTACACTCCACCCATCTCCCACGCCACCATGCCGGCAGCAGTAGAGCCTGCTCGTGTCTACACAGTCTCGGGCGGTGGTGCTGCCTCTGCAGGCGCAGCAGGTACCTCCTTCAACTCGTCCTCGCTCCCAGACCTCCTGCGCAGGTCCGGCTCGTCCAACAAGCGCAAGAAACGCAAGACCGCTCTCAAGGACGAAGAGATCCTCTCCCGCATCGAGCTCATCCAGGACTTTGAGTTTCCAGAAGCCAGCAACCGCATCGCGGCCACACGCGATGGTCAGTCCATCGTCGCCACAGGCACCTACAAGCCTCAGATCAGGGTGTGGGACTGCGAGCAGCTCAGTCTCAAGTTCGAGCGCCACACAGACGCCGAGAACGTCGACTTTTTGGTAAGTTTTCTTCCTGTTCACCTCGGGTCGGACATTCCATATGATGATCCTACCATAAAATATAACCTTATCTACATTAGCTGCAGAGGCATGCGAGGGCTCGCTCTCGTGTGTCTCGACGCTGAGACAAGCAATCTGATCTCCACCCCTCGGCTCGTCGCTCCATCCGCTCGTTAGATTGACGGCATGCTGACCTATCCCGCCGCAATTTTCTTGCTTTGCTGCTGTGACAGATGCTCTCCGACGACTGGACAAAGTCGCTTCATCTTCAAACCGACCGAACCGTCCAGCTCCAGGCACAAGGCGGCGCGCATGCTCGCGTCCGCATCCCCAAGTTTGGCCGCGCTCTCGGCTACCACTTCCCCTCGGCTGATGCCGTCGTAGCCGCCGCAGGACGAGAGGTCTACCGCCTCAATCTCGATCAGGGCCGCTTCCTCGCGCCATTTGTGCTCGGCGGCGGAGACCTCGGCGAGCCCGCCGGATGCAATGCCATCGACGTCAACCCAGCGCACGGTCTCCTCTGCTTCGGCACAGAAGGCACCGGCGTCGTCGAGATGTGGGATTCGCGCATGCGCAAGCGCGCAGGCGTCCTCAGTGTCGCCACCGAAACCGTGCTCGATGCAGCGCTGCTCGTCGCGCGCCGAAACTTGCCCGGCGTGCTGGACGATGCGGACGACATGTCGGCAACCAAGGAGGCGCTCGCCTCGCTCTCCGTCACGGCACTCGCAGGCGCAGAAGACGGCCTCAACCTCGCCGTCGGCACCAACACCGGCCATGTGCTGCTGTACGACTTGCGCATGGATCGTCCATACCAGACCAAGGACCAAGGATTCGGTCTCCCCATCAAGAAGCTCATGTGGCCTGGCGACAAGGCCGCCGCCAACACCGGGGGCTCCGGACCAAGAACACGCTCCGAGGCGGAGGGCAAGGTGCTCAGTGCCGATGCCAAGGTCATCAAGATCTGGGACAAGGACTCGGGCGACAACCTCGTTTCCGTCACCCCGCCCTCGGCGGCAACCGACATCAACGATGTGGCGCATTACCCAGGCACCGGTCTGCTGATGGCCGCAGTCGAGGGCACCCAGATGGCCGCATGGTACGTGCCTGCTCTCGGTCCCGCGCCACGCTGGTGCTCCTACATCGACACTCTTACCGACGAGATGGACAGCGTCGACACGGGCGGCGCCGGCGCCGGCAAGGGTGTCTACGAGGACTTCAAGTTCGTCGACCGCGCCGAGCTCGAGCGCCTCAGCATGTCGCACCTCATCGGCACCCAGCTGCTGCGCCCCTACATGCACGGCTACTTTGTGTCTCTCGCGCTGTACGAGCGCGCCCGCCTGCTCAACAACCCCACAGCGTACGCCGACGCCCGCGAACGCGCCATCAAGGCCAAGCTCGAGAACCAGGCCGAGTCGCGCATCCGCGCCATCAAGAATCCCAAGCTCGATGCCGGCGTGCGCGTCAACAAGGAGCTTGCCGAAAAGGTCGCACGCGACGCCCAGGCTGCGGCCAAGAAGCAGGCCAAGCGCGATGCCAAGGCTGCTGCCGCGGCCGCAGAGGGCGACGCAGAGACTCCCGAGGTCGATGGCGAGGCGGCAAAGAGCTCGGACAAACCGGGCGCGGCCAATCTGCTGTCCGACTCGCGTTTTACGCAGCTGTTCCAGGACCCCGACTTCCAGATCGACACATCCAGCCGAGAGTTTGCCATGCTCAATCCGTCGACTGCGCTCAAGACGGCGCGCGATGGACCGCGCAAGCTCACTGCGGTCGAGGACGAGGAGAACGAGAGCGACCGCGAGTCGGTCGATCCCGACATGGAGTCCGACGCGTCTTCCTCGGACGACGACGACAACGACGAGCAGGGTGGTGATTCGGGCGACTCGTCCGACGAAGGCGATCTTGGTCAGTATGACCCGCGTGCACGAGACGCATCGGGCAAGCGACCCAAGAACCTCAACCAGGCGCCCGACGTGCGCGCGCGCCAGAGGGGCGCTCGCACAGGTGCGCGTCTGGTCGACGACGACGACGGCGGATCCGGGCGTGCAGGCGGCAAGAAGCGCAGCTTCGAAGAGAGGCTCAAGGCGTCCGGCCCTCGTCAGGCTCGCCGCCCACGTGCGGCCGACTTTATGGACGATGGACAGGCGCCCGTCGGTGCAAGGGAATTCACATGGACACCCTCATCGGGACGCAAAGACCCCGAAGAGAGAAAGAAGTCTGGCGGCGCCAAGAAGTCGGCGGGAGAAGAGACGTTCGGGTTTGGCCTCAGCAAGGGCGCCGGTGCCTCCGAGGGCAAGGGCGTCGAGGCGCTTTCGGACGAGGCCAGGTTCGGTCGCCAGAAGCGAAGACACCCCAACCGCTCGGCTTCCAAGAACGTCATCATGCGCAGGACATAGACCCGGTCCGCGAGTGCCTTCTTGTTCGCCATGCCGCGATATGTGTAATTGTACGAATCATCATCTTTTCATGCTTGTGCATCGTGGAATATCGTGCTGACGACGGTGAGGATGGAGGGTGTCGAAAGTTCGAAAATGTGAGATCGCGTCCGTAACAATTTCGGCCTTTGCGCATGTGGAGGAAAGGTGATCGAGTGTGCGGTTGGGCTGAAGTGCGGAGGGTGCAAGACGCGTTGGCTGGGCCCAGGAGCTTGCGAAGCTGCACAGTGCACTGTCGTTGCCGTCTTCTACAGGTGTTGGTCTTCATCCTCACCACCGTCTCATCTCAAAGCATTGCGCCGATACCTCTGTTCGCAAGCAGCAGGCCTAGAAAGACGACACCTTCGCTTCCGATCAACATTCCTGTCCGTGCAATTCGACCGCAGCGGCGCATACTTCAACATGTCGGCAGGTGCAGGTGACCGAGCCTACTCGTAAGTCGTCTACTCGCACTGCACGAGCGCTTTGGCTTTCCGGACCAAGACTGACGCTTTTTTGCTTCTTGCATCTGCGTAGATTCTCTTTGACGACGTTCTCGCCGTCGGGCAAGCTTGTGCAGATCGAGCATGCGCTTGCTGCCGTGTCACAAGGTGCGACCTCTTTGGGCATCAAGGCTTCCAATGCGATCGTGATTGCTACCGAGAAGCGGGCACCTTCGCCACTCGTGGACGACTCGGCGCTGGAACGCATCAGCATCATCTGCCCCAACATTGGCATGGTGTATTCTGGCATGGGACCCGACTTCCGCGTGCTCGTCTCGTCGGCTCGCAAAGCGGCACAGACGTATTGGAAGACGTTTGGCGAGTACCCGCCCACGCGCGTGCTCGTGCAGGAGATCGCCACACTCATGCAACAAGCTACGCAGCGCGGAGGTGTCCGTCCCTTTGGGGTTTCTCTCCTTGTGGCGGGCTTTGACAGTGCACGTGGTCCAAGTCTGTACCAGGTGGACCCAAGTGGCAGCTACTTCATGTGGAAGGCGTCGGCGATCGGCAAGAACATGCAGAACGCAAAGACGTTCCTCGAAAAGCGCTACAACGACGACATTTCGCAGGAAGACGCCATCCACACCGCGCTCCTCACGCTCAAGGAGGGCTTCGAGGGCCAAATGACCGAAAAGACCATCGAGATCGGCGTCATCTCGGCAACCCACACAAAGGCACTCGGCAACGGAGACCACGGCGACCCCATCCCCGTGTTCAGAAAACTCTCCGAGTCCGAGGTCAAGGACTACCTCGCACTCTAGTCTCGTTCCGTTTTGCACAACCTCACCAATGCCACAGTAAGAAACTCCACACTCGGCCCGAACGTGTTGCGTGATGTGGCGCTGCGACTCGCCGACTTTGGGCTGCATTGCGAAGGGAAATTGCATCAATACGAGGCTAGGCATCGACGACGCGGCCAAAGTTGGAGAGGAGCGAGACGATGAGCGTGAGCACGCGTTTGGTTTGGTCGTTGGACATGGCGGCGTTGGGCGCGGTTTGCGAGGCGGTCCAGAGTGCAGCGACGAGGATGCCGCTGATGCCGACGAGCGCGAGCGTGCGTGCGTGGTGCGCGCCAACGTGCGCCGGCGGCAGCGGCGATGGTTTCTCGTCGCTCCCCGGCGGCGCTTCCGGCTGAGGCGGATGCGGGTCGAGCACGACCGCGTCAGTCGGCCCGCTCAGCGCAGCTTCCGCAGCAGCATCCATCTCTGCCCACTCGGTATCGTGCGCAGACCTGGCGGGCGTGAACGTCGAAGACCACGTGAAGAGCACGCTCTTGGGCCCCATGATGGTGTGCGCACCAACGTCGGCCGAGTCGAGCTCGAAGCGGCGCATCAGCTGTACAGCTTCTTGCAGCAGCGACGAGATCGATGTTCCGCTGTCTTTGACAATTTCCTTTTCCTCATGCGACGCTGCGAGCGCCCGGTCTGACGCCAGACTTGGCAGTTCGACGTCCGGATCAGTATACATGCTCGCCTCCTCCGCCAAGCCTTCCGGTCCACTTCTGTCGGAGCGCTGGTCGTCTCCATCGGGTATGATGCGCGGGAGCCTGCTGAGAATCGCGTGGAGCATCGCCGGGTCGTCCAGCTCGTCCGCATCCATGGCGAGGATCTCGTCCCTTCTCGACCTGACCACGGCGGCGCATACGTATATCGCCGACGCCGGCCCGTGAGCAATGACGAACTCGAGCACGCGCTGCATGACGGCGACGTTGGGTGCATCGTGCGTGAGCATGGTCAGCAGCCAGGGCAGCGCAAAGAACGGAAGTGGCGAGGCACGGTCGACGAGCTCGGCGAGTGGTGGATCGCACAAGCGCAGCAGGTTGCCGAGGACCTTGAGTTGGCCCATGACGGGGAGCAGATCGGGTGTCATGCTGTCGCGGATGAGATGCAGACTGATTCGCTCGGCTACGAGCTCAACCAGCGCCTCCTGCTCGTCGTTCGCAAACAGCCCCGAGGCCGAAGCCAGTGGAGATGTCGAGGCCAGCGTCAGAAGGACTACCGAGAGGATGTCGTGGTAGCCTTGAAAGTAGTGCAGTGTGGGATGGCGGGAGAGGGTGGTTAGGACGAGGTGTGTGAGCTGCTTTCGGCGCAGCGACCTCTCCTCTTGAGCCTCAGCTTGGGACTTGAAAACGTTCTTGAAGGCAGGACCGATGAAGCTGCGGTCGACATCCTTGGCCACCTGCTCCACATCTCTCTCGGATAGATTCGGGAAGCGCGGCTGGTGAGGCGGTGGTGACGTGGGAGGTAATGTTTCGTCGGGTGGCGTCGCAGTGACGGACGTATCTGCCGACTGTGGGGAAATGAAAGGGCTTGACGGGTTTGACGTGTCGCTCGGCCCAGTGCTCATCCGCGGGGAGTGCGCGAGGTCAGGCGATGCCGTGGGGGACTGAGAGGTTGCAGATTGGCCGCCTTTGCGTCTCTTGGTCTTTTTCGACTCGACGACCTTCCACTCGGAGTTTGTTGCTTTGGATCGTGCAGCGGTGACAGTGGATCGATGGTCGCTGCCACCTGCGTCGCTGTCTGTTGGAAGTGAGTGATCGAGTATGTCGCTGCCGGCCAGCTGCCAGCCGTCCTTGTCCAAGGGCACAGAGGCGTTGAGCGTATCATCGATGATGCTGGGAGCGCTCTTTGAGGATGAAGGGAGTGCCACGGTCTCGTCGATGGAGGCAGCTTCCAACGCCGATTTCGTGTGTGAGTGGATCCTCTCCGGAGAGATGCCGAGCAGCTCGAGCCAGGCTTCCGCGCGCCGATCGCGAGCAGACGCGCGAGCAAGGCCGGATGGCTGCAGGCATTGCTCCTGAAATTGGCGTCGAAGGTGTTTCCTGGATTGATCCTGCGTGTCAGATGGGTGATCCGGCTGCGCATTTGTGGAAGATTCGAGCGATGCTAGCCGGCGCGGGTTGGAGGAGTTTGAGCTCGGCATGGCGGCGACTGAGCAGCGCACCAAGCTGTAGTTAGGCTCGCCGTTTCAAAGATGCCTTTGCGGTAGCATGTCAATTCCGAAGTGGATTCCTGGTGGAGCGTTTGGAGTCGGAGGTGGAAGCTCACTTGGACGGAAATCGCTTTCGAAGAGAGCCTGCAGGGTGCGTCCGTGCATGCGTGTTTGCCTTCGACCGGAAATTGACGCTGCAATCTAGAGAGCGACGCTTGGCTGGTGACTAAACCAAGCGCGCTCAGGGTCCACTCATCTCCGAGTTCCTGAAGCCGAGAAAAAAAATGGGTTCGGACCGAGTAGGGCTGGCAGTGTGCCTTTATCGTATGCACGACTTGCTATCGACTGAAACAGCGGGTGAGCACGCAGGCTCTTCGGGAAGAGAAAGAAAGCGGAGTGCTGAAGTGTGGGAGAATCTTCGGCACGACCGAAGCCGGGGATGGTGCCGAAGCCTGGAATTCCATCCCTGGAAGACACGCCGAGCAGAGGTTTCAGGTGCGCTTTTGTCGCGCGCGCGCCGCCCTAGGTTTGGGCTTGGCTTGGCGTCGGTCGAAAAGCCCGTTTCGACTCGCGCGTCGCTTGCAAGACAGCGTGCTCGGAGATGCCCTGAAACAAGGAGGCGAGCTGCGACTGCGACAGGGCAAGTGAGGGACAAGCAAGAGTCGGATCCAAGCCAGCGGAAAGACAACCAGCTGGCGCGCCTAGCGCGGCAAAACTTGGCTGGGGCTGGATGGACCCTGAATCGAGCCAATCTCGACTCTAGCTCGTTATTGCCTTTCATCTGAAGAACTCTCTTCCGGCGGCACTGCAGCAGCAGCAGCAGCAGCAGCAGCACCTCCTCATATCACGCTGCCATGCAACGGAGCCGTCCGGAATGGCTTGTACTGCATGCACAAGCTGCAGCGGGAGCAAGAGGAAGAGGTGGTGGTGGTGATGGCGGCGTCACGAGGCGAAGGCCGGTCCGAGATGCAGCGGCTGCAGCTAGGCGGCTCATCCGGCCCAACTGACGCCCGCCCGACTCGCTTGCATTCCATGATTTCCTGCCCCGAACCCCAATGCAAATCCTGGAGCAAACCAAACGGCCAGCCCCTCTCTGCTCTCCTCGCACTCCCCCTCCCGATGCTCAAGCACGGATTCTATCGGTCTGTGACCGTCGCAGACGATTCCTGCATACGGGGCTGCAACAGCATCTCATAAGCACCCACCTTTCATCGGCCGTCTCGCGCCAGTGTGTCATATGGACGCAGTGAAGAGAGCATGCATTGCAGATCCAACGAATGAAGAGGTGGGGCGCAAAGCCACAATCGTCACGCTGCTTGCTCCACCCACGGGATACGCCCGCGCACATACCAAACCTGGCGTGCAGCAGCAGCACGACACAGCGACTCGCTTCATCAACGCGATGTGCCGTGACCAATTCGCACACGGCCGTTGGCCAAGCCCATCCCACACCGCGCTGTGCAGCCAGAGAAAGAAAAAGGGGGGAAATCCCTAAGAAAATCAAAAAAAGAAAAGAAAAGCCGGGCGCAGGAGAGCGAAACGGGCCTGCTGCGTCTGCGCTCCGCACAAATTTGTGTGGTTGCTACAGCGAAGCTGCTCCAGCTCGGGCAGATGCTCGCTGCGGTGTTCGGCTACCGTCTGGCCCTGCTGCAGCTGCTGCTCCATGGCAAGCGCGAGGCGACCAGGCAGAAACACCTCGCTGCCGTATCGACCCTTCAGTTCGTCCACCCGCCGTCACTGCTTTCCTCTCCTCGTCATCCGTCTCTTTGGGTCCACACAGCATTCTTCCATCCCAATCGACGCCGGTGCTCTCGCAACGCACCCTCTATTTGGCACACTTTCGTTTCAGTTTGCGTCGCTCCACGCATCCGTGGCCATCAGCATCCACCGCGAGGCCTCCACTCCACCCGAACTCGCTTGATCGCTGCCCACCGTCACGTAGCGCAAGCCCTCGTTCGTTCTACAAGCCCGGCCATCGTCCTTTGTTTATCAAGAACTCTACCATCGCGTCGCGTTTCCTTCTCCTCGACCCGTCAAGACCCTCGCATCCAACCAAACCCCGCGTTCCTCTCTTAGCTCGCCCTCCTTTGCCATCATGTCCGCTCCCGGCAGCTCCACGCTTCGCAAGAAGAGAAAGATCGCCGTCCTTGGCTCGCGCTCCGTCGGTAAGCATCCTTCGACCTCGACCCTGGCGGTGTGCCGCGCGACAGCTGACCGAATCCACTTCTCCCTCTTGTTTCTGTGCACATATAGGCAAGTCGTCGCTGATCGTGCGCTATGTCGAGGACGCCTTCGTCGACTCGTACTACCCGACCATCGAGAACATCTTCCAGAAGACCATCACGCACAAGGGCCAGGAATACGACTGCGACATCATCGACACCGCAGGCCAGGACGAGTACTCGATCCTCAACTCCAAACACGCCATCGGCATCCACGGCTACATGCTCGTCTACAGCATCGCTTCGCGCAACAGCTTCGACATGGTTCAGACCGTCCACGACAAGATCCTCAATTACACCGGCACCGAATCCGTGCCTTGCGTCATCGTCGGCCAAAAGAGCGATCTTCACGTACAGCGTCAGGTGTCCGAGGCCGAAGGCAAGCAGCTCGCCTCGCAGCTCAAGGCTGCCTGGATCGAGGTCAGTGCGCGTCATAACGCAAACGTCGCAAAGGCCTTCGAGGCCATGCTCGGCGAGACCGAGCAGGGCACCCAGGAGGGCGGTCCCGAGCCACAACCGTCCAAGTGCATCGTCATGTGATCAACCCGCGGCCTCCCCCGCTTCATCTTGGACTTTGCCTTGCGCTTCTCGCTCCCCTTATCTACTCTCTCTCTTTCTCTCTTGTTTATTAACCGTCAAGCTGCACATCCCGGCTCGCTTTTGGATCTCGTTCTTTCTCCTTTCAGTCTTCCTCACCACCTCGGTTTCAGTCAGGTCTTAATCTCCTCAGTCTATCCCAACAAGACACGCGCTCTTGATCACAGTGAAGACACGTCTGCATGCTTCGCTTGGTGTGCCATTGCAGTGCTTGACTGGGGTATAAGAATGAAGCAAGTTTGAGAGGGGCTCTAAGGAAGTTGTGGGCCGAGAGAGCCGTTCTTGCCGATGGCACGCACGAGCATGTGGTCTCCCCTCGCGCGTGCTGCTGCCGTGAACACATCCAGGCTCTGACTGTCTGTCGAGGATGGCAACGAGGAGAGTGTGCCAAGCGCGTCGTCCCAGCCGGTGCCGGCGACTCGGTCATTGAACTGTGGCAGATGCACGCGCACGCCTGCGTCACATGGTCGCGCGGCGTCCGAACCTGTACCTTGAGCTTGAAGTTGCGCCGATGGCGGTGGTGCATCGACGGCGGTGTTGAGTTTGGATGGTGAGCCTGGCTTTGGATGCGCCGGCAATGGTGCGGCTTCCGTCTTCCGCGACAGGCGTGCTTGACGAAGCTGACTGCGTTGACGACGGGATAGTCGCGGGTTGACCGACGGCTTGCTACCGTTCAGCAGGTCTCGCCGAAGTACCGCAACGTGACGTCGCTGCCTCTGCGACATCCGCTGCTTCTTCTCTCCCTTATCCTGGTCGCCGTCTCCGCTCGCCTTGGCCTCCTGCTGGGGATCGCCATGGGTCCCCGTGTGTGGTGGCAGATCGATCGCATTCGGAGCGGGGATCCTGACACTCGTTCCACAGACTCTGCACTGCTTCTTCAGCACATGATCGTGCGGACCTGAAGTCTTGCACCTGACGGCCAGCGTCAATCCCTCGATCCACGCCGTGCTGCACTTTGGGCATGCACTTCGCTTGACCGACGTATCCAGCCGGATCACCGCCTTGCGCGATAACGTCCGTGCCGACCGCACCATCTCGCCCTGCAGGCCTACCATCCCCACACCTTGCTCTCCTGCCAAAGCGGACGAAAGGACCGAGTAGAACGTCGCGACCTGGTCGAGGTGATTGAGCGTGTGGTGGTGTTCTGGATGCGCTACCGCCTTGGGGACCACCCAGCCCGCAGCACCCTTGCCAGCACCGGGCTTGGATGTGGGGCCGCCGGCCTCAGCAGCCTTGCGCGCATTGCTCTTGGCCATCTTGACGTGACGGCGACTCAGTGCTCGTGAATGAGCTCGATGGTGGTCGGAAGGCGAAATGTGTGATGCAGCTCCACCTACAAAAAATGGAGACCGAGCGGACAGGGTCCACACAGCCCGTTTGGCGAAAAAGACAAAAAAGAATGCATTGACGGGGACTCGAACCCCGGTCGAGTCGAATCGGTAGTCACGCCTCAGAAAGGCGATGAGTGGCAACGACTCATGATACCCCTACACTATCAATGCTTGTATGGTGGAGGAGAAACCATTTGCAAACCATTTGGAATTCTATACCGTTAAATCCCATTAGACGCGGTACGTCATTTTGACAGGTATGAGGGCGGATCAGATATATGCTATGGAACCGCGCACATGGTGCGGAAGTGCGGAAGGTAAATTTGCGGAACGACAGGTGCGGACCGAGCGACAGGTGCGGACTGAACGACAGGTGGGAGAAACGCAGGAACAACAGGAATGAAAGTCTGCGAACAACAGAGACGAGAGGTGCGGGCGACAATTGTGTACCATCCGCTTGAGCTTCTGGAGACCTTGATAAACCGGACCTCCGATCCCTTTCCTCAACACTTCGGCACACAGTTGATTCATGGACACTGCCTGAGATGGACCTTCCCTGAATCGAATGACCTAGGAGTCAAGCATTCAACAGCTCGGACAGCTCCACATGAAAGCACAAAACGAAGCACAAAGCGCCGGAAGGAGACAAGAGGAGGGCTGCTCAGCAGCCCCGACAGTATGCTTGGCATTTGAGGGACTGTTTGTGATATGTCGGAGACCGGAACATGCGGAATATGAGAATGCAAACGAACAAGCCCGCAGCAAGCGGAAGGGCATGTGAAGATGAAGACGAAGCCGATGCCGAGCAGCACCTGGCTGCGGCACAGTGGGAAAGGAGAAGGCGAATCAGAAGCCCCGAGCCATGCCTTAGTTGGCGTTGGCGTAGGTGCGGAAGAGGGCAGTGGGGTTGTTGCCGTTGCTCAATCTCTGGGTCTCGCTGACTCCCTGGAGGTTCTGAATAACGGCAAAAGGAGCCCATCCCTTGATCCAGTCCTGCGAGTTCATGAAGTTGGCCATCTCGGTAGCAAAAGCGTTGGTCTTGTTCTTGTCGCATTGGCTTCCGCCATTAAAGTTCGTGCACGCATATTCGGTAACCCAGATGTCCTTTCCGAACGTCTGATGCCAGTCCTGGAGGTACTGCTTGAAGTCGTCGCTCGAGGTGCCGTAGTAGTGGATGGCGATGGAGTCGAGCTTGTTGAAAGTGTCGGGGCAGGCCTTCTTGAAGTTCTGGTACCAGGTCTTTCCATCGGGGGCGTTGGTAGTGGAGGGACCCATGAGGTACCAGCCCTTGTTCTTGAGCGGGAGGAGGTACTCCTCGATGAGCTTGCATCCGTCCTGCGGGCTCATGTCGGACTGGCCCTTCTGGTTGACCTCGTTCATGGCCATGGCGCACTTGTGTTGGTTGGACTTGGCGTCGAGGTTGTCGAGGACGTTCTTCTTGAACGAGTCGGCGTTCTTCCAGCCCCAGAGCATTGGGCAGTACATGAGCTTGTCGACGGGCGCGTTGTCCCATCCGGGCGTCGAGTCCCACGAGTAGAACCATGAGACGGAGCCAAAGTCAAAGTTGTCGATGGGCATGCCGTCGCGGTTGGCCCAGCACAGACCCATCTTGCCACCCGAGGTGTTGCCGTTTGCCGAGGTGGAGCTCGAGGAAGATGACGAGGACGAGGACGAGGACGAGTCAGAGTCAGAGTCGGACTTGGACTGCGAGTGCGAGTTGGACTTGGACTTGGAGCCGGATGACTTGTAGTTTTGGGCTGCGGCAGCAGCTGGCTTCTTGCTCTTGTGCTTGGCCTGGCCTGATGCCGAGCAGCTCTTGTGAGCCGCGCGCTTGTGAGCGTGTCGTCGAACGACGTCGGGCACGTCAGGCTGGTCCATGGTGGATGCCGAGACCATGGCGGTGCTGGCGACAAGCGCGGCGAGCGCGAGCGAGGTGGCGAATGACTTCATTCTGAGTCGAAAGTTGGTGGTTGATGGAAGGTCGGAGGGAAGAGACGATGGTAGCAGCACAAGTGGTCAGGGGAGACGTCGAGCTGAGGATACTGGGTGGGGAAAGCAAAGAGAGTCGCAGGGCGGATCACGGCGATCAAAACAAATGACAGACAGGGAATAAGGTGATGTTGCAGAACGCGGAGGTGGAGCAGTAGAGAGGTGAACAGAGGAATCACTAGATGCCAAGGCCAGCTTGAAGTCTAGGTAAAGGGGGAATGGGCTGTTGGTGTTGGGGGTTGAGAGAGAGGAGGGAGAGGAGATGGAGGCGAGAGCGGGAAGGAGCGGCGTGTGGGAGGGAAAGGATATGTACGATTAGTAGGGAGGGGCAAGGGTGCGGGGACGACACGAGGAGCAGGCAGCGGAGCTTTGGGGATCCACAGTGCAAGGGGCAGAGCAGGGCGACGATCCTTTGCTCAGACACGGAACAGGCATGATCGACAAACAAGCGTAAAGCGGATGATCAGCGCAATGTTGGAGCGCACCGCCCATGTGCTCAGCACACGCGCTGCGGTTGGTTGGCACGGACGGCGCAGCGATCCGCTGTGCCACGGCGACTTGGCGCAGTGAAAGTTCGGCCTTCAAGCTTGTGAGAGCGCTCGGTGTGGCACTGCAGCTCTTTTACTGTACAAGCGAGATCACGATGAGAGCCGACATGTGTGCGCAGACTGGAGCTGTTGCCATCGATTGCAGCGCAGGCACCGTCTGTTGATGGCAAGCTTGCGCCGGTGCGCAGGAGCGGGGCGTCCGCGACCCGGCGGCGCACGGCGGGATGCATGGGCGGTGAGATAGATCTGCGGGCGCAAGGGATGCCGATCGGCGAGTAGCGTTGCTGCTGCTGCTGCTGCTGCTGCCCCTTTTGCAAGAGGCGAGCAAGAGGCGAGCTGCGCGAGCGTTGCAGATAGAGTACAGTAGCGAGGTGAAAGCTGTCAACGGCCGCCAGCTGGCAGCTGCCGACGGTCCCCTTCCTTCTTCCTTTGACAGGTCGATGGCGCGTCGATCTTTTTTTTTTTTTTTGTCTTTTTAGCGAGAGACATGTCGCCGTGCCGAAGCTGCTAACGCAAGACCCTCGATTTGCAGAGATGCGATCCAGCTCCGAGGACCATCTCTACACAACATGATGCAAAACATGGTCGACGTCATGCTTCACTGCCTGCCTCAAGCTATCTGACAAGCGATACAACACCGAGCCTTGTAGTGCGAGGATCCTTGGCGGCGGTAAGGCGGCGGCGGCCGGGGCAGAGGCTGACAGGAGGCGCAACGACGCCTGAGCTGCAGCGACCGTGTGGATTTGCGCCGGCCGTTGCAAAGCGTTGCAGTGCCGAAGTCTGCGCTGCAACGCAAAAAAAAAGAAAAATCCGAAGGCCTCGCCAGTGAGATTTCGCTAAGCGACGGCGCGCGTGCTTTTGGGGTGCACCAAGAATGCCACGTACATACGGCATGCCAGCTCGTCATTCCAGCGCCTCTTCACAGGCAGAGCGTACAGGCAAGGCGACAGGCCTCACCCTGCCGACACCCTTTGTTTCCAGGCGACTCCCTGTGGATGATTTCGGACGAGAGGATCAGGCCAAGTGGACCAGCGACGGTGCGCTGATGGTTCTGATGTTAGCTCCTACAGCAGTCCCATTTTCTAGACTCGAATTCGCATCGGCGAATCGAACAGCCCGATGAGCAGCAAGTCCAGATCGACCTCCAACCCACGTGGTTGAAAGGTCGTTTCGCGGGCGATGAAGATATGAAGATCTTCATCCTCAGCAGAGACACAGGCTGCGGGAAACGGCGATCGCCGCTGCACCGATGGTTCGATTCGGCGGAGAGCAGAGAGCCGGCTGAGACCACGGCAGAACACGGGAGACGCTGCGAACATGCTACAGTATGCGGCGGGGCGTCGTGTGGTGTCGGCCACTGGAAGCACAAGCAATGGAAGCATTGTTTGTCTCGTGAGACTGGACCTGGCTCGTATATTTGCAGTGGTCAGATCGGGATGAGATCGTCGCTGTTCGGACTTGCAATGACATTCAGTCGGCTCATCGTGTCGCAGGCAACCTTTGTGTGTGAGACACGATCACGACACAATAACGAGATCACATGTTCGCGGATCAGAGAGCCATTGGGCGCTCGTTTGGAAGCGAGTGAAACGAACACGCAGTGATGGTCGGAGCTTCGCCATGAAAGACCCCATGGGATCCATTTGGTGCCCCGCCTGGTGTCTCGCCCGGACAACGATGCAGAGCCCCTCGCAGCCCAACACGGCTCGACTAGCTGGCACTGGCTGTTGCCTTCCTAATCTGGTCGATCGAAAGCCACCCAGACGATGCTACTGCACCGAGGCCTGATGGCCAAGGTGGCGCAAAGGATGCCGAATAACTTAAGCGTCCTTTTGCCTTTGGTCTCGGGTTGTGGGGCAGAGGTCGGATGTTGCCGGTGGCCTAGTCGGCTACCGGTGAAAGTGGCAGGCGAGGAGGAGGCTAGGCCCCGACGCTCAGCCAGAGGAGCGCGACGCCTGGTTTGAAATCCCTTTTCCCGCGCCAAGGTGCATGCATGAAGTCGGCTCGACTTTGACCGGGCGAATACAGACGCGCAAATGTGAATTCAGCACAGAAATATCGAATTCAAGTGACACCTCGCCAGGGAGTTCAAGGTTAAGTTGCGGGCCACAGGAGCTTTTGAGACAAGCAGCCTGCTTCACCTCGTTCGCCGCTCGCCTGTGCTTTTTTTCCCTCGCAACGGGAGTGAGCAACCTCGCTTCGACGAGGACCGTCTGCCGGCGTACGTTAAAGTGGGCTCGCGTGCGTTGCTCCCCGCCTCAAATCAAATCGTGTCGCCTTTCTTTCGCTTTCACCTGGGCGTCGGATGAGAGACACGATCCCGTGTCTGGCGCTCCCTCTCTCTGTGGCCGCCCGCCTCATACAATCCTAGCGCAGCAACAGTGCATGGCGGCCCTGCATGCGAGACGCCTGAAAGAGACTGTTTGCCTCGCGTGGCGAGTGGGGCTCCCTCTCGAGTTTCCCCTCAACGTGCCTTGGATCCAATCAGATGCTTTGATCGTTGTACCTCTGTGAACAACGTTTGCCACGCCAATGCATCTTGACACTAGATTTGCTGCGACCTGGTGCTACGCCAAGCGTCGCAAGTCGGTGGTGTAGCACAGCCATCCCGTCGCGCGAGGTCCACGGCCAGCCACCGACGGCTCCCCGCGTCTCCCGCCTTGTCCCTGTCTTTCCGCCACCCAACCTAACGGGACGCCGACGGCGACGAGACATCCACACGCCCCCGACCCGCAGCTCCTGCAGCCCCGCACCTCTTTGGTCCTTGCGCTTCCTTGAATTCGCCAGATTGGAGCTCCGCCGCACAGTTCTGATCTGGTCTGAACCCAGACTCTTGCCTCGTCCCTGCAGCGTCCCAGCGAAAAACAAGGTGGAATCAGCGGAGTTGTGAACCCTGTCGAGGCTGGAAGCGCACTCCCTTTGCTCGCCCTGCCAAGCGTCGACTTGGCGTGCTGGCCGTACTGCCGCACTCCCCCGGCCCCAGAGCTGTGGCCAGGCCCTCTCGCCCTTGCCTTCTGTTGCGAATTCAGTGCGACAGCTGGACAGCCGAACCGACCCCGCACGCCGAGAGAATATATACTTTGGACGACTTCGTTCATGCTCGCCACCGCTTACCCTCGTCCTTCTTCACTCCCCACTAGCAGTCTACCGTCCGCGTCCCTGCCCCCGACGCCATCCTACCTTCGCGACCGCCCACTTCCGACATTGTTTACCGATCGACTCGCTCAGACAAGGCATCCGTATCCGCAAACAGGTCCTTCCATCCTCCATCTGCCAAGATGCAGGACCGCGAGTTCACCATGACGAAGTCGCTTCTGACCGTCTTGGTCGGTCGCTCATCACGCAGCAACAACGCAGGCGCGGCACGTTCCAAGGTCAAGGCCGCCGCCGCCGCTGCCGATGAGGAGTACACGTCCAATTCGGCGCACCGCCACCGTTTCGACGACAAGTCCGGAGGACCACCACCACGCGGCTCGCTTACGGACGAAAAGCTCCCGTACCTCGATTGGCGCTTGAAGCGAATCAATACCGTGCGTCACAAGTCGGAGGGCACCGCACACTGCTGGATTGACGGGCGCGACACCATCGGCCGCACCTCGTTGGATTCGGATCGCCCACTGCCCGTCGCCGCCGCCGCCGCCCCGCGCAAGGAGGAATTTCGCGCGCCAGCATCTAAGCAGCTGCCAACGGCAGGCATGGTGGCATCCAGCACACTGCCCGCCATCTATGCCGAGGAGAAGGACGCCGGTCTCAAGGCGCTCGAGCATGCCTACGCCGGTGACAGCATGCTCGCCGATATGCCTCGCCTTGCCAAGCGTGACACGGGCTCCGACTCCGGGACGTCGGGCGCATCCGATCAGCACCACATCTCGCTCGCTCCCGTGCAGCTTCACGCCACGGCAGACAAGGACGTCGGCGTCTACTTCAGCAAGCCAAAGAGATCTCTCCTTGTGCGTACTGGCTCGCGCTTTGGCATGAAGAAGGCCGCCGGCGCGCGAACAACAGACGGTGGCGAGCGGGATGTTGAAGACTCGAGGCCCATGTCACGAAACGGTCGCTCCTTCTCTCGCATCTGGAATCGCTGAGCTCAGCTGTCTTCCCTTCCCCCGTCGTGGAACCTCTGTCCTCGCCAGCACTGGCGCGGAGATTATATTAGCATACCACATTTATCTTATACCCCACTCCACTCACTCGTCATGGAATGCCCAGGCACCGCTTGTTTACGATTGTCTCGCCCGCGTTTGTTCGTTTGTGCACTATGCGCCCTCGATATCGAGTCGCCGACAATGTTCTTGCACGTGGTGCGCTCAACATCGTCTTCTTGACCACGATCGTGTGCTTGTGATCTGTGCCGGGAGGCGCGGACACCGTCTGCAGCGATTCGGGCTGGATAGTTGTGACCGCATAAAAACGCCTGCCACCAGCGCTTTCGGTCGGATCAGATCGGGCAAGTTGACGGGCGTGCATGCCCCGCAATCGTCCGCTGCGAAGCAAGGTGTGGGATCGACAGTCTGAACAAATGCATCTTTTTTTCCAATACGACTGCACGTGTGGCTTTGGGCCGCGTTCCAAACATCTGTCGGCCCAACGTCACCTGGCAGATTTCTAGGCAGACGAGTTCCAAATCCGCTCGAATGCGTCCGTTGCTCTCCCTGTTGCGAGAGCATGGCAACAGGAATCCGCATCCGCATCTGCCGTCAACCTTCTTTGATGGCCCGAACAGTGGGGGAGGCCCGAACGGAAAGCCTATCTCTGAGCCACAGATGGCCATCGTGGGAATTCGAGTCTGGTTCGGTCCACGCTGAATTTCAGGATGCCCGTCGATCCGTAGGGTCCTTCGCTTGTCGATCCGATCGCGCATCGCGGGGAGGCGGTGATGGGAAGCGAGCAACCATCCAGAGCTCCATCCCAACTCTTCTTCTTCTTCTTCCGGTCGGACTTTGATCGCTTTCTGTTTGCTGTCTCTGTGCACTTCGGCGTTGAGATAGGCGTTGTGTGCTCCTGGTCGCCCTTCTTCAAGTCACCACCGCCCCGGCTCAATGCAGGCCAGCCCGCACGTTTCGGTGGTCGCGGCAAAGTGGGGAGGAGCCGGGTGGAATTTTGTGGAGCAAGCGAGCCGCGGCGATCTGCAGTGCTGCGCGGTGCAACGACCGAAGCGAGGCGTTGGCGAAAGAGGGCGAAGTTGAAAGCGCCTAGCGAAGCGCGAGTCGAGGCCAGGCAGCGGGGCCAAGCGAGCTGACGTCCATTCCAATGTGCAGCGACAAATTGGCACCCGCGGCCCGCTTTGGCGCATTTCCGCTTTCGACATCCGCTCTCGAACGTCCGCTTTCGCCATTCCGCTTGGCACCGCACCGCACCGCACCGCACCACTTTCGGCTCCCATCGATCTATGGGCACCATCAGGTCCGACGGGCCATTTCTCCATCGCGACACAAAGACAGGTGGGCAGCTCGATCGGACTTCACTGCGCTAGTGCCTGCCAGTGGCCATTCCTTCGCTCTCCATCCGTCCTGTCAGCCGTCTCCCGCACTACACGAATCGGCCGTGCTCCACATCCTCCCGCATCACCACCACCAACGCCATCTCTCACAACCCCAAAGATACCCTCGTCACCTCTGCCATCCGAGGTGCGGCGATACCCCAGCCACCCGTATAAACACATCCGCACCATCGACAAGGCCTTGCTCGTACAGACGGCGCTAGCATCCACCAGCGACAAAGATGCGAAGACCCTTTGTCGAGCCAGGCCACCGCTCGGCGCGTCCCGGCATCCGCCATCGATCGCGCTCCAACGGTCCGGATCGAAAAGGCCGCGATCCCGACACTCTTTCCCCCACCCGCGACGGTGAAAAAAGCCGTCCCGCACGCCTCGTCAGCGAAGGAGAGACCGACCAGGACGACTTCTTCAGCGACAACGACGACCAGGGTTTCGTCACACAGACTGACGAGAACGCCGTCACGGCAGCCGAAGATGTAGACGAAGAGGACCTCGACGACCAAGAGGACAACGAAGATGAGCGCACAGAGGCGCGTTCGAGCCGCTCCAAGCGCTCCAACCGCTCCCAATCTTCCCTGCGTCCTGCTCCAGCCATCCGCAGTCCTCAACTGGCCGAACAAGACGACGACGAAGACGGTGACGACGATGACGACGAGCGCGGCACTCGCACTCCTCGCAACCGCAGCAGGAGCAATCTAGCTGCTACCCCGCGCGGCCGACCCCGCGCCTACTCGCGCTCCAACAAACTCGCTCCAGAGGAAGAGGACTGGGCGCTTAAGGACGAGGCCAGCCGCCGCAAGGGAGGCGTCCTCGGCAGGCTCAAGCGCCTCGGACGAAAGCCCAAGGACTCCAACGACCAGCTCGGCCAGTCGCGCGACGGAGCTAACGCCGACGTCGTCCTCGGTCGCTCCTACGGCGCCGTGCGCGAGCTTCGCAGCCGTAAGAGCATGGTAAAGCGTCCTGAGTCCGAACGCTCCACTCGCTCGAAAGACCGCGCCTTCTTCCGAAGAGGTGCTGCCACAGCCGCCGTCTCGTCCGGTGTAGCTGCCAGCGCAGCACGATCTTCGGGACGCGGCAGCACTCTGAGCAACTCGGGCCGTGGCGGTTTCGATGACGACTTTGACAGTGAGCTCGGCACCGCCAGACAGGGGTCCCGACTCCGCGGTCGCGGCCCACCCTCGACCATCGCTACCGACCGCGGCACAGGCGATGGCTCCGTCGTCGTGGTCTCTGACGTCCCTCCGCGCATCACCACCCCCATTGCGCTCCGAGAGGCCGAGAATGCTCGCTCGCCAGAGCTAGTGGACCCCTACGCGTCACCTTCCACCAATGAGCCGCATGTACGATCCAAGTCGCTCGCAGAGAGCGTTCAGCCCAGCGTGCTCGACAACAGCGATACCGCCTCTGTCATCCCTCCCTCCTCCCCGCTCATTCCGCTCTCCGGACCGCTCAGCCACAGCGATGCTGTCGTCCCGAGCCAGCGTCCTTCCATGCAATCCGTCAGAGACAAGGAGATCGATGACGAAACCATGTCGCGATCCCGAAAGCCAAGCATGGACCTGCGCGCGGCTGCCGGCGGCGCACTCGGCGGTCTCGCCGCCATGATCGGCTTCGATGCGCTGCGCGAGAACAAGAACGGACTGCCTCCCAAAGATGACCCTGTAGCCACCGCTCTGGGTCTCACGGATCAGTCGACCAGCTCCAAAGACGCTGGCCAGGCGATTGATTCGACCACAACGGCAACTTCTGCCGCTCCTGTCGAGCCCCCTGCCTCGATCTCTGATGCGACGCTCCTGCCGAGGAGGAATCGCAGGAAGGGCAGCAAGGCATCCGATCTTCTTGGCAACAACGGCACTGCTTCCGGCACCGTTGCCGATGGGGCCACAACGCAAGAGCAAGATTCAGAACTTCCATACGTCATCAACGACGATGCAGCGACAGAAAGAGCTACTCCTGCGCCTGCCCTGGCCGCACCTGCTGTGCTCGGCGCCGGTCTTGGTGGCTTGGCCGCCGCGGCTGCCGTCGCTACGGGCCACGATGATGCTGCCGACACGCAGGCCGACGCCAAGAAGAAGAAAAAGAAGAACAAGAAGAACAAGAAAAGGGGCACAGCCGCCGACGAACTTGCCGACGAACCGCAAACCGAGGTCGTCGAGCTTGCCGACGCCCCGCCAGCTCTCGCGCCCGTTCCTGCGGTCGAGCCGATTCTGACTCGGGACTTCGCTACAGCCCCTTCTGCCACGGAAGGATCCGAACTCGGCTTGGCTGACGACGAGGCCGGTCCACCTTCGTCGGTGGCTCCTGCGGGCGAGAAGAGCGGCTACGCACAGCTGGGCCTCGCTGCTGCGGCTGGGACACCAGTCGCCGCCGCCGCGGTCGTCGGTGGTCGAAGGTCCAAGACGTCCAAGCTGGCCAAAGGTGGCCGCGGCATCGAGAAGCTCGCGCCCGTAGACGAGGACGACAACCTTGGCTACCGACGAACCATCCCTGCCCCGGAGAAAGGCGGCTACCTCCTCACGCCGAGCATCGCGCCGAGTGTCGCAGACCCCCTCGACGCTGGTCGCAGTGGCATCGCTAGCTCTCGGGGCGACTGGCTCACCAAGGATCTCTCGCCGCAGCAGACGCACTACTTCCTGCGCGAGCTCTCCGCTCGCGAGCTCCGTTGGGAGCTCGACCGCGCTTGGCTGCTGACCAGCTTCGAGAAGCCACAGCGCCAGTCGCGCCGTGCTCGCAAGGACTTCTCCGACATTGATGAGGACTCGCGCATCAACGACTTTGACGAGTCCTCCGACGAAGACCTCCTTGCCGTGGACGAGGATGAGGACGAGGAAGCTGTCTTCCGTCGCAGTCCCCAGCAGCTTGGCGCGCTGTACAACCAGACCAGCATCCCGGATCTTCCACTGCTGCGTTTCCTCTTCAAAAACGCCTTTTGCACCTTCCCGCTCTTTGTTGCCCCGGAGGACAAGGTCGATCAGTACGTCGGCGGTCCACCAGACAAGGCGACGCTTGCGCGCACCTACTTCTTCACCGGCATTCTGCCCCTCCTTCGTGCCATCCAGACGCGCTCGCTGAGCGCCTGGGTTGACCGTCATGGCGAGGGCGACGGCACACCCTTCAGCGCCGTTTCCACGACGGGCGCCCTTCGTCGTCAGCTGACCAAATGGGCTGCGCGATACGTCACCGCTGTCCTGCGCGTCGGACCCGGCGACCCCTACTTTGAGGACGATGCGATCCTTGGCAAGGAGTCCTGGCCGTGGCCTGCCTCAAACCTTCTGCCACCCGAGGCTTACTACGCCTTCCGCAAGCCTCTTGATCGACTCAAGTACGGTGGCTATGAGGTCGACATTGTCGGTATCCGTCGTCACACGCCGACCGAGCGAGATTATATCATTCGTCTTCGACGTCCGAACGCGCCGGACCAGTACGTTGTGCGCAACGACAACGATTTCGAAGAGTTCCGACGAAACCTCGCCAAGGACCTCAATCCTTTCGCGTTCGTCAAGTCCCTCCCGCGCACGCGTGGTCGTCCGGACGAGGGTGAGACCGACGAGGAGGATGACAGCCCTTACGGCTCGGTCCGCTCGGAGAAGTTCAATGCAGCCGGGCTCGGATCGGCGGCGCTGTACAAGTCGCCCGTGGATGCGCCTGGCCGCGACAGCGTGGACAGCCGACGACTTCGAGGTGGCGGACGCGACGGCCGCAGGCGCTACAGCTCCGGCGTGCGCGACGGCCGACCTCTTTTGGGCAGAGACGGTATCGCAGCCGATGAGGACAGTGAGGCTCTCGAAGACACTGCAGACGAGCTGATCGACGATGGCGACCGCTCCGACGCCACTTTGCAGCCCAGGCGTGGCCCCTCGCGCGCTGGCGCCGCACGTGGCGCTCCCGGGGAGACCACCCCGAAGACACGCAAGTCCCTGCTCTCCATGGGCAAAGGCTCCTTGCGTCGTCTCGGCGGCAAGGACACGCCTCCGATGGATCGATCGGGCTCGCTCCGACGAAAGGACGCAAGCGATGGACCTCGTGGGGCTTCTATGAGCCGGTCCGCATCCATGCAGCGCCGCCAGCCTCCCCCTCCTCCTCCCGCTGACCTCGAGACACGAGGCTCTCTGCGTCGAGCTCCACCCCGGGCTGGCGCCATGGACTTCGAGGCCCGTCGTCAAAAGCTGCGTACATGGCTCCGCGACGCACTCTCCATCCGCGAGGCCGGCCACGGGGCAGAGACGCAAAACTTCCTCACAATCGGTGGATTCATGGAGCGAAATCTGCGCCGTACGGACCTCGATGACATCCAGGAGCGACGCCGCGAGGACAGGCACCGCCGCCAAGAGCACGATCGCGATGCGGCCGAGGCCGGCGACGATGTCCACGATCTGCGCGACGTGCGTGACGAGATCTGGCTCGACTGCGTCGAAGGAGACGGCTTCCTCAAGATGTACGATGCGCTCCGCGAAACTCCCGACTACGCGCGACTGCCCCTCAACTACCAAAAGATGGTCTCGTGGGGCAACCTGCAGACTGCACGCTGGCTCTACGGAGCCTTTGTGGCCGGCGACGAGTCCCGTGCCAACCTGGCCCGGGTGCAAGACGTGTACGAGTCGATCCCGTGGAAGAAGCTTGCGTTCACGATGAAGTCGCCCGTCGCGCAGATGATGCGCGCTTGGAGGGACCAGTTCCTGCGACGCGGCTTCCTGCAGGCCATGCTGCACGTCGTCCTCGAGGACGAACCCGAGACCATCGAGGAGGACCTGGTCGAGCTGCGAAGGGCGATCGGATCCGAGGTCATGTTCCAGAAGCTGCGCGTGTTTGTCGATTCGCCGGGCGACCTGAAGCGCCTCATCCGCCAGCATGCCGAGAAGGCCGGCGTCCCACTTGTCGCGGCCATCGTGCGTGGCTCTGAGCAGCCCAAGCTGAACAGGGTCGAGGTGCAGCGCGTGATGGATGCGACGCAGGCCTACCAGGACTTTATGAAGACCGTCCCGTCGGTCAACAAGAAGAACAACCACAAGGAGCCGGGCTACCTCTTGATCACGAACCTGCAGCGCGCTCTGCGTCTGCTCTCGCTCCAGCGCGACGGCGCGCAGGTGCGTGGCATGCTGCAAGATCCGCTGATTGCCGACGCGCTCTCGACCGTATTCGAGCCGCTCATGGAGGAGCTCAGGCGGCTGCACGGCGTCAAGGGCATCGGAAATGCGGTCATGGACCTGCAGGCTTTCGTCGGCAAGCTCTTGGACCATCTCACTGGCCTGCGTGCGCGCGTGGTCGACCCGCTGCACGCCGTCAACAGTATCGCCGAGATACTCGACGATGCGGCTCCATCGTGGTACGTGTTCTTGCGCCGCGCTGCGGATGCGACGCCGACGGTGTTCAGCTTCTTCGCTTGGTTCCGTCATCTGGCCATGACCGTCGGTGCTGGGTCGGACGACCTTGCGCAGATCTGGACCGATCCGCCTGCGGCTCTCCAGCCCGAGGATGACGACGGTCCTGACGGCGACCGTCAGTCGATCAACGGCGACCAGATGCCGGCTTACGAGGGGGCGCTGGATCCAGCCACCATGCGGGACATCAACTCGCTCTCCGAGTACGGCCGTCGCAAGCGCAACCGCCAGATGGAGATCGCCTGCCGATGGGCAGCTGGCGATACCGAGGAGCACCATCCCGTCCAGGTCCAGGGCGATGGTCGCGGCAGGACTCGCACCGACCCGTACTTGCCGCGCGAGCCTCGCCCCGCTCGAAAGGCGCCCGGCCTCGACAGGTTCCGCAAGTCGTTCCGCGAGGCCATCTCGGTCGCGCTCGACCGCTAGGCCGAGTGCTCAGATTGTGTCGTCAGCGACTCCACAATCTCTCTCACAAACCACCAACCTCTCATGGACTCTCGAACAATCCCTTTGGTTTTCGATACATCGCTCTCTTTTCGTGCTGCGTCTTGTCTATATCCACCCTTCGTCTGTCCTTTTGTGTCCAATGTAAATGATGGTTGTTCGGCAGTGCTGTTTTGAGTGCTGGTGCTCGAGTGGTCGACCGTTGAGTTGAAATGCCTCTGCAGAGGCGATGTCATCCCTTGTTATCCCGATCGGGTCGACGCCGATCTGTCCCCTTTTTGCGGTCATCTTTTTTTGAGGTCATTCTCGTGTGCTCTTTTTTTTTTATCGGCCAGCAAACTTTTTCTCTCTCGCTTCTCTTTTCTGGTTGCTTGCACTCGACCTGCGATCGGGACATATCGGGGCCCCCGCCCGGCATCTGCACATTCCAGACGCGGTTTTGGGGCAACCTTGTTTCGATGGTGTGGGGGCCGCTATGAAACAGCGGCAGACATGTGAGCAATGTCATGCCATGTCACGCGCGCACTAGGTGTCAAGCCGGCCAAGCACGTCTCTCGTCACCGATGCCATCGCATCCCGTCGGGAATACCGGAAGCCGTGCCGTAAGCTCACCGGAGTGCCGCATCGGGTGCGCCGCAGTCTTTGATCCCGACAACTTCTCCCACCCTAGTTGCTTTGCCTTGGAACGCCGAAGCGCGCGCGACAATGGCGAGACGAGACAAAGCCAGAGCGGAGCGAATGGCGGGGCGGCTGAGCTAGGTCCCACAGCAAGCGCGGATCTGGCGGTCCGGAACAGGGAGCTGAGCGATCGACTCGGACGTTTGACGTGCCGACGCTCTACGATGTCGAGGTGGCAAATGGCGCTCACTTCAAAGACGGGGTAGACTGCTGCCGACTGCAGCTGCCTCCATGCGAACTCTGATCGAGCACTGGCGAGTCGACAGTGACGGAGTTCTAAGGCGGCCTGCAGCGCGACGATGAAACAGACTGGTTGAGAAGGCGATTTTGCAACCCAGCTCTTTTCTCGTTTCCGGACGTGTCAATTTGAGCGCCTAAGCGCCGACCGGTGTGCGAATTCCAGTTCCAGTCATCCATCCCCGACAGTCCGGCGATTGTTGATGCATCTGTCGATCAACCGCTTTGCACGGCGGAGGGGTGGATGCTCCTCCGAGCAGAGCAGCGGCGATGGTGCGTTGGGACTTGCGCACACTTGAAAGGCCATGGACTGTGAGGGCTCTTAGGCAATGGAGGTCGTTGCGACATCCAGACTGATCACGCAGCAAACCGGCTACAGTATCATACTGTGCGCTTGGCACACACAGACCTTCCTAGACCGAGGACGGTTTGGTCGACTCCGTCGGCCCAAGGCTAGCAACACTGCCAAGGATCTGCCGAAGAACGCGTGACGCACGAGTTCCCACAGCCGAAATGGAAGGCGCGAGCTGGACCAGAAGCGAAGCCGCTCGGCTGATGAGTACTGTGACCGAGAACCGCGACGCAGACGAACGATGGGTTTGCGGCAACAGCATGATCTGCTCGCCGAAGTCTGACCGCATTGATGCTAACGCACGTCACACTCGCTGACGAGGCTCCCAATGGCGCTGGATTTGGCCCCAAATCCGACGAATCCAAGTCAGCGGCTCGGGCGAAATGTGTCGCGTAGCGGAGTGTCTCCTTGAATGAACCTTGTCAACTGCAACGTGGGAAGAGGCCGTCTGAAGCATGAGACTAACCAACAGCATTGACACTCGCCTCTTGCAGCGCCTGGTCGCAAATGACTGTCGGAGCACGGGTCAGCGAGCATTGTTGCTAAAGTTCAGATTGAGACTAATCTCCGACGCTTCATCCCCAAGTCTATCGCTTTTCGTTCTATGAAGCACCACCTCCGGTATTCGCGATGTCACGCCGGCCATGTTCAGACACGCCCGACGCCGTGCGCAGCAGGCGTCGACCGAGGCGGCGCTTGTCGCCTGACTGCTTGCGAAGGTCGGCGCGGCGTACCACAGACGGTGCGGTGGAGCGAACCCGACGCCGAGATTCCCACAGTCTCGCGGCGGGCCGCCAACGACCATTCCTACAGGCTGATGCGTGCTGCTGCCTCGACGACCAACTTGGCGGCACACCTAGGCGGTCATCGCACTCAAGATGGGCTCGGCCGATAGATAGAACCGACTCGGTCTTCTGATCACGATCTGCACTGCCCGACGTGTCTAATGCACGCACGGGCATTGTATGTGCGGTTAGCTCGCTTGTGCCTCAATTAGGTACGCTAACTTAGCGAGGCACGGACTCGCCTCACATGTTCCAGCACGGCAAATTTACAGCTCTAGCGGCCGCCAAGCAGGAGCACACGTCGAGTGACCCGGCGCAGCCATGGCACGATAGCGCGAACACCGGTCCATGGCGGCCGAAGAGTACATCAACCCGTGTGTCATGATGAGTCGAGACGCACGGCAAAGCTCGCTTGTTCAGCGCTCGGCTTCTTTTCGCCGGGCTAGACGACGCCGCCACATCTGCCTGGGAGCGCTTACTCGCTGCTCAAGTCGGGTTGAAGCGTTTCCAACGTCGTTTTGGATCGTCCGATGGTCGATTACGGGGAATCGATGCGAGCGTTTCGCCATTCTCACGTCTCGCCCAACATGCTGAAACATACGCTTAGCGGGAGCTCAACCTTGCTGGGGCTGTCCAATGACCCTGCTCACGGAGACCGAAGCGCCGTACGAAATAGCGAAACATGTGCGGGTCACGCCGTCGATACGATCCTCATGGCAGCGGAGATGGCGTGTTCGCCGGCGATAGGGACGAAAGTGAGAACAGGCGTAGGAGCGCGTATAGTAAAATTACTGGCTGGCCGACAATAGAAGCGCGGCAGAGGAAGCGAGCCACGTTGCGGCGGCAGCAGCAGCAGCAGCAGCAGCAGCAGCAGGCCAGATTCAAACTCATCCCCGTTCTGCCTTCGGCTGGCACCTGTGTGTACGTAGCGGCGTAGCTTTGGCCTCCGCCGCATGGATTTCCCATGCCGAGTCGAAAGTCCGCCCCTTAGCCTTCTTTTACCTGTCGACAGGTTGCAACTCCGATCGCATGAGCCGCACCTTTTTGTCCAGCTGAGAAGCGCCAGCCCTGCCTCTGACCCTCGCCGCGACGCCTTGCCAGTCAAGGGGCGTGGGCGTCGATCTCATGAACAAGCAGCTCCTTGCTTGAGCCACGGACCGGCCTGACAGCTCCGCCTGCGCCCACGACCAATTTGGCCCACAACGCCCCTTCCCATCCTGGGCTGCACAATTGCCAGCGACGCCGCGGACCTGCCGACTCCACGTCGCGGACTGCGTGGCTGCACGCCGAGCTTGGACCCTCCGCTGTCGATCGCCCTCAGCATCAAGACAGGCGCACCCACTCCGCTCGCCGCATCCGTTGCAAATGTGTCGATTGTGCGTTGACCGATTGTTGTGGACTTGGATGCAGACGCAGTTTCGGCGCTAGGTGCCAACAAAAAGACTCGAGGCATTGCTGCCAAGCTTCTTGGAGAGGGAAGTGCGGGGCGCTAGAATCGCAGCCGGGGCGAGGTGAGTAGAGCAGCGGCCTCCGACTCCGAGTTTGCTGCTCGTCGCCGGCTTCTCACGCCAGCAAGACCTCCCTCGCGCGCCAGTCCTCGGCACAGGCAGAGATCGTTCAACACGAGGTCACAGCAGCATGGATGGGCCGACCAGGGCCGAAGGGAATTGTCGAGATGCCTTCGTTTGGAGTGCAACCATCATTCTGAATTCGCAGAGCCGCTAGCCGAGGTGCGAGCGCGGTTTCGGCACACATCCAAGGCGTCACACCCCCTTGACCAGGGGGCCGACTGAGGGTGAGGTGGTCGACAGCCCAGACGCGACGGCACCTGCCACCCGGCCTTTCAATCCAAAATCGTAATGTGAAACGGTGCTCACGCCCATCCGTCGGATTCTTTTTTCGGACGCGCGCGTTTTTTTTTTTTTTTTTTTTTTTTTTTCTCTCCCCTCTCTTGCATGCCAGAAGTCCGCTTTAGCGCCTCGAAGCCAGAGCGCGGTCAGCTGGTTGCGCTCCAGGTTGCGCCATACCGCTCACCCCTCCGGGCCCACGCCGCATGATTGTAGACTCGCCTCTGGCATTCCGCCTCTTTGCTTCTGCTTGGCGGCCCTGCTCATGCCCCTTGCGTGCCTCCCAAGCGCCTCTGCAGCCGGCGAGGCCGCTCCCTCGCCTTTTTCCCCTCCTGGATTCGCGACGTTCTGGATCGTCGCTGCCTATGGCGCCACACTGTTGACTCCAAGGCTGCTTTCGCGGCAGCCTCTGTTCCGAAGGCACTTTTCCAGTGCTCTTCTGTTCACGAATCCCCGACTGGCGTAGCGGCTAGGTGACCGCATCCGCCCGTCCTCCATAATGGACTGCGACCGTGTGCGCCGCCGCACACATGCAAATCAACGGAAGCCCCCCGAGAGATGATCGCCTCCGTCCTCGGCCCTTAAGCCGCCACACCTCCCTTCCAGCTGAGCAAGCACCTACGAATCCGACCATCCGGCATCTCGACTGACATTGCGCCTTGCCCCGACTGGCAATGCACGATCGCCCTGCAGCAAGGCTCGCTTGCCTCCCCTCGTGCCTTGAGTGCCTGAGCCAGGATGGAGCGAGGTATGCCGGACCATGATGCCCGCCTCGCTCAGCTGTGACGCCACGCCCCTTCTCCCGAACGCTGCTGCTCTGTTGCCCTCCCGCACCCCGGCCCATGGCTGCTTGCACGGACTGTTGTGAGCCGTTCCTTGCAAAGGGATGCATCTCGCTTCGCTCGCTTCACGACCCAGCTTCCATTTTGTGAGGTACAGCGAGAGTTGGCCTTGCCAGCCACCTCGCTTGCGCCAACCCTTTAAAGACTAGCCCTTGCCAGCCCTCGAGGAATGCATCCCGTCCCCTTACCCACACTCGACGATCCGACTTGCCCCTCGCCCTCCTCCCTTTGAGTGTACTGCTTGTCCGTCGACCTTGCCATTCCCCTTCTGTTCTCACCACCACCAACCTCGTCTCGACACATCCTCCCTACCCTCATATCGACTTGACGTGGTCGCTGCCTACCATCATGCAGTTCAAGTCCTCCATCCTTCTCATGGGCCTGGCCGCTGCAGGCCTCGCCTCGGCTGCCCCCGCCGTTGCCGACGCTGCCGCACCTGCAGTTGAGCGATCCGAGCCCGTTGCTACCACCAACAACGTTCAGCGCGACACCACCGACGCCGCACCTTCGGCCGACTACGGCATTGGCCCTCCCATGGACCAGTGGAGTTACAAGCGTGATGGCCAGCCCGCCGGTGACTTTGGTGTTGGCCGTGCCGACAGGTGGAGCTACAAGCGCGATGGCCAGCCTGCTGGTGACTTTGGTGTTGGCCGCGCCGACAGGTGGAGCTACAAGCGTGATGGCGAGCCTGCTGGCGACTTTGGCGTTGGCCGCGCTGAC